TTCTGTCCATCGGAGAGCCAGGTCAGGGGGGAAGTCTTCAAGTTCCATGGGTTGGTGAGGATTTCACGCTTGCCCTCAGTTGGGTCAGCAAGGCCCCATTTGCTGAGTAAATGTTAGCTTTTTTTCTGATTTATATGAAGGCAGAGTGAGGATAAGGATATACGCACTAGACCTGGAATGTAGCGTGAGCAACGTAGTCGACTACATTGTGAACCTTGGAGGATTCCTTTGCATCCATATAGGAGAGGAGCCAATTGTCACCAATATCGGTTTCAACTCTCCAGGTCAGAGCCAAAGAACCATCTTCCTTGGCCATATAGCAAAGCTTAGCGGTGGGGTCAGAGAGAGCACCAGAGGTACCCTTGAACATGACCTTGTGCTCGCTCATGTCCTCAACGTGGGCTCCATCAGCCTTGATTGGAAGGTTGAGAGCCTTGCGGACACCGTGAAGTGCCTGCATTGGGTCAATGAAGTCTCGCTTGACCATTGGGTTGGAAGAGGGAGCTGGGCCGGTGTAGAAAGAGTTTCCGTGGGAGAGGACTTTGCCATCTTTGCCAACCTAGTATCAACACAGGGTAAGTTTCAGACCTTAACGAAGGTAGGATTTGCACGATTTTGGAAGACAGGCTCGTAACTTACGTTGACGTTGAAGTCAGAGTTGTCGATATCAATGCCGTGCATGGTCTGACGGAAACGGACGTGGCCAATACCAGAGTCACCAACGTAGTGGTCATCGACGAGACGGAACTCCATGTTTGGCATGGTCTGCTTAACCAGCTCAGTGGCAACCTCAAGATAGGTGCCCTGGCGGAAAGAAGCAATGCTGGGCAGTTTCTTCATCTCATCGTGGCTGGTGTAGCTGGATCTGTGAGCAACGCGGAACTCATTTAGGTCGACAGCTCCAGCTCGGCCAGCGAGACTGGTGCTCGTCGAGGGCTGGGGGTGTGCGAGCACATGGAGAGGCAGGCTGAGAAGCCCGGCGGCAAGCAAAAGGCCGTGCATGTTGATCAGAGGAGTATATATATAAAGAGGAGCTGTGAGCTTGAGAATCTGCTCTTCCAGAATTCACACTCCTTGGGTATCATCCCAACCTCTTTCCTGGGAAGGGGATCAGCTGGAGTTTATATATGTTGATCTCCCTTGATCATCTCCCATGCTTTGATCATCTCCACGTCCCAGAAAGTCGCATGGTATCCCGAGGCAGATTGGGGGTTTGAAGGGACCTGGAGTATGCTCCTGAAGGAAAGGCTCCCAATCCCGTTGCATAGCCTGACTCTGGGGCAACGCGCCGTATGTTTCCGGCCGACCGTGTCCCATGTCGGCTTCAAGCACCATGGTTCATGCAGATCCTTCCACGGAGAGACGAGGTTTAAGGATCAGGGCGAGGATTGTGAGTCCAAGAGGTCGTATTTCGGGACATGAAGCCGGTGATAGCCACGGCAAGGGTCTGTATCATAGTGTGGTTGTTCTCCACTTCAAAATCGTGGGGTTAGCATTCCGCAAATGAATAGTTAATAAAATAGTTAAAATAATATACATATAGCGAGAGAGCTGCATTGGTGGAATTTGTGGTGGATTCAATATGGGGAGAGACGTTGGTGAGCCTGTTCCCCGGACAAGGGGTCGTCCAGCGGGTAAACAACATCTCTATATTTCGGCATATCTTCATGCAACCTTCACTGACAACTCACCAGCGTAAGTTTACAGGGCTGAGGACAGTGGCTGACACGGTGTGGCTAAGGAATATACTTGATATCATATTCTGGACTTGGTATCTCCATAAGTACAGCCTTTCATACCCCCTGGATGTGCTTGGATGTGAAAAGGAAAGCAAGCCAATTTGGACCTCTACTTACGGAGTACTATAAATATAATGTCAGCTGATTCGGCCTGTCTTCTCAAGAACCGGGGTCCCTATACGCATCCAGAAAATTGACAGTAGTATGCTCCGGGAGTATATATATTATTCACTCACATGAAGAGGTTCTACAAATAGGGTTGAAGAACTTCCTGAGTATGATTCCACACCCTCTCCAGAGCCGAGTCCCGTAGTATTTTCATGTTCTTTGCATTCGGGGTACAATCACACTTGTAGTTGACCAGAAACAGGCCATTTTCCTCCTTTTCCAGTGAGTTTATGCCTAGCTTTCCATCCCACGGAACACCACGACCGCCAAAAACTGCACTGGTACACTGGAACAAGTGTCTCTGTCCGGCCTCTTCGTCGCTGAAGCTGAATACTCTGAGAAGAGTCTCCAGGAAAAGCCTGATGACCCAGCCCATGATTGAGTTGGGATCCCACCCTCTCCTCACATTCCCCGTATTGACCCATCCGGGCCAGGAGTGGATGAAGGTAACGTTGGGATTGGCCTGAGCGAGCTTCTCCCAGCCCATGCTGTTCATTGTCCCATACTGCATCTGGGCCTTGATGCTGCCAAAGTTGCCAGGCTTCTTGAGATCGAGATCATCCAGGTCGATGCTCGTCTTCTCCAGGCCCCCTGCCATGACGCTGATGACCCGGGGTGCCTCGGCCTTGTCTAGCAGAGGGAGGAGATGGAGAGCAAATAATATGCGGGAGTAGTACTCCAGGCTCTGGGAGGTTTCTATGCCCTCTGCCGTCTCCTTGCGTCCAGCAAAGGGAGCGTATCCCGCCGTAAGGAATAGTAGATCGACACGGGACTCCTTGCTCTTGATAGCATCGCATACTCGCTTGGTCTCTGCTAGTAGAGAGATCTCGCCTTCGGTCCAGACGATCTCAGCCCTGGGGTTGATGGCCTGTAGCTCTTGGATGAAGGTCTTCATGCGCTCCTCAGAGCTCTTGCGGCCGACTAGGTAGATCCGCATGCTGGCCCCGGTGCCTACCAGGGCCTTGACCGTGTATTGTCCGATTCCTGAGGTCCCTCCCGCGAAGACAGCGACTTGCGGTGCCGTCGACTCGCTGATGCGCGCGTTGGACGCCTGGACCTCTTTGTACGAAACCATCGTCAGTGTCTCGGTAACTATTAGTTAGTTGTTGCTATTCAGACAATTCCGCCTCTTCCGACAGAGGCCTTCGGCATCAACATCATTGTACCAGCATCTTTTATGCCCATCCGTGTCCAAGGCAGCAATAGCTGTACGTCAGTCGATAACTAGCAGCAGTGGTCAGCCTGGCTCACCAGCCACAGATCCTCCACTAAACAGAGTTGGTGCGAGTTGGCGCCTGCAAGCATCACCCTGGAAGAAGACCAGGAACCCTCGCACAGAGGGAAGAGGAAGCAAAAGAGTGAGGGCAGAAGCGAGACGCTGGGCTGTCGATCTCATGCGTCCCCTCGACTCGACCTGAGATGTTTGGTTGGTGTCCGTTGGCTGCTGGAGCCGCAAGGATGGCCAGCAGGCCAAGCGCGGCCCCTGAAGCTGAAACGCCCTCGAACACGCCCGAGAAGACGAACTGAAGATAGTAAACACTTGGCTGAGACTGCTGTGGGTGGCAGGCTCAGTTCGGCCTTGGATGTCTCGAGATCCTGAGATGGTTCCGCATGTTGGTACCGAGAGAGTGTCATGCCAGGCCTGCATAATGGGCACAGGAATGCCTGCAAGTTGATATCTCGACTTTATATCACTGGACAATTATACCGAAAGCAAGTCTTATTCTAATTAAAGATATGCCGATCGAAACAAGCCCGGGAGCCTCTTTCACAGGCCGAGAAGAGCTGCCATCCCGAGAAGATGGGATGTATCGAGGACGGGGTTGGTGATCAACCCGTCATCTCCCTGGCTCCATCTCAGCCGACACAAGGCTATAAATGAGCAGTCTTATCGGCTTCACGTTGGCTACGGAGTACCTATGCTTTTATCATGGGAGACACCTCTGTACTATCAGCATTTCAGGCCGTGAAAAGCCAGGATATGGCGGCACGGCCGATGATCCCTCTTCAAGGCCCCTCAAGGGGTGATCCATACCAGCGCCAACTGCAACACTTCTTGACACTGGATCGATCTCCCTTCAACGAGCAAAATAGTCAGGCATAGCCGTCCAAGGACAACCCCACGCTTTCATCGTTGTCTACCCATCCATGTCCACGATTGAGATGAAATTCGAGAAAGGACAAAAATCTGGGGATAGCCGCGGTCGTGACGTCAATACTTGAATGTTTCCTGTCTTGTGTCCGATTACGGACTGAGAAAACGGACTGAAGCCCGGGGAAAAGAAATACGCCCGGATCGAGGTGTCCAATTGACGAAATAACATGACAAACTGATTCATTGATATCATACGAGGCCGCCGTGAAAACAGCAGCAGAGGCTCGGGGAAGTGTCCAGACTAGGCCATCTCCGGGAGTCCTGCATGATTTAGTTTCTCTCCCAGTCGCAGGGAGACAGCGCTTGAATGCATATGCATCTTCAATCTTTCAACTTTATCTCTTGATGGCCAGTGTATTGCCACTACTATTGACAGGGGACGTCTCTTAGCTCTATCAACAGATGCGGAGATGCTCGGTAGATTTGCCTTGGCTGGGAGTCAAGTATAACCGAGATACTCCTATTACATGCTTGCTCATGGCATATCGGTAGAGACGGCAGCATCTTTGTTCATATAATAACACAGAGATTCTACATATTGCCTCAGGATTCTGTATATGGACTCTTAAAAGGTCTTGGTAACTAGTTAATGAGATAAACCGTACTAAGCAATGACCGTTGCTTGTATGGAGTACTTTATCCAGGACATCGGCGTGCTTCTTAGCAATGCTTGTTTTTACTATAACTATAACTAACTTGACTACAGCCCCATATTACAGCTACATATACACAAGCCGAAGACCGAGGAAGCTTGATGGTTCATTTAAAGAAAAGCCCAGGCAAACAATTGCTGTAAGACAACATTCAGCCGCATCAAGCTAACGAACTAGTTAACCAACCACTCGACAGGCTGAACCTCCGAAAACAACCAGCATGGACGACCTGATTAAATACTTCCAGTTTGAATGCGGATACTTACCCATCAACCGGAGTTTATCATGAATATTTTTCGTCGGAGAACTACCTTAATCATTCATGATCTGCTGGTTTCGACTCAGCTCGGGCAAAAACAGCTCTTTTCGATCTTTCCCTGTCGTACAAATTTTCACTCATGCCCTCAAGCGGCTGCTGGCAATAGAGAATATCCAAACCAGGACTTGCTGTTTCAATATACCTCTGGGCGTTGGCTTTGGGGAGAAAAGGAACAGTTAGCAGCTCGCTATGTGGAGTTCGATGTTGCAGCTCTTTGCCAGGCGGCAGCGGACGCCGTTGGTTCTCGCTCATGCACAGATATCACAAAATTGACAGAAGGAGATTTCAACAAAGTCATGCTGCTTACCATGGATGATGGGAAAGAAGTAATTGCAAAGATACCAAATCCTAATGCTGGGCGTCCGCACTTTGTGACGTCTAGCGAGGTGGCAACGATGGACTTTGTGAGTACCTATTCGACTGAACACACATCCCTTAATCCAGAGTCAAGACTAATTTTTCATGTCTATTGTAGGTCAGGAATAGATTAAATATACCCGCACCAAAAGTATATTCGTGGTGTTCAGATACTAGCAAAAGCAAAGTCGGTGCGGAATATATTTTCATGGAGAAAGCTAAAGGAATTCCGCTTTCGAAAATTTGGGATGATATAGATGTCATTCAGAAGTCAAAGATTGTGGAAAATATTGTGCTCTTTGAAAAGTCTCTGGCGCTGAACCCGTTTCCTGCATACGGTAGCTTGTACTATTCCGATGGCGATACTACAGAAGGCTTTGCAGAAAGTGGCTTCACTGTTGGCCCTACCAATAACCGAAAATACTTTGATGACGGAAGACGCTCATTAACACTAGATCGTGGGCCATGTAAGTTTTTGAGCATACTGGATATATCACTTTTTCTCCTTGCTGACTCTACGCAGGGTTCTCGGTAGAGGATTACATTACTGCCAATGCAAAGAGGGAGCGTGCATCAATAACTTCTCTAGGTGCCTCTCCAAGGCTTCAGGGGATTTGCCATGGCCCTGGTCTCTATCAACCATCACAAACTGCAAAGCTCCGTGCATTGGATCTATATTTGTCTATATCAAAATACATTCTTCCCAAAAACAAAGAGACCCATAAAGGTGTCCTATGGCATCCCGATCTCCACACAGACAACATCTTCGTTGACCCGCAAGATCCAACCAAAATAACATGCTTGATCGACTGGCAGGCGGTTCATATTGCGCCCCTTTTCCTACAGGCTCGTCGGCCAGCCTTTCTAGATTTCGATGGCCCTCTCCCAGAAAGGCTTAAGTTCCCTTCCTTGCCAGAGAACTTCGACGATTTGCAACCTGAGGAGAAACTTAAGGTGAAGAAGCTAAGGGACGAGCAAGCATTATACGTGCTCTATGAAATTGAATTGCTGCGGCAATGCCGAGCCGCAGGTTCAGCATTACATGGTCGTGATACGTTGGTCAGTCGGCTGACAGGTCTTGCTGGGTCAGTTTTTACCGATGGAGAGCCAGTAGTGCTCGGCTACCTGATGCAAGCCGTTGACAGATGGGGCGAAATAGTGGGAAAGGATACCGCTGGAGATCCAATCATCCCATGTCCTATTGCTTTCACAGATGCGGAGAGGACTAAGCAACGGGTAGATCAACAGAGATGGGAAAAAGGTGTCGAATTGATGGATGATGTCGTTCAATCTTTGGGCGCATATAGTGGCTGGGATGGGTTTGTGAGCCATGACGACTACGAGGCAAAGAAGCAGCAAGTCATTGCCTCGCGAGACGCTTTCTTGCAGCGTATGGCCGGATCAGACGAAGACAGAAGAGCGAAATGGAGCAAAGCATGGCCGTTTCCTGGGACTTCTCGAGTAGATTAACCCCTAGAAGATGTTTCCAGGACTTGTATTATTCGGCTTTTGGTGGATCCAACAGATTTAATCGTTCTCTAATGGCTCCAGGTACGGAGTACACCAGGATTAACTAGTGACTTGGTTAGTTAACTGACTTGCATAAAAGGCCCGGGTTCCCCTCACTGATCTGCCTGCTTTCTCCATTCTCTTCATCTTCTTCTCCTGGTATGATACAGTCGTGTCAATCCATGAAGTCTTTACATCTAGCCAACACCACCGCCAGTCTGTAAATCTCCATCAGGTACCTTGTTTATATCCCACTGACTCTACTGCATACTGATCATTTTCCATCTCTGACAGGCAAAGCAATATGATCTCCCTCGTTGCCTTCGATCTTGACGGCACTCTTGCCCTAAGCAAGCAGCCGCTACTGGATACCATGGGCGAGGCTCTCGCTGACCTCCTGGGGGTGGCTCATGTAGCCGTTATCTCTGGTGGTGACTGGCCACAATTCCAAAAACAGGTGGTTAACCGCCTGCCAGCACGCGCAGATCTATCGAAGCTTTGGCTTATGCCAACGACTGGCACAAAGTTGTACAAGTACCAGGATGGAGCTTGGAAGGCAGTGTATGCAGAACTCTTCAATGATGAAGTGAAACGGCAGATCCTAATAGCCTTCGACCAAGCCCTGGAAGCAACCGGCTTCAAACCTGAGCAGACCTGGGGAGATCGTATTGAAGACCGCGGTAGTCAGATTACCTTCTCAGCGTTGGGACAAGAGGCGCCTATCCATGCCAAAGAGATCTGGGATCCAGACTTTGCTAAGCGCAAGATTATTCAAGCTGATTTACGGACCCGTTTACCGGATGTCTCTATTAATATGGGTGGTGCAACGTCAATTGATATTACACAGAAGGGTGTTAATAAAGGGTATGGCTTGAAAAGACTCCGTGATGCAAGCAATATTCCCCTCGAGGAGATGATGTTTATTGGCGATGCGATATTCCCAGGAGGCAATGATTATCCAGCTAAGGAGATTGGTCTAAAGACTGTCTGTGTTCGGGACCCGGATGGAACGCTGGCTGCGATTGCTGCGATCATTGCGTGTCTGTCGTAAGATACCACATGAAGTAAATATCACAGGGAAAAATCAAGATTAAGAGGGGGCACCCTCGAGTACTTCAGCCGGAATAGATACCTGATAAAGATTAATCAAGCATTACTGCGGACTTCATCAGCGCGCCCTGTACAGGGTAATTGGCTATTGAGTAGGTAGTCAACTCTCTACTTCCCTCTGGTGCCTCACTTTCTGCATCAATCAACCGCCGAACTACCAACCCATGTAGTTAGACAACTATATAGTTGTTATGATGGTTGTATAGATCCATACAGTGTTTCTTATATATAACCTTAAATAGATACTTCAATTTTAACTTCACAGACCCATTGACATTTTGCTTCCCAGTTTTCCTTATATATAATAACTAATATTTCCGAAGGAATATTGAAATCCCTCTGAAACAAGCTAGTCAATAAGGATCTCTCAATATACCTAATTTCAGAAAGCAGGTGGTGCTTCTATTTTCTTTAAATAAAGTGCACTATCTTCATAGTATCCATATTAAAATAAATTGCTTGGTGGATGCTCTATCAAACCGCAATGTCTTGCTTCATTACGATTATATATACTTCATATAATTAGCAGTCTTTAGGTATTCCACGCCAGTCAGGTAGTAATTGATTCACGGAGCGCAGGCAATATGATCTGCGATGCCACTGATGAAGAGATCAGTACCCTCCGCCATATGTCTGATGATGATAGACCACATACTGTCCATCCTGCATAGATTGTTGGCGCAATAGAATCATTCCCGCTTGATGCTGTTGCCACACCATTGCGTACGTTTTTCCTTTTTCTTCTTACTAGTCAACTAACTAGTCGCAAGACTACATACGAAAATACAGCTGCAATCTCGGGTGAATTCGGGTGACTCCAGGTACCTTCAGGTACATTCAGAGGAGCGTAAGGTAAAAGGAGTGAAAAAAGCAGCAAGGACGCCTTACCGGAGAGAGCAGCAAAAAATGGGTGATCAAAAAACATACGACAGTCGGGATTCGCTGGTGGTCACCCACCCAACTACTAACCGACCGGCAAGTGGCTTAAGTACAGCTGAGCGGACGGGAAGCTCTGTTTTCCACTTCCTATGGTCGTATGTACTAGACTCTTAGTTGAGAGGGTTGATATAGGGTTGGGGAAATACGGATATCCACGACAACCACCCCAAGGCTTGATGGGAGGGAATGAATATCCATTAGTTAGACTCCGTATGGCTGGGTTATACCCAAGACTGGGATACGACGAGTGAGATCCTTCAGGATAACTAAGGACAGGGATCTCCTCTAGTTGCATTAATAATTGAAGAGACTGATACCCCGCGGATCGAAACTGCTTCGGATAGGCTTTCGTCGACTCCAGGCAGCAGCTTCATACTCTTCGATTCAGACTATCAGACAGCTTGATATACAGAGAAAAATGGCCGACCTTACACGACGCGGCACCTGCATGTGCCAGGGTATCGTCTACGAGGTGAACGATAAACCTGAGCAGACGGTCGCTTGCTACTGTAAGCACTGCAGGCTGAATGCTGGAAGTGCCTTTCAGATCGTAAGTCTTTCTTTAGACGAGAGTGATTGGTATATGTTGGCATGCTTTTCCAAGTAAACTTACACATCGTCAACAGACAGCTTGCTACAATAAGGAGCAAGTGAAAGTACTCTCCGGGGAAGACCTCATTGGCACCTGGACGCTCAAAGATACGATTAGCGGCAACGATAAGCACAAGCGTTTCTGTACTCGCTGCGGATGCACTCTTTGGACTGTTCCGATGATATACAACGGGGACAAATTCATGGTCAGGACCTCGTTATTAGAGAACGGGTAGGTGTATAGATATTTCCCTAGAGGTGATCCGATTTCTAACAGGTTCTTAAGGCTTGAGGACCTTAAGCCCGAATCAGAAATCTTTGTCAGTGGAAAGCCTTCATACCTTGAGTCCATCAAAGGACTCTAGGTTCCAAGTTGCTTTTACCCAGAAGGCGCTTTATGACTGCATGGCTTTTCAGATAATGAGCGTTTCAACGTGGTGGGCTTTGCCAAACACCGGGGCAGAGAGGGTATAACTGTCGGTTTTTGCGTCACATAACGTAAGGGTATCTCGTTGTCGACTGAAAAAGAGGCCCTGACTAAGGTGATAAACAACTGGGACCTTCGACTGTCCATGTTTGCTACAATAGGACCTTTAGCATATGGTTATTTAAGTAATTGATGCCTATGATATGTGTTAGCAAAGCCGTTCTGAAGAATTTTCTGCTGCTCAATTTGACGAGTTAACTAGTTAATGTTAACTAGCTACTTACCGGTATGTCTGGCAAATGATACTCCTAGTTTTATCAAATTTTCGAACAAAGGGATGGCACTGTCTCTGTCGATAATCATACTCCGACTAAGGTCTCTGTTGCGTGAGGTTGAAGAGACGTTCAGCCGCCAGACGCGCGTGTGACGTCACTGTGAGGACCACCGTAGTTAAACAACATCTCGAGATGCTGTCTACAACGCCGCACCTACACACACTGTTACGTACGTCTACACGCGTAGTTCAATATAGCTCCATCATGCCTGCGAAGAAGCGCAAAGGGTCCGAGGCATTCTCCCCCGAAGAATCACGACAACACAGCGCGTCGTCTCAACTCACATCGCGTTCACTGCCGGACCTAAGACAACCACATCCCAACGCACGGCAGACCGAAGATTTTGGTATAGTCTTACGCGACTTTTATCCCCCGGAAATAAGCAACGCGCGCTGCCATGCCTATAATGAAGGAGTACTAGAGCGCCCCATTGAAGCACTGCAGCGGGCATACAAGGAGACAACGGAGCAATGCCAGGATATCCAGCCAGGCAAAGCCGTTGTGCATTGGTTCAAACAAGACCTCCGCCTTCAAGATAATCGCTCGCTACACAGAGCCTACAATTTTGCTCGCGACCACAATATACCCCTTATCTGTTTATACATTTTCTCGCCAGAAGATTTGACTGCTCATTTATGCAGTCCGCCTCGAGTTGACCTTATCTTGCGGACACTGGCCACTCTGAAATCGGGATTATCGAAGAAGGATATTCCATTATACATGGAATCAATCAAAAGAAGAAAGCGGATTCCCAGCCGTATAGTCGAGCTGTGTAAGACCTGGGGCGCAAGCCATCTTTTTGCTAATATAGAGTACGAGGTGGATGAGCTCAGGCGTGAAGCAAAGCTCACTCGTCTCTGCGCCACGCAAGGCATTATATTTGACTCCGAGGATGATGCCTGCGTTGTGGCTCCTGGAGAATTGTCTACACAGCAAGGCAAACAATACGCTGTATATACCCCTTGGTATCGGTCTTGGGTGGCTTATCTCAAGCAGCATCCAGAAAACTTAGAGCTTGTTGATGCACCAGCTGTCAATGCAGGTGATGCACGGAAGCATTTTAAAGACCTATTTGACAGTGCTGTTCCGATAGCTCCAAATCAAATGAAGTTATCCGAAGCAGAGCAAGAACGATTTAAGAAAATGTATCCCGAAGGCGAGCAAGAAGCAACACGAAGGCTTCGAGAATTCTTATCGGAAAAGGGAAAACAGTATCACTCCAAACGGGACTTTATGTCTAGCCAGTTTACCTCTGTTCTGAGCCCCTATTTTAGTTGTGGGGCTTTGAGTGCTCGAACTGCAGTTCGTATGGCTAAATTTTCTAATGGTAACGAGCTGGCTGGGAAAAGCCCAGGATACTCTACGTGGATTAGCGAAGTGGCCTGGCGAGACTTTTACAAACACGTATTAACTCATTGGCCCTATATATGGCAAGTAGCCTTTCATCGAAGCTATGAAACTATGTGGCCTCGTAATAACAGATGATTCCTCTAGTATGAATAAATGCTTCAAGCCGGAATTCACAGATTTAGAATGGGAATACGACTCAACCCAGTTCGATGCATGGTGTGAGGGAAAAACAGGATTCCCCATCGTTGATGCCGCGATGCGACAACTCAAGCACTGTGCCTGGATGCACAACCGCACGCGAATGATAGTGTCCTCGTTCCTCTCCAAGGACTTACTTATTGACTGGAGACGCGGAGAGCAGTTCTTCATGCTCCATCTGATTGATGGGGATTTTGCATCAAATCACGGTGGCTGGGGGTTTGGATCAAGTACGGGAGTAGATCCTCAGCCGTATTTCCGCATATTCAACCCTTTACGTCAAAGTGAGAGGTTCGATCCAGACGGTGACTATATCCGGCATTGGGTACCTGAGCTGCGAGACGTCGAGGGTTCCGCTATTCATGATCCTTACGGAAGAGGTGCTGAGGAAATTGCAGAGAAGAACGGATACCCGAGACCGATTGTGAACCATACGGAGAGCAGGGAAAGGGCGCTGGAGAAATACAAGAAAGCCGCTCATGGTTCTTAGAAGATTCACGTGATACAAATAAACTTCCTTACCCGGTCCGGCCCGAAAGTCTCCGCATTTAAGGTTATCTATGTCTTGGCAAAGCTTCACTCAGCATTATGCTTTAAGCTATGAAGATCACCATGGCTTAGTCGAGCTGATACATCCAGCACAAGGCAGCGTCAGGTTTACCCAGAATGGCGGTAAATGAGTGTCTTATGTAGGCGAGGATTCATAACGCGGCCCCGGGCTCACGGTATCCAAATGTTTTTGCCATTTTTATACTCGGCATTTGCGTTACTTATCAAAGTAATGCATTCTGGACTCGGGATATTATTCCCCACAAGGGCTGCCACTTCGGCGAATAATAAGCTACGTTGATCAGGACAGTACCTGCACCAGCATTATACACAGCTTACTTCATTTTAGTTGAAGTATTACTTATTAAGCGCGAAAGGAATTGTGGTTCGGCTCCGTTGCAATCTTCACCAACTACTCTCGTACTCTGTCAAAAATACTACGAGTTAATGACTGGTCATGGACTTATTGCCTCGTCTCGGAATATGCGCCAATGTTGTTGGTTCTTCCATATTGGCTACCATTGAATTGTTATACAGAGTTACCTGGGGCCTCTAACAATACGAATCAGAGCCTAGCCGGAGTTCGAAAAACACATGCATAGCAAATGGGTCTCCCTTCTAGATCTAATTACTATGCGTGGCCGATATCTGCTAGCTCACTCGATTGTAGCTAATGTTGGAAGCAGCATACTGCTTACTACAGCATTGGTGCAGGCCATCAACTGACATGCCTATGTTAAATTTCAGGAGACAGATCATAAGGACTACCTAATGAACTCGCTCTATAAAGAGGAGGTCCTTCAGGCCCTTTGGACCAAGAATACCAGACTCACAAACAATTCCATTGTCGTTATCTAGTATCAGCCACCTGGATTGCCACTATGCGTTTCACTCCCTCAAACTTGCTGTCTTTACTGGCAGTGGGAGCCATCCTCCAGCCCGTCGTTGTTCCTAGGGCAATTACTACTGGACTTATCAATGGAAGAGATGAATCCGGCTTGACCAAGTGTGATGGTATGTACTTCCTAGCTCTTACCATTATACTCCTAATGCTCTAGCTAATTTTACATAGTTACTCTCGGTTGTGTGGATGAGACCATCCAGACACCCGATTTAGAAGATCATGCGGTTATCCCAGCCCTTCAAAAGAGAAAGGGAAGAAGGCCTGGAAGTAATAATAGGCCCAACAGGAATGGTCATGGAAAACCTAGCAAGCCAGCTACCGATCCTACCTCAAGCCCAAAACCAGGACCAACAACAAAACCATCTTCTGTCTCGACTACCCAGCCAGCAAAGACTTCCTCGACAACCTCAAAAGCGGAACCAACTACTAGCTCCAAGGTACACTCATCCACCAGCTCAAAGGTTGTCTCTAACACCCGAACAACATCATCCGCAACCTCTTCTCAGTCAACGTCAGCATCAACGTCCAGGACAGCGTCAACTACCAAGTCAGTCACAAGCTCAGCAACAACTTCGAGCTCGCAGACATCTGCGCACTCGACATCTAGTGCCCATTCCACATCTAGCTCAGGAGAAAACTCTTCTATAAAATCGGAGGAACAATCAGCCACCCCCTCAGAGACACCGTCTATAACAAGCTCAACTTCCACGATAAAGCCTACCTCTGAGGCCGAGTTAACTACAACCTCCGAAGAAACATACACAACCACAAAGTCTGGCGTTACCGCTGTTCCCACATCGTCTGAGAAAGGGTCGGCCACCAGGTCTGAATCTGCTACGACTGATTCGTCTTATACCCCTGTACCCACATCCTCGGAGACAGACGTATCTACCAGTTTAGATGAATACCCAGCCACAGAATCAGCTTCAACACCCGTATCTACATCTGAATCTGAACCCACGACTACCGTAGACAGACATACAACTACAAAAGAGTCTTCGACACACGTCCCTACAGAAACAGCATCACGTACCAGTTCGGAGACAGACCCAACAACAGCTTCGACCCAAGAACCAACATCAACAATTGAGCCAGGACTAAGCCATGGCAGGACTGATAACAAGAACACCAGCATACTGAGTTGGGAAGAGTATATGAGAGATGGATTGAACGCACTTAATCGTTTCAAAAATGCGATTCAAAACAAGGAGCCGGATTTAGAAGCCGGTAATTTTGAGGACAATTATAAAATCGAGCATGACAACATAATGATCGGCGAACTGGTCAAAAACGACGGTGGAAAATGGAATCTCTGGAAAGCAACAGGACTTGACCAGTCAGCACTATACGAGGGTGTCTTTGTGAAGCCAATGACACCTAAATCGGATCGTGACGTGGTCTCTGAGAATTATTATAACAAGGCTGCTAGAACAATGGTCATCGCTAATAGCGACATCAACCTTGATAATACAGCGGACGATAAAAAACTGCGATGGTCCGAGCTCACTTTCCAAGGCTGGAAAAAACTTGCTGGCGACGATGCGAAGAACCTTCGCTGGGTTATCCGGAACAATGTCATTAACCCGGGAACCGTTGCGACAGTGAAGAATGCCATCGAATTGACGAACCAAAATCCCAACAAGCGCGCAGAATTTAAGCTCGATGCCAGTAACAGAGAGCTAAATGATGCATTTGTTGCTCTAGCTGGAACTGTGAATGTTAAAGGAGTAATCCACATGCTTGCAGACCATCACAACGATATGGGAGGACTTGGGCTTAAGAAGATACATGCCTTTGGACCACACAAACTCCTCCTAGAACTTGGGCGGAAGCTTACTTAGCGGATGAAACTTCAGGTTTAACTAATTGGTTAACTCCAAGTCCAAAGCTGCAGGTCACTTTAGACTTCTCCTTTTATTTTCCTTTCTTTTATATATAAGTTCCGATTTCTCATTCTAACCTAATCTTGTTATTACCTCCCTTTTTTTCCTTTAGTGTATTTAGGTATCTTCTGACACCCTCCCTCCTTCTAGCGATTCTTCATCGTCACTAGTTATAATTGGAGTCTCATCGCAACTACTCCATTCATACACAGTATCAACATGATTGTCCATATCTACTCCAAGAGTCAGTAACCAGGAGGCCAGCGAATAATGGCCATTACTTATTGCCTTTCTATACGCCCATTGACCTATTTGCTGTCCAGTTTGGCGCCATCGATCTGGCTCTCTTCCAGAAACCTGAGCTCCATGATCAAGAAGCAGCTGAATGATATCTTTATGACCCCCCGCTGCTGCATTTTGTATGGACCCGAATTTTGCATCGACATAGGCTCCAAATTGTAGGAGGACACGTACCACCTCCAGATGGCCATATTTAGATGCCATAGTTATAGCCGACTGATGCTGTGAATCATAATCCGGATCTGCTCCTGCCTCCAGAAGCACACGGGCTATATCGTGGTACCCTTTCCTGGCCACACGTATTAAAGGTGTTTCGAATCGTCTCATGCATTCTATATCGCCGCCTTTATACAGTATGAAGCGTACAAGATATATTGATCCAGATTCACAGGCAGCCATGAGGCAATCTGCCCACTGAAACAAAGGGTCGGCCTGCGGAGCTGCGGCGTCCACGAGTTGCTTAAAGGTATTGAAGTGGCCACCTCTGGCGGCAAATACCAGGGCTCTATAGAATCTGTCGCCAGACCTTTGTACACCTAGGTTTGGCTGAAGAAGGAGGTCCACGATCTCTTCATGGCCTGCAAAAGCAGCTGCTTGGAGCGGAGTCCGCGGATGTGACCGATCATGAAGTCGATAGAAGTATGACGGGTCCGCATGGAACTTGAGTAGGAGATTGATCATCTTTCTGTTTCCTCTAGATGCCGCAATGCAAAGCGGTGTCCCAAATACCTGGCTGGACTGATTGCAAGACACACCCTGTTTCAACAACTCGGCGACTAGCCGGATATTGTCATCATGAACTGCTGCAGAAAGAACGTGGATGAGTGACTTGGGTGTCTGTGTCGTACAGCGGTATCCTTTCGACCATGGACAATACCCTGAGAAGGCCTTGCTAATGGTCAAGGTTGTAACGGCACTGCATGCCGCCTTGACCAGGAGGAGAGTTTTCTCAGCCTTTAGCTCATGAGAGGTCGTCTTTTCCGCCTGGAGTAGGGCCTTCACCGTTTCCCTTATAGTACGGATCGCATATGTCGAATTACTTTCCTCCCGGAGAATACTGAGCTTTGCGTAGGTATAAAATACCGTATTGCGAGGCGGCCAGCAACCCATATTATCAAAGAAAGCTTTCATCACCCTCACATTCGCATAAGCCCGAACAATTCCACAGTTAAATAATTCTAGAATATACCAAATATACCAAGAAGTGACAAATTGTCAGTAATCTAAGCTTCGGGTAGTGAGGATCGAGATATAGATATGTACGTACTGCTAACAAGTCTAACTGAGGATGCATCACGGCCTGAGGTAAGGATTATCTGATTGAATATTTCATCGCAGAGTTCAGGAGGGAGATCCAACAGGCCCATTGTTGTCAGTGATATGTGTTGGGTATTATTTATCCATATGACATCAAGTGTCGAAGGAATGAAAGCCGTACGAAGTATGCAGTTTGTTTTTTGAAGTTGTCAAGTTACGGAGTACAGAGGACGGAGTTGACTAACTAATTAGTTAGACTAGTTATCTTGCTCGTTGCTATGGTTATCCCTGACCTTAACTATTTGTCAACTAACCATTAGTTATAACTAACTAGTTGGCTAACTCAAATCATGAAGATAATTGTTACCGGCAGTAACTAGTTAATTGGAACTGTCATATCGTCAGGGTAGACCGTTCTTCTGCAACCCGCCCATACATCATAATGCTTGCACATAACTAGCAATTAACTAACTAGTTATCAATTAATCCGCGGACAAATTGGCTACTTGAAAATAGAATTTTGATCCTGACAGGGATCACATCGCGGACCAGTTATCCAAAAAGGGACAGCCCGCCAACGAGTTGATAACTAGGTATCTAACTTGGTGAAAAAATCAACCATAACCAGGCATATACGGAGTACCCACACGCGATATAGCCGATGGGATCACTAGGTATATATAGGGGATACTCACACCCGCCCTTGCCTCAAAACTCCATACCTGTTCGAACAGCTTCCTTCGCTCCTCGGATACCTTCCACCAAGACAAAATTCCCAGCCGCGTTTGACAGTTGTTGTTTCAATGTTTTTGAGAAGTACCATCCATCGAGCTGCGAAAGGCGTCTTTTTCAATACGTCTTGTCTCTCCGCACATGGATTCTCTAGTCGTGTTCCAGGGCTGATTGGCTCGCAGTTTCGTCGAATAACTGGCCCAACATTTGGAAAATGCGGCCGTCTAAGACGAATCGATGACCCCAGCAATATCGTCAGGTGGAAGCTACAGAGCCATTTTCCCTGGGGCTGGGTGGTCTATCGAATTTCATACAGCGACGAAGAAGCATGGCAGAAAATGCTTCATATCATGCGCGAAGAGGTCGTAGACTCTCTCAAAACATACACACGGATGGATCTGCTTCCTTTCCATGAGATGATCATCATGGATGATAAGGCTAAATTCGACGGCGCCACGTCGCATGATATCCGTGATCACTTCACTATGTGGGTTGCTGATACCGTAGTGCCCAAAATGATTACTGCGCCCTCCGAGTCTGAAATGAAGGAGCTACGAGATCCCTACAAGGAGGATCCCGGTCCAGAATGGATTATGGGCACTCGGTACAATTTCTGCCTATTCGTTGATGACATCTGCCTGGAGTCTATGGAGCATATGACAACGCCGGTCGTAAAGATACTGGCCAAAAACTTTGGCGCGCGGAAACCAGAGGATAGACATTATGCAGTATATCCAGGATGGGAGGATGGCGAAACAGAAGAAAGTGACGAGGACGTTGGCTGGATGTATACTTCGGTTGTGGAAATTGTCGAGAATTACAATATGATGATGGAGACGCACGAGTGGTATGACGAATATCGGCGGCCGCCTAATATATGGTACCCATGGACCAAAGATGAATTTCCGGGTTACTGGCGTAAGCGCACGAATGTTGAATAATTCCATCCTTGGTCAGGCCTTACTTGATCACTACTTCAGTACGACTACGATGCCAACAGCTGAGTGAAGAGACTAGAATATGTACTATACATAATGCAGAAAAGATTCAGTAGTAAGCCTAGAAGATTATTCAATATGTATTCTACCTGCGTGCCTCGACCATACTGGTCACAAGGTAGCCTCAAACAGCAGTTCAAATTTCAGAGCTTTTCGAATTGATCTCGACGAAAACGAACTATAAATAGTTCAACCAACCAACCAACAAAAACTACTTAGAGTTACTAGCGTAAAATAGAGTTCTAAAAAGCCCCGCCGGTCCGCATCCGGACCCACCGCCAAGCCCAGGTCGAGGCGCTTCCCCTTGCATAAAAAGCACGATGAGGACTCTTTCATACAGAGTGCTTTTACGGAGTACACGATATCCTTATGTCATTCGCGTCGAGAGAGAGGTTTTTCTCCCAGTCAAGGGAGTCAGTCAATTCAACTCATGGGAGCGAGATAGAACGAATGATGAAGACCGATATGGAGGAGGCCTATAATGCATTCCATAAAGGTGAAGGAGGTCATTAGTTAACTTGCTATATAGGACATGGATGTCTAGATAACTAACGAATTCGCTACCACCGTCTCGGTCCCTAGCTGAAATTATGGACTCTGCCCCCTTAGTGATACCATGTGCCTGTCATCTGTCTTGACATCCGGAGTGGCCGAGAAGAGGTCTTCTTGTAAAATTCTGCCCTTGAAAGATATATATATAAGCAATCGCCATTCTACATGGGCATGTAGCGGGTTGTTGCAAGGCCGACATAATTGGTTAACCATCACAATGCCTTTCATTTTGCCTTCCTCCCTTTTACCACTAGGAGTGGTCACACTGTGGCTCTCAAATTTCGTGTTTGGCCAGCAAATACAAAATTATACAGTATCCCACGACGTGTTAGGATTGAGCGACAGATGTTTTGAAGTAGTTAACATCACAGTTCCTTCTTGCCCTGATTTTCTTCCCGAACATGCAGGTTTCTTGTGAGTCCACTCCAGCATCAACTAGGGCGTCTCAGTCAATTGACAAAGCATACCCCGTAGAACATCGAGAGTGAAGTTTCTCCATGATGATACTCTTGACAAGTTGTGCGAATCATCTTGCTTGGCAGATCTTGAATCTCTTCAGGCTTCGATTCAAGAGGCATGCGCTGATGATAAAATGGTTCCCCCCTGGGGGGCGGTTTATCCAGGTATCATTCATAACCTAACTGGTGTTTATGATAGTTACTAAGCTCCCCCCTTCCTTTGGCACAGCGACATACATTGTTGACCGTTACATTTACGCAACACGTCTCTCTTGTCTGAAAGACAGGTAAGGCACTAGACAACCGACTGAGAAGCCAGGGGCTTATAACCAAAATAGAAAATCCGGTCAATATTGCCAAACGATGATAGCAGAGTGGGCTAATGACAAGAATCGTTCAGCATCGCATGCTTGTTCGGAGTGTGAGCTTGGTATCCAACACATTCGACTTTCTTCTCCGTTTGGCTACAATGATGAAGATGCTGCAGTTTTCTCCGCGTTGACATCAAGCTGTGGTGTCCAAGGATATAACTACGACATACCAGCCCAATATGCACTCAACTGGACTGGGCCCTTTCCAGACAGATCATGCGACCACACAGAAATCACAGCCCAGCCAAATGATACCTGTATAAATCTATCCGGTTCAAATAGTGTATCCACCTTCCATCTGATCCAGGAGAATGCAATGGATTTTGCTTGTAATGATCTGCCTCGGCGTAGTCATTACCTTTGCCTTCCCTTGCACTGCAAAACACACCAACTTGGAACAGTGGAAGATTGCAATTCCCTGGTTGAGCATTTTAATATCACCATGAAAGAACTCTTGAAGTGGAACCCCATGATCAACCCAAACTGTACCAACCTCGACTCATGGAGAGGGTGGCATCTCTGTACAAGGTGAGCCCACGCTCTTTAATAACTTCGGCTAAACAGGCTAACAAATGTTATGAAATAGTTCCCCAACAAGTACAATACCCTATCGGGAAGATGGTTCATTAAAACGTCCCGAGAGAAAACTGCCAACCCCTCCAACCCCTAATCCCCTTGCCCCAGGAACAATTGAGGGCTGCTATAGATATGAGAATGCAAATGAGGAAGAATCAGCCCGCGATGCCTCATTAAACGTATGTTGGTGGTGGGCAGCAAAAGGAGAAGTAAAAGTCGAGGAACTTCTCGCCTGGAACCCGAGTCTCCGCTGGGGGGAGGATTGTTACTTGAAACCCGGGTACAGGTACTGCACCAGGCGCTGGAAAGATAGACGTAAGTTGAGATGGATTTGTGCATGCAATGCAGCTGTTACACAGGCTAATATGAAACCAGCAACTCTTCCCCACGAGTATTGCTCAGAACCAAATTCGAGATTTATACCTTCGCCTTCGATTCAGCAATGGGAATGTAGCTGTTATCTAGAAGTGGGTATAACCGACAAAAGTATGCAACAAAAATCAAAGGACAAAGATTTTCACGCGAAATAGAATCAGCTAACAGCTCGATAGAATACTTGAGTTGCTCCGAAATACCAGACTATACCGGCCTCAGCCTCTCAGAATTGCGCACGTTAAATCCGTGGATAGAGAAAAACTGCAAGGAAGATACATTTACAAGCAAACTATCGGAGGATGGCTTCCTTCAGCTCTGTCTGGAGCACTCAAACCCAGATCTGACGCCGCTATCCCTACCAGATTCCATCCAGCCTGCAGCAACTACAATTTGCAAGGAGTGGCATATCGTTTCCGAAGGCGATACCTGCCAGAGCGTTATCGAGAAATACGGAATTTCTCCTGATGAGTTCTCGTCTTGGAATCCTGGAATCAGGAATGACTGCTCGACTCTGTGGGTTGGTTATGGGGTATGTATTGGAGTGAAAATGTAAACAAGACAGGAACTTGGCATGTCAATAGAGGCAAGATGAGTTTGAAGTCCAGTTGTAATAATGGCTTGGATGTTGATTTATGTCGTTGATCTAATCAAGTGATGCAAAACAATGTCTGCGCAAAAATTCATAATTGACTGATTTTTCCTGAATGAGGTATGCAGACCGCAGCACATAAACCTTCAATATAAATCCATTAAAATGGAGATAACTGGTGCTGTATAACCAAAAGCATGGTCGAGGCAGCCAGCAATGAGGTTGACTATCACCCAGTCTCGTCTTTTAGGGACTGCTTTTGAAGAAGGTAGTGGCAGCTCAGCGGGCACAAGGTACGATACTAATGGGCTTGGGAGTACCATGGAATCACCATAGGCTATGGCAAGGTGGGACAACAATATATGTCGAGGTGCTTAGGGAAATGGACCTAGCAAATAGCGCAGTTTGGCCAAGTCACTGTGGAAAAGAGGAAGCACACACTGTAATCCCACATAGTTTCTTCCGTAGCTGATCCTCGGGAATTATGAGGGGTGTGGTTTGCCTTGAATTTCTACAGGCTGAGCATTTGTCATTGGTGTTCGGCGCCGAGAAAGCGATTGCCAGGACCCAAGCGGTTCGTAGACTCCAAAAGGGTATTCATAACTGATATGATCCCACCTATGGAAGCCGGTCGATCCCGTATATGATGTGAGGAGACACTGCGGATGTTTTTAATATCGACGCAGCAGATATGTCAAGGCTTGCTCAGTGCTTCATTTGAGAGCAGACCGTGGAATGAGGTGGAGTATTACTCCATGCATCGCAAGTAACGGGCGTTCAGATATCCATAGCATCCGGTACCGATATGTTGCTTGAAATGCTGCTAATCGTTGAAGATGGCTCCGAGCTTTGTTCTCTAGATTTAACTTGGGCCCTCCAGGCCTTTATAGATTCTGCACCACCTTCAATGATGACGGGCCGTTCCTTTGCGTCTTTTCCAAGAACTGTTCCTTGAAACCTCGATTCTTCGCCAGTCTTGCTGTGTTTCTTTTTCAACGCTATAGAAATCAAAGCAAGTTAGACTAAAGGTTCAGGATAAACAGAGCATAATGATAGCTAGGAGTGACATACCAGTTAGATAGTCTTCTTTCTCTAAAGAATCTTCATCAACTACCTCTCCCTCGCCCGCGATAAACCCACAGACACGTCTGATTTCAGTATTCATGGGCCCAGTGAACCATGCCAGAAACGCTTCAAGAGCTCTCATATCCTCTTCTCCGCGATGATCCTCTTCTAGCCTGCTCATCTGAGGCCGCAGGGCACCAACATCTTGTAAAGCCATAAGTATGTCGTCGAGCGTTGGTGTAGGGCACACTGCGTGACTGTTTATTGCATGCTGGGCAGTAGATGAAGCAAGGAACAGAAGGTACCGGCCGGCGAGGTCAGTCAGGGTATCGACTACGGCCGGTCGAGTAGAATGGAATCCCGCAGCACGAAGAATCTGAATGACTGGAGGGCGTAGCAAACTGATATGTAGGTCCGGCGTAGACATCTTGAGGATTGGTTCTGGTGGATGAAGATGATCAAGGGAGCTTCTACCAACAAGCCAGGAAGCGCATCCTATAGCTATGGTAGGGAGAAGGACATAAATAGGCCCCGGTAACCAATGATTCTGATCGCAAACACGCTAACCGGTCAATAGAGCCGCTCAATAGGACACTCCCAGGCCGGTTTATTCTCACTTGTGTTATTGCTGGGTTATTGTTCAGTTGTTGTTGTCGTTCGCTGTTTGAATCGCAGAAAAAGCGACAATGGGAGCTGACTAAGCCGTGTTGTTCTCCAGGCGCAATCAATAATAATGACATCTTCCAAAACTTCTGCTTCACGAGACATTTAAGCCATCAACTCCCGCCGAGCAAGCTTGAAAGGCCTCCTTTGCGATGCTACCAGGAATGCTACGACCTCCGATAACTACAAGCTGACCCAAGTGATACCTTAAAAATGGCTGGTCGGCAGATATTGAAGCTCACCATCGGAAAGAAGGCGGCGCAGCCATCACAATCATCGCAAGCAGCGCCGCAACCGTCCCAGAAATCCCCTACTCCTCCGCCTCCCTCAGCTTCCTCGACTCCAGCTGCAGCGCCAAAGCTGAAACTGAAGCTCGGTCTTAAGCAGCCAGCACCACAGCCCGAACAGAAACAAACGCCAGCGAAGGCCAAGAAAGCAGCTTCCACAAAGACTCCAAAAGAAACACCGGCAAGCAGTTCCTCTAAGAAGAGATCGCGGGATGCAGCCGCGGATACGAATGGAAAGGCCTCAGGAGCTGCAGCACCTGCTGAAGGAGCCCCTATTAAACGATTCAAGCTCACCGCAAAGCCCAAACAACCTACCTCCCTGCGAATCAAAAATAAAGGCGCACCTCCCGTAAGACCAAGAGGCTCGGGATATGATTCAGAAGCTTCTGATACCGAGATAGACCCTGCTCTGGAAGAAGAGTTCATTTTACGAATGGAGCCTGGAGATGATTGTGAATATCTGCGAAAAGCTATCGAGGAAAAGCGGTTTGGGCCTCGATCATTGGGTGGTGCGGATGTTAGCTTCAAGTCGCTTACCCGTGATGGAAGAAGAGCTACCGTTACGATACGAGGAAATATTTATGCTGCTACGTTGGTTGACCTGCCAGCTATAATAGAGGGACTGAAAAGCTGGGATAAAAGAGGCTGGTACAAAGCTGCAGATATATGTCAGATGCTGTTGGTCCTTGGGAAGGTCAAGACGGAAGAAGAAGCCCACCATTACCCTTTGCCTAAGGACGTTGACCCTGCGACATTTCAATATGCACATGGTCTGACACCTCCCTTGCGGTGGGTGAGAAAGCGACGCTTCCGCAAACGCATCAGCAATCGTACTATTGAGGCAGTGGAGCTCGAAGTTGCCAGGCTATTGAAAGAAGATATGGCTGCCATCAAACCACCTGATTTCGAGATCATGGACCAGAGCCAGTACGCACGTGAAAATCAAACAGAGCAAGATGGTTTCGAGGAGTATGATGACGAGCAGGATGCAGAAGGAGAATTCTTCGACGAAAGTCAGCAATACGAGGAACAGCAGTATGAAGAACCCATGGAAATGGATGACGACCTTGCTGCAGAGATGGAAGCAGAGCTTGCGGCCCACGCCGACGCCGGGTCAGTGCCAGCTTCTGCAACACCAGACGTCAGCCACACCGGCGAAGATAGCCACGAACCTGACGCTGAGGGTGAGCTGGAGATAGGCACTCCGCAAACTCCTCACACCCCACTGCACCCGCCAGTAGAATCTTCAGGGGACGAAGATGAGAGTGGAATGTCTGCCGCTGAAGATGCCAATGAGGATTTGGATCAAGATGCTCTTGAGCAGCAGCGTCAACTGCAAGAGCAGCTTGAGGAGATTGCCGAGCTCGAGGCCGACGTGCAGGCAGAGACTCGCCGGTGGGAGGAAATGAACAATCCGATCTTGAAGGCGAAACTTGGCAAACGTGTACAGAATTTGAAACAGGCTTTGGAGCTGAAGAAGGTCTCTATCGGTGGCAGGGGGTGAGTGTTGTTTATGATACCAAATATGTAATACCCATTTCGTTTTTACGTTGCTTTCCCCCCCCCGCTTTTGATACCAAACATGGTGAAATACGGTATTAGGATAATTTGCTTTTAATATCACACTCTCAATAATCACACGAGACACCTCTCGATGGACAATACAAACACATTCCGTGCATAATCCTGTATATATTAGCAGATATCAACGTCCTCCTTATTTCCCCTTTTGGGCCATCTTGAAGAAACGGTCACATGACCCTAAGCGCCGGATGACATCATGTGACGCCAGCCAATCGAGTCTCCACTAAAGAAGGAAAGTCGCGACGTTCCTCGAGTTTCATACTTCATCGCCTCGAATGGAATAATGGAATTTGATAGCTAGAAGATAAGGACACTCAAGTTCGAGAATTTGCAAGGAGAGTCTTTGCTGTACTCCGCTGCCTGTTGAAGAACCGGGATACGCGTTTCTTCTCACGGTGGGGGCAGACTTCATGCGTCACACTTTCACCGGTGTACCATCTGTGGACACTGTATCCAGCTGCATGTAAACACAGCTAACACAGCTAATATCTTACCGAACATAAGGATGGTCCTTTTATTTACTCTACCAACAACTTCACACATTCAATTTTCCCCATTTATCCATTCACATACCCATCCGTCCCTCCCGCAGGCGAGTTCGACCGCTCGCCATGGCTTGAGGGCTGCTCTCAAGAAGCATAAACGCCTTTCCCCTGCCCAGCGGGCCTCTCACCTCCCGCATGTCCTAATAGCATTGAACGAGTATATTCCCTATTTATCTGCTATATCACGGGGATTAAGCTCTAACTCGTGGCGGGAAGATGCTACTGGAGGGGGTGAAGAAGGTGGGGGCAGATGGCAAGGCGTCGAAGATATTGACATCCTACTTCGAGCTGAAATCGAGGTCGAATGGCGTCCAACTTTGAGCTCCATGTCTACGATACGAATGCTACGCCAAGCTGCGATGCGGGGCAACGATTCGTCTTCCGCTTCTTCGTCGTCACGAGTAAAGGGCCGTGGCTTGGACTTCGAGATTGCCTTCGTCTTGTCGACCCTGGCTTACGTCCATTCATCACTTGCACGAACTGAATATTTAACCACTTTGTATTCGGCAAACACTCCTACCGTTGAGCAGAAGGCAACGGCTATTCAATCTGCGACGAAACACTTACTTCAAGCTAGCAGTATACATTCTTACCTTGCCACGTTCTCCCCGGTATCAATTTCGGCTCCTTCAAATACATATACTCCAGGTGATCTTGGGGCCGAGATGGTACATATACCAATTCCTGACCTGGACCCATCAATGCAATCTGCTCTATCGTCACTGGCCTTAGCCGAGGCAACTTTACTTGCTGTTTTAAAGGATGATGCTTTCCTGTCAGCCTGTATTCAGTCACGCAACAAGAACGATACAGAATGGATGATTAAATCTCCTGATATCCCCAAAGTTCGGACACTCCTTTTCGCACGCCTTTGTGTTCGCGCGGCAGAATATGCCGAGCAGGCAGCAGCTAGCGCTGTAATGCTACAAAAGGGTAAAGGATCAGCTGCTAGCCATGGTGATGCCGGGTCTGAGAGGAAAATAGACAGCAGTCTTGTGAATTACATGTCCATTCTGGCAAGAGTAGCAAGAGCAAAGGCTTGTCGATTCTTCGGCATTGATGCTGAAATGTCCGGAAAAGTTGGAGAGGGAATTGCCTGGCTAAGGGCAGGTCGGGATATGCTTGGGTTCAAAGGCTTGACAGCAGAGACGGGCGCCGATCAGTCGTCTAAGGGCAAATTAAGTGGATTCTCGCGATTGAAGAGGGAGTGGTCGGAACGGAGAGAGGAAAAGAAAATAGAGAAAGTAGCGACGTCGTCTAAAACTGGTGAGCTCGTGACTGACATTGACTACGGCGATGATGCCGGGAGGGAGGAAGAGGGAAGGGTAATTGATATGCTTGAAAAGAAGTGGATGAAGATGAACGATACAGTATGTTCCTACCTGGTATTTTTATGTTTTCGTTCTCGTTGATAACCATCTGGTGATCAGGTCAATACCCAGTCCATCCCTTCTCCAAGCTCATACGCTTCTAAGCTACCTTCTGGAAGGGATATACACGCGCCGCCAGGGCCATATGTACCACCTATGTTGGAGCCAGCTGAGCTCGAACGATTAAGAGGACCTATTGAGCCTCCCGATTACAACATAGACGTGGAAAGTAGCGAAGGCGAGGATGACAAGGAAACATCCCGGAGCTATTATTAATTTGCAATCTCACTGGAGTGCTAACATCCAACGGTTGATATTTGATGAAATCATATGCATATAATAATGGTGTACAGCTTGTTCTTTTTTAAAGTTGATAGGATAACAGTTAATGTCTGCATATAAGAAATAGTTTGCAAATATCTATACATGAAAGTGGCCCCAACATCTAACCGCATGCCACATAACACCTTGTCTGAAGTTCCCATGTACCGGTAGATAGAATAGCGAGACACTTCGGTCAACCTAGCCACTCAATCCAACCACAGGAAACCAGACGGTTCAGACGGACACCTTCATATCCCATTCAAATCGCCACACAGCTCATTCCCTCCAGCTCCTTCCACTCACTGCTGCTTCTCGAAGTAGTTCTTCTCCTGGAACAAGTATCCCTTGACCTTCCTCTCCCCTAGAAGTTCGAAGTATTTATCTGTCCAATGCCACACGTTAGCACCACACTCCCTTTCCTGTCATCCTTGAATTATCCTCTGCCGATGATATAACTGGGTGAACTCACCTCTGAGCTTTCCGCACTTCTCCAGGTGGTTCACGCCCTCTCTTCGGTAGCATTTGCCCAATTCATCGCCAACAAGTCTGGACATCATGCTGCGAACCCATTGTTCGCGAATTATAGCGTCTCGGGCATTGTGTAGGGCGACGGTGTCTTCGAAGTCGACGCCATCGTATGTTGGAGGGACGGTTGGCTTCTTTGCCAGGAAGGCAGCGGACTCGGGGGTTGGCATTGTGATTTCGCTTCAGAAGGAGAGTAATTGGACTGGTGAGTGGCGGGCACAGTACCGTAGTTGCGGTAGAGCTGAAGCTATTTGACGTGCTTGATACTGATTCTTCTTCTATCTTTGAACGAAGCAAGTCGGCGAAGTTGAAGTCGCAGAAAATACCAATTTCCTATTGGTCAGAAGTTTAACTCACGTGATGTGATTATATCAGCAGTGTAATATTCAATAAGTTTTGTTACTTTTATATATCGAGACGAGAAGAAGTGATGGAAGGAGAATGATAGAATGAAAGAAAAAGAACCCAGGAAGAAGCAGATGTTAAGATAGTTAATACAGGTATCCCATGGGATCGAATGAGGACAAGATACACAGAAAAAGACTCATGACACGTCGCTTGTAGGAAAACGAATCGTACTTTTCCAGTTGAGCAGAACAAAAGAGGAAATCGAATACATATAGGAGGTGGAGGAAAAGAGGAATGAAGAGAGAAAAAATGGCTGGTTGGTAGGATGAGAGATCCAACGGAAGCACACGAAAAGACATATATGCACACTGGTATGAAGGTAGCGATGGTCTAAATGGGAATGCGAACGTTCACAAGGCGAGCTCAGGGCTGGGATGCAGAGTCAAGTCGAGTCGAGAAAGAGAAAAAGGAAAAAGGAAAGAAACAGAACCAGCAGCCCAGGACAGGAACGAGATATTCTACTGTCGTGAAGAAAAAAAAAGGAATGGAATGGGTAAAAAGGGGGGGTGCTTCCGTGTATACTTGGAGAACTGGAAGCAAAGACATTCAACGTAGAAAGAAGAAAAAAAGGCAAGGAGAAAACATTATATAGAAACAATCTTTCGAGAGTGATATATTTTCAAAAGGAAAGGAACCGGCATGGGATGGAAGAAATTAGAAGAACGGGAGAGAAGAAAGAGTTAACAAAAGGGGCGCCGTTGCAATAAATAGATATATGACTTTAAACAAGAGAAAAATAGAACAAGAAATAGAGGAGAAGGAAGCATGGATTGATAGCTGGCAAAAGAAAGAGGTCGAAGGAGTCATTTCAAGGCTTCTTCTTGACTTCTTTACCTAGCATTCTATTCCACTGGTCACTTAGAGCGTCCTTGAACTTCTCCCAGAGCGTTCTGTTGAGATAGTTGCTAAGTTCCCTGTAATTGTAGATCTCGGACCAGCAGTCTCGACCCCATTCACAGCCAGCCATGTTGACTAGGAAGTCCCTGTCCTTGCGCTGGTAGTGGATTCCGGGATCTGTGCCGTCGCCGCAAGCACCGGGTGGGAAGGAGTTCATTCTTCGCTGTGGGATGAAGGCGACGTGCGGTCTGACCCATGGCTGGTGGGTGTAGAGGTGTTCGAGGCTGTCTTGCTCTTTGTGCTCCCACTCCATGTGTTTCTGTTCGTAGAGGACGGGGTCCCACCAGATGTCGAGAAGTCGGTCTGTCCAGGTGGAGCGTCGGATCATGAAGGAGCCTAGATTGAAGCCGGAGCAGTCCTGAGGCACGATCAGGTTGATTGATGATGTTTTCTTGTCGCCTTCGGGTGAGAGGCACAGAGGGTCTAGGTAAGGGAGGGAAGGGGGGTGAGTGATGTTGAGGGGGTTGTATTTGTTTATGTCTCGGTAAGTCTTTTTCTCTAGACCGTTGAGAATGTGGCTTTCGACGGAGTATGAGGGTTCCATTATGAAGGTATTTAGATCCAGCCACCAGAACCTATTCCAACGTTAATACAGAGATTTTTTTAAGAAACGTGAGTGTATGATCGGTAACAGTAGAACGTACCATTCGGCTTTGGGATATTTCCGCAGCGCGCCACGGATGACATCGACCTTCTCCCAGCCTTCTCTCCATTCGTGGGCGTATCGTTTCTTGGTGACCATGTTAACGATCTCGAGGTCGTACCCCCATCTCTTGACGTATTTCTTCTTATTGCGGAGACTGTCTCTCTCGATAGCCCATTCGCGCGCGCCCTTCCACTCCATAACACCGCCGCCGACATTAGACGCAACAATTAATACTATTTTCTTTCCTCCGCCTATGGAGGACCGTCGATATGATTCGTAGATAGCTGCAGCACATTAGTATCAAAAAGGTATACTAGGCGGGAGAAAAAAAGAAGGGAGAGGAGAGGACATACGTGATGAAAAGCAAAGCCATAGAATAAACAACAAAATGGATAATAGAAGAAGGCGTATTCTCGTGCGGCGTAGGAGACTGCCGAGCAGTGTTTTGATCCTGTATAGGAGCGGGCTACCGTTTGGACCAGACCATCGCCCCCTTCCGAGCTTCTCCTTCTCGCCGTAGTCTAGCATGGAGTTGAGTCTGAACCGGGGCAGGCTGGCGGAGATCTTCCTCCGCTGCCTGGAGAAGAAGCCGTTGTTTCGTGTGGAAAAGGAAGGGTACCCCTTTACGCGGTCACTTTTGGCCTTTGCGGCCATCCAGGAAGCGTTGGGCCCGTGGTCACCGTCCAGGCCGCCATTCGCGTACGCCTGGCCATTGGCGGAGAGCTCGCCGTAGCCACGACGCGGGCTGGAGCTGCCGCTGCTCCCAGCAGTGACGGTGGTCAGGCCTGGACTGGACCAACCTCCGCCGGGCCTTGGAGAGGGAGATCTGGACAGCGACATGGGCGAGTTGCCCGTCACCGAGGGGGTGCCCGGGATAGGAGAGAGAGAGGGAGCAGACAGGAGGCCCGGGGCTTTGCTGCTGGCACCTTTGCTGGCGGACAGAGACGAGGACGGGGTCAGGTTCAAGGGCCGGATATGCGAGGAGGAGCGCCGGCGGTGGTGCGTGGAGCTGCTGGCTGGGGTTTCTGAGGAGGACGAGAACGATTCAGGCATGGACGAGAGCCGGAGAGCAGAGAAGCGAGCCGCGGGGCCTGTTTCGCAGGTTCAGGTCAGCAATCGGGCCATCCTGGCGCGGGAGTTGGCTGGTGTGAGTTGGTGAAGTTGGCGGTTAGTCGTAGGAGAAGCCAGCGTAGCCACAACGCACCTTTTTGCTATAGATATTTTTTTTCTCTCCACGGTGGAGACAGCAGCGCAGAGGATATGGAGACTGGCCAACAACTCGCTCCAGAAGAAACGACGGCGAGCCTGGTCGTCAGTCCGTCGGGCCCTGCTGGGTGCACAGAGGAGAGGGAAAGGGAATAAAAAGGAGAGAGAGAGAGAGAGAGAGAGAGAGAGAGCAGCAGAAGTTGGAGATGGACGTGTTTTTCTTTTTCCGCCAGCAACAACAACCGCTCTGCTGCCCCCGTCGAGTTTCTCTGCGTCGCTGTGTCACTGCAGGCGTCCTCTGGCTTCTTTTTTTCCCCCGGGGGCTGCGTCTGCTGGGCCAGGATGTCTTGGATTGCGATACGAGCTGAGCGATGGAGAGACACAGCGGTGGGCGAGGGGGAGTTGGAGTCTGCCGGCCTTTTTGCTCTTAACGAGAGACAGGGAGCAATATAAGGAGTTACAAGCACACGCTTAGCGAAGAAAAGACGACCAAGACGAAGACGAAGACAAGATTCGACGGAGAAAGAGACTTTTTTTTCTTCTTTTCTTCCGCAAGATTCAAGGGGACGGCGGCTTTGCTTGGTTCAGCTGGTTACTGGTCGAGGTCCTTTTTTTTCTCTCCTCTGTCGACCAAACTACGGGAGGACCGTCTGGACCGCCACCGCGAGATACAGCCAATGACAGCGCCATCCAGGGGAGGAGGAAAATGGGCCACCAGAGGGCGCTGAGCCAGCAAAGGGGGAACCGCCTCTCCGCTCTTCTTCACCTCCCGTACGCGCTCTCTTTCGCCTGGCTTGCCCCCTGACCCACAGCGGCCTTCTCGAGCCCTGGTTAGCTCGACCAGGCAGCGTGGCCGGCTGGTTCCCTTCCGAGATGCTCAGAGAGGAGCAGGAGAAGGGCCCTGCATGCTTATATTTAGTGACCGTCCCGTCGATGGTCGGCTGCTGGCCTGTCTGTTTGGCCTGTCTGGGGGGATCTTGAGACGCCGTTCGAGTCCGCCTGTGTGACCGCTCCAAGAGGTGCAGGATGAGATGCAGCCATCGACAGCAGTTTGATCGCCAAAAGGCTTCAGCCTTACACTCACACACTACGGAGTACTTTGTATCTATTGCCAGATACTATAGAACTACAGAGTACGAAGGACTGGCTGTGAGTCCTGAGATTATTCCCCCAGAGAATCCCCAGGACAAAGGAATGGGATCCAGCTGGTCTTTGCTCGTAATCCTTCATCTTCTGGAGGAGAGCGGTGGAGCAGACAGGGCCATATATTTTGCTCGCCAGCCGCAGCTCGCTCCGTATCTAAGAGAAATAACGCCTTGTTAACGCTCAGGAATCGCACACATGGCGAAGATCAGTTCCTATCAGAGAAGCCAGAGCGAACTTTTCACTCTGCACGTTTAGATTAATTACACGCCTAATAATAATACGGAGTAGCAATCGCCTCTTTTCCATTTCTCTTGCTCACTTTTCACTCTATATGAGCAGCTCTTATGAGATGGGTTTAAAGGGGCTTGCGATTGCTCCGTCCAGATAGAGATTTCGCTGCAAAGTGACGATCCTCGACACGCAATCTCTGCGCTTTCTCCACCACTAGCAAGGGCTCTCTCTCTATGGCGTATCTGTCCATCACATCATCTCTTTGTCTTATCGACATCCGCAGCAATAAACAATGGTAAAAAAAAGAAAATGCAAAAAAGAAGAGTGACTTCGCCCAGGCTCGAACTGGGGGCCTTGAGTGTGTTAGACTCACGTGATAACCAACTACACCACGAAGTCGCTTGTTGAGGCTTCGTGGCGGCTCAGAAGAAAGAAGTAGCAAGCGGGCGGACGACAGGGGTAAAGAGCAGGGAAGAGCAGGGAAGGGATGGGCTTAAGAACAGGGAAGGGGAGAGAAGATGGAGTAACAGGTAAAAAGATATATTGACGGGCATGGCTACTCTATGTACGACGACTACTCCTGGGCGACAAACTGGTTGCAGTCATGGCAGGACGACAGGATGCCAGCAGCTACATAGATGGCATTGCTCGCCCGCTCGATATACTCCACGGCTCTTGTCCGGTTGCCGGCATCAAGAGACTCCGTCACGCCAGGGAAGGTCGTTGGTGCGTATCTGCCCGACAGTTAGAGGGGCTGCAATTGAATTGTCATACGTTTAAAAAGGGGGTAAGAACTCACCCAGTGTCAAGTCCCGGTGCATACAGCATGTGTCTGTAGAACTCGCGGTCTGGAAGGCCACCTTGCGAGACAAAGCCACGGCCAAAGTCGCGGTAGATGGTGTTGAGGTGCTTCCGCAGCTGCTGGTCATGGACGTTGTGCTCGGCTTTCTTCTGCAGTTTCGCAACAGCATTGGCAGAGACATTGAACGAGCAGATGGCGCTCTCGATCTTGCTCACGTCCAGATCAGGGAACTTGGATGCTGCAATGTACTTCTTCAGCACGTCCAGGTACTTCGTCATCTGCACGCCATAGTTAGTCACATCAAACGGGATGATGTCGTCAGTGGCTAGATGGTAGCCTAGCAGGCCCAGGAACTGGCCCATGGCAACGTGCGTGTGGAAGCCCGGGTCGCCGTAGGTGGCCATCCAGTGGTACGAGTCATAGTTCGAGTGATAGTGGTAGACCGGATCTGTGTTACCGTCTCCTCCCGCGCCAGTATCAAGCTACATCGCGTTAACTAGTTAACTCCAAAGGTATACTAGTTACGTTGCATCCGAAGATTAGGCAACTTACCGATGCTATGCCGTTGTGGACGAAAGCGGTGTAGTCAGAGCCACTTCCAAGGACACCGACTTCGCCGCCAGAAGCTGTGTTCCAGACATCGTACATGGTGGTGTCCTGGCGGCCCTTGTACGGCCAGATAACCTTCTTCATAGACTCTAGAGCCAGCTTGTGCAGCTCAGGAGTAGCGCTGAGGTCAGGCACTGGACCAGAGACGGCAACGTCGATATTGAGGTACGCAACCGCCGATGCCTTGAGCCATGGCAGCTACATACACAACAGTCAGTACCAGTCGGCTCATTTTTCTCTTAATAGTTAGTTATTTGAAAAACATACGTATTCTTCGACCCATTCGGTGGAGCCAACGAGTCCGTACTCCTCCGCATCCCAAGAACACATCACACTATGCAATAATATTAGCACCAATTGCGTCAGGACAATTCTCAATCAAGGGCACAAACATACATGGTTCTCTTGGGTTTCCAGCCGGCCTTCTGGAGCTTTCCAAACGCCTTTGCAAGCTCGACCATAATGGAAGAGCCAGAGTTGGGGTCCCCGGCTCCTCCAATAATCCAAGCATCGCGGTGGTTTCCAATGATAACCACCTCATCCTGCTCCGTGCCGTTGATGATACCAATTGAGTTCCAAATAGGGGTATAAGTATCACGCATCACATTGCTCATCGAAAGCTTGGCTCCAGGCGCAGGACCAGTAGCATATGTCGCATTAAGAGCACCAACCCATCTGGTGCGGTTAACTTCCTTTCCTGGAGTTCCGTGGCCGTCGAGTGCAGCGAGGATGGGTTGAGCATCCAGCTGTGAGATCGGGATCGACGGGATCTTTGGTACAACCGGGCTCTTGTCCTTTCGTGGAGAGTCCGGTCGAGAAGGGTATCCGGGAGTGGTTGGGTCACCCGGGAACATAGAAAGGAACTGGACAGATCCACGCTGGACCGCGCTTGGATTTCTAGCAGGACCGTTTGGATATGCCTTCAGGCCGTTTGCAACTGTCACATTGCCGTCATCCGCAGGATCAGTGAAGATGATGCAGCCGATCATCCCCTGATCTTGTGCATTTTTGACTTTCAAACCTCTAATCAATCGTATTAGTATAGATAGGCACAAATCCTTCAGCGTATAATTATACAATTAAGGAAATCTTACCGGAATGGACCGCCATATCGTGCAATTGCGATCTTTCCCTTCAAGTCCACTCCCAACTGGATGAGCCTCTCGAAATCAACCTTTTGTCCACGTCCGACGTAAACATACTCAGCAGTGGCCTCGCCGGAGGCAGAGTAGCCATGGAATGTCGGTATGCGGTCCGGGTAGCTTGTTGTGTCGTCTTCCTTAAGAACGTCTTCCACCAGAGAAGCCTCCCAGGTCGTACCGTCAGGGTGCGTCAATGACAGTGAATGCGAAACTGGGTAGTTCAGGTATACGTCATACGAGACGAGAGACGAAGGAATGCCGAATTCTGTCCATTTATCGGCAGTCCATTGCGCCATGCTCTGATTGGTTCCAGCGATGTGAATTCCATGAGTATAGTAGTAGGCCCAGCTGTCGACCGTGGTGTTGTCGAAACTGTTAATCAACATAGACTCGTACTTGGACAAGTGCGGCAGATGGGGGTGTCCATGTCCTCGTTTCGAGAGCACGCTCAGGATATCGACTGAACCGACATCTCGCTCGCGTACACAACCTTCCACTGTGGCAGCAGCCAATGCCAGCAGCGATAAGGATTTCACGATCATCTTAAACTGCCAGTAGTTATGCGTTTCACCCGAGGGAAAGGAAAAACGCACAACTGAAATTAGGGAGCACAAGAGTGAAAAACGAAAAAGGGACAAAAGGCAGGGCCCCAGGGTCCTTATTATAAGTCTCTATGATATCAACTCAAAGAGAAATTCGGGATAAGTGGACATCAATTTCCATGGTTCACCCCTCCCATGGATGCCCGCATCTCGTCTTTCTAGTTTAGCCTCCCCGCATCCTGCGATGGGATGGGTGATGATTATTGCATTTTCCCTTTTCTTCTTCGTATCTCCAATGGACGGTATAACCGGGTGGATTCGCCAGCTTAACCTGGACCGAATCAAGCATCACCAAAGCAAGCCGCATCCCTGCCCCAGCAGGCAAAATGTCACTTGTGCAACCCTGTCATATTCGTGATCATCGGCTGGCTCTCCACGGGGAAAATTGTGGGGGTGCAAAGTACTCTAGAAGCTTGGTATACGGGGGTGTCCGCATACCAACAAACGAGCCAGTTAGCAGAGGTGCATAACTAGTAATCTGGAGTTTTCTACTCCGAATTCCAAGTCCGGAGTTGCTGCTCGCGAATTCAGATACAGCTCCTCTATTGTCTTCAAACTCCGTCACCTGTCGTTAGTTATAGCTTTAAACCTGCAGGTGTTCGTCCAGTGACGGATAAGCACTGGCCTCGATAACTTACGTGGAAGCTCCGAATGCTCTCGTACCCAGAATTCCTCTTGTCCGACGCCCGAGGTAAGCTCACTGCGCCTTTTGCCGTTATTCCGAGGCCTGGTCGTGGTTGGTTGCCGTTATGTCACATTTCTCGTATCCCTTGGATGGAATATCTGCCGTGGTTCAATACAAGGTCTGCTCACGGCGCAGGGATGGGCAATACCAGGAGACGCATCTCAACGCTGGTGGCACAGCACTCTGCGCGTAATAATAGACGAGATTATTTGCATGACCGTTTGGATCCAATCTGTCAATTCCGCCTTATTTCGTATTTATTCCCACGAATAATGCCGATTTTCGGACCTCGAGTGGTCAATCAATAATGTAAGAGTTATATCGCCGCCGCCATATTGTACCGGCACATCGTGCTTATGAAGGAATTCACCGCTCCATCGATCGAACTGCGTCTTTGCTTGTTTTAATGGGAAAAACGGAGCAAAGAGCAACTGTTGAGAGAGATTGTGATGCGGCTGATGGCTGGTCGAGTGGTGGATGTCGTTGGAAGAAAGTTTTGTTTGGCTTGGAGTCGTTGTTGAACTTAAGTTACCTTAATTGGCTAGAGGCGCATTCGAGACGATTTTTAAAGCTAGCGGAAGATATAAGAGTGTTGATCTCTGCAGAAGCCATAGCCTCATAGTTTATTTATGAGTTATGCTTGATATTTTTATTTAATTATCTTCTGAAGTGTCTTCACATTTGCGTTGGGATGGCTGTCAAGGTGCTTTCAGTGTATGGTGGCTGGAATTATTTGGTGAATGGGTAGGTGAATATAAAACAGATATCAGACTGGAATGGGATGGACAGGACAGTGACATAATTGAGTAGAGACACTAGATGGCAAAAAGAAATCTTCCAGATGGCCGCTCATGCAGACATATCACATGCGACAGCGCTTTTGATGATAGGGCTGTTGCTTCAGGCTGACGCCTCTACAGGTGACCGCTCTGATTTGGATGCCGGGTTGCCTTCTGTTCTAGTATTGCAGTAGGACTTTGGCGATTCTTCTATCAAGAACCGTTTCTCGCCTGCGGGCCTTTCCAACCGGCTCTTTCCGTGGTAGAATTCGCACCGGAAGCGTAGAAACTGGTCCTTGCTTCTATACACTGTGATGATGTCGCCGGTATATATCCTCCCGAACAAGAATGCGTCTTTGCTCCGGGATTCCTTGCGTAGCTCAACATCATTGACCCATATACACTGGCTGGTCTTTGTGGATATCAGCGTCACAACGTCAGTCATTTGTAGCCAATCCTCTCCAGCAGCGATTCGAGCTTCGATTGATGGTGCCCAGAAGGTCAATTCAAGAGCATACGAAGGAATTCGAAAGTCCATAGAGTCTGGATGGCGGATGGTCGCTTGTGTTCCTCGACCCCAGGATGTCATCCGTGACTCTAGTCGGATTGGCTGATCAAGGATGGATCCAGGCAGGGGCGTCAGTTTTCCTAGGATTGCAACAGGCTTGACGAATCCGTTCCCTTTCTCCTTGTCCTCCTCAGCGTGCGCGTCAATGTCCTGATTCGGTTGTGATTGAGAAGGGACTTCGAGTCCGGTGCGTTCGTCAATGGTACATGCAAGTTCATTTGGAATCTCATCTTGGTTACCTGTCCTTTCGCTTGGTGCAGGGCTACGTGGTTTGTCCGTTTCAACACTGCTGTTCATATCTCTTGGGACTGATCTATAAGACGTAAGTTTATCACCTAATGGCGAATGTCTATTTGTTGAAGAGAATGGATCTGGACCAGTTCCAACTTTGAGTTCAGCCCAGTTTCCCTTAGCCATTCCGTTGGAGGAAGCGTATTTCTTGCTATTCTGAGAATCCCCATCGAGCGGCTTCCCTATGTCGGTATCATCGTCGCTCCGCCCACCGGATGCCATGCCATTCTGGCCAGCAGAACGCATATGCAGATGGCCGACTAATGATTCGGCCCCCATCAAACTTGGATCTGAAGCTTTCGGCGGCGGTGGTGGCCTCATCGTAAGTGGCGGGTGTGGCTGGCCAACTTCCGCGAAAATGTCTTTACTCAGACTTGAGCCTTCGTTAGATATCACGTACTGATCACTAGAGTCATCGGCGTCATCTTCGCCAAGCCCCGCTATATCCATATCTTCAGAGTAATCCTCACCAAGCACTCCGGAGCTCTTGATAAGGGATGGAGTGATCTCTCCAAAGAGCCGGGGCCCATTAGGTGAAGATTTCACTTCGGCTTTGGCTTCATATTGGTAGCTCGACAATTGCGGGAGGGAGGGATACCGGACATCATCCACATGCTGGACATGCTTCTCCTCAATGTCCTGTTCCAATGTCACACGGGGTTTCTTTGCATTGGCATTTTGGTCAGAAGACGATAACCTCTGTTCTGCTTCGACGTCCTGTTGCCTATAATATGCCTCTCTCTTGTCTTCTAGTTCTCGCTCTAGAGACCATGCACGAGCCCAGACATCCTTATCATCCTGGTCTTCTTCCTCGCTGAGCTCTGGTACAGCAATAAGTTCAGTAAGAGGGCCGGTTTGGATAGGTTCTCCAACTTCTTCGTACTCAAATTCATCAGGAACCTCAGCGATCCATGGGTGTCGAAAGCATTCTGGCTCTTTTGGTCGAGCCTTGGGATCGCGGTTGAGCAGCCTGGATATAAAATCGATTGCTTCCTCCGATGCTCCAACATTTTCTAGCAGTGAATAATCTGCTTCTGTAGTCATTATATTTCGTAACATTTGGGCTCCCCTGTCATCTCCACGGCCCATAAAGGGTGGGTGGCCTGAAAGAATATGGAACGCTACTGCTCCAAACGACCACATATCAACTGACTGGTCGTACGGTGACGTTCTTGGTAAGCTATGCCATGAAAGTTAGTCCTCAGCTTCGCTATTTTCTTGGCCTGGTGCAATACTTACGGGTCGCCCGGTCGCCGCCTTTTGCGAGGCAGGTGATGTTTATAGGTATCATATTCCGGGTAGACTTCCGGTGCACAATAAAGAAGAGTTCCGCAAAAGGTTTTCATCAAGGTTTCCTCCTGTGAGACCTTAGATAATCCAAAGTCTGATAATTTAATAATGAACGGGTCATAAGAAGAAATGAGAATATTATCTGGCTTTATATCCCGGTGGGTTATCTTCCGGGCATGAAGATATTGTAAGGCATGAAGTAGCTGTCGGGAAATTTTCTGCACTTGATCTTCAGGTAGCAGCCCAGCGCTCTGGAGATAGCTGGAAAGCTCTCCACATCCAACGTACTCCATAATAATGTAAATCCAGCGGTTATTAAAGTCGAAGTAATCATGAAAGCGTACAATATTAGGCTGTGATGATATATGTCAGTATCTATTTCAACTCAATATCTGGTATAAGGGGGGCTCCATACGTGGTCCAAGTCTTTCATGATTCTCATTTCGCTGTCAACCTTGTGGTCTAAAACGTTGTTCTTCGTGAGACGGCGCTTATCCAGTTCTTTGCAAGCAAATACAGCACCGTCGTTCTTGGTTGCCAACTTATAGACGGTTGCAAATGCTCCCTTCCCAATCTGGCCAGTCACATTGTACTTGGCTCCACCGTTCCAATGCATCCCATGAGAGTGGTTAGTGTGAGCAACGACAATCCCGGGAGCAGGCATCTCCCCGCGCCCAACATCGCCCACTTTTGTGCTAAGTTGACGAATCCGGTTAAGATACCAGGTAAGATTCCTAGTATACTGTGCCTGTAGTTCGTCTCGGGCAGGTATCCTTACGACGAACTTTATAGCTGAAGCTAGATCGTTCCCAGTGACATGGATAACGGAGCCAGACATAAGCATTTGAGTTGTTGGGCTGTTATCTCCGCCATCTCTCCGTATGGATTTCCCGTCCACGATGGTCCCATTGGTAGAGGTGTCCTGAAGCATGAGAATGCCATCGGTCTTCAGATATATGCGAAAATGTGTATTTGACACCCTATGATCAGGATAAAATATGATATCGCTTCGTGTTGAACTTCGACCAAAGCAGAAACCCATGCTCGGATCTTTCACCAATGAAGAAAACCGTAATGCGATGTCATATGTTGATTCACAAGCATCGAGGTCAGAGTCAAACTCATCTCGCTGCAAAATATGCTGCGGATTGCGGTCTGCGGTGATAGAGGCTGATTTATGTGCAGCAGGAGAGTTGGGATGCAGGATACATATAATATCAGCTACATCTTGCTGGCTCAGTCCGGAGTTGTTAACACCCTTGCGACGGGGGTCTGCGTAGGGTTGGGTCGAAGGCTGGGTCTCTTCGTCCATGAGGATAAGTTCTAGAGTTAACTCCCTCAGAGACTGAGCTCAATAGAAATAGAGTGCGGCGTTATCGCAAGTATTTCTGCCCACCTGGTTACCGGAATACGTTGATCACCAAACTGTTGTGTCGCAGAAGGGGTCGGTAGCGCGTGGGAGGGTTACAAATCCTCAGAAGTACAATCTCGAGGCATATCCTCGTTGAGTTTACTGTGTAATTTCAAACGAACCGTCAGTTTAAGATGATATACAATGGCAGTGCAGTGTACAAAGAAATACTTTAAGATGACACTATTTGTTCCCATTGGACCCAACAATGGACGTAATGCTTCCGAAGTAAAGCAGGCTCTGCAATATCAACTGACAAAACACAGGGGAAACTAACCCTTTTTTATAGTCCAAATGAGGCAGGGTGGTTTAAATAGCCAAGGCTGTTGGTGCCTTTCTGCCTGGTCTGGCTCGCAAAACGGGGAGATGAATGAGTTATGGCCAGGAGCTGCAGTTTTACGAGCTCACTGTTATTTGCCAGTTGTATCCTGCGGAGTGTCCACGTTCCCGAATCCCGCTCAGCCTTGGAGGAGTACCGTTTGGATTCTCACTCAAAGGCAGGTACGTGGTGTGAAGCCTGCTAGATCGTCACAAGGGCTCTCGGTATTTATGCGGGTGCAAGGCAACAGCAGGCAGCTAAAATCAAGGTAGACAAAGGCAGGAAGGCTGAAATCTATGTGAATGAAATAAATTTAGTCTGATTAGCGAGTCATGAACAGAAGATTTGGTCAGCGACAGAAATCCATGTATACGTAGCCTGCCCTGTCCATTTGCCACCCAGTGGTTCGCACGGCAGACAGAAACGAAAGCATTGATGACTCACATGCGACAGAGCAACAACCAAAAGAACGCTGAACGGCACGCAGAAGGCAACGTCGTCTCAATAGGCTGAAGCGAGAGGCTGAAGAAACAGCGCCATCTCAGACCCCAGAATTCGTTTCAAAACATTAAACCAAAACTTTCGATGTTTTCCCTTCCAAAGTTGCGGAGAGCGGAAAAACATGTCGGAGTGGCAGCAGCCGCGTCGGCCAGCGTGATTGGGTTACACCCACTCGGTGCCTGGGCTAACGGTTTTTGGTTAGACTTGCCGCTTGACAGTCACATGACACTGCTTAATTCTATTTGTGGGTCAATGGGTTCGCACGGACCATTTCCCTTAAATTTCCGCCTCATCAGCAACGCTTTCATTCCGACAGCTGGGCAAGGCTGATCATACCTGAGTTCACTGGCGCCTTACCATTGATTCACATCACTTGAGTGCCGCGACTTAGTTGTAATGGTACCCGGGGCTCTTTAATCTCTAGTATGACATATTTCTCAATGGAAGTATGTAGTACCCAAACGGCACATGCAATTGATACAGCCTTGCTTGCCATGTAGAAAAATAATGATGCTTTCGTTGCGTGAGATTGGACCCCCTGCAATCATGACCAGTACGGGAGTTTTAGGCAATAAAATTGTAAGCCTCTTGCTAATTATCTTCCTCAAGACTTGGTCCTAGAAATAATACCTACGAACTCCCACTCCTCAACAAGCTATCGGTATTCCAGCACCCAGGAGACCTGGAGGGATACATGTCTTACATGTGCAAAAGAGGGCTATAGAGCAGTTACTTATAAAATGGGAGCGACAAGATATGGTCACTCCCTGTCCTTGCATTTATTTGGAGATGGATATGTATACCAAGCATTCACTCCACCGTTGTGCAACTGATTGGTAGATTCCACAGCTGCGTCAGTGCGGCTGGGCGGGATTACAATCCCCCACTTTCAATAGTGAACTCCCCTTTTCCCAACTTCCTCCTCCATCCATCAGTGCAATATTAACGACAATTCCAATATGTCTGGCCCTGCTTTGAAAGTTGCCATTACCCAGGCACAGCCTAAATGGCTAGACCTAGCTGGGAGTGTTGAGAAAACCGTCAACCTCATAGCTGAGGCAGCAAAGGGCGATGCAAGGCTTGTTGCATTCCCTGAATGCTGGATTCCCGGTTACCCAGGATGGATTTGGTTAGATTCTCAATGAATATTACCTGAAGATATTACACAATTGCTAACTATACTCTTATTGCAGGCAACGGCCAGTCGATCCAATAATCAACACCAAGTACATACAAAATTCGCTATCCGTTAACTCTGCTGAGATGAATACTATCAAATCGGCAGCAAAGGAGAACAACATCGCAGTTGTACTTGGCTTTGTCGAAGCAATCGATACCCATAGCGTCTACATCGCCCAGGCAATCATCTCTCCCAAAGGTGAACTGCTGATGCATCGCCGAAAGATCAAGCCTACTCACATGGAACGTACCGTATTCGGAGACGGCTCTGGCTCAGATCTCACCAATGTTGCAGATGTTGATTTTGGAGGCGATATCGGTGTTGTCAAGGTTGGAACCTTGGCTTGCTGGGAGCACGCACTGCCTTTGCTTAAGTACCACACATATTCGCAAAAGGAAGCGATCCATATTGCTATGTGGCCGCCAATCGACCCTCACCCTGGTGTTGATGCCCCGGCATTATGGAGTATGAGCGCCGAGGGGTGTCAAAATCTCAGTCAAACTCATGCCATCGAGGGTGGTGCCTATGTCCTGCATTGCACAGCCGTATGCAATGAGGAGGGAATCGAGGGCATGAAGACCAAGGGTGGGCTTCTCTTCCAGGAGCCAGGTGGTGGACACAGCGCCGCCATTGCTCCGGATGGCCGTAGGTTGACAAAACCGTTGGCTGATGGCAATCCTGCAGCCGAGGGTATTGTTTATGCTGATTTGGACATGGCGAGAGTCGTTATGAACAAGGGCTTCATCGATGTGGTAGGACACTATAGCCGCCCAGACCTCCTGTGGTTGGGAGTCGATAAGGCTCAGAAGGGCTGCGTGGTGCCAAAGAGAGAACCCGAGCAGGATGTTTGATTTGCTTACCTTGGTCAAGAGCTATCATTACAAAGCTGAAGAGAATGGAACAATTTCCTTAATATTCCGTGAGAGCCTACCATCACAAAGAATAAGCCATGGTCCATGAACTAAGGTCGTTGAATGTCAAACAACTGGGATAAATGTTTAAAAATTTTCGACGAAAATACTATGCACTTACAGTCATAAATATGTACCCCAGGCCCAGCGTGATTTTATTACTGCTACTTCAAGAAGCCCGGCGAATAACTCAGGTCGGTTATTTAGCTAAAAAATCAAAGGTGGATACATCTTATGCCTGGCCGCAATATTGTCCATTCTTTTCATTCTTAGCAGCCGGAGTGAAGTTACCGCTAATTGCAGAGTCCATAGCCTTGTCCAACTTCGCAATAGCCCCCTCGCTTATCTCTGTATTACATGTTAGTTACTTCCATGTTATTAAGAAGCCGGGGTTGCACAAGATACTTACGGTAGTGTACCACAAGCCGGCCGCCTAGAAACTTCAAGCCATGCTGTCGGCCGATCTCAATCCAGTCTTCGTTTGACAACTTGCATGACTCGAGATCAAGCCACACCATGTTGGTTTCCACTGGGTTTTTGAGCTTTCCGCCCTTCTCGGTCCATAACTTTGCAATCTTTCTAGCCATTTCGTGGCTTACAAGTAGCTTTCCACCTTTGCCATTTGGCCCACTGCCAAATGTTTCATTGAGAGCAACTTGTGCTGCGGCAGCGATAATACCGGACTGTCTAGTCCCTCCGCCAATCGTCTTCCTGAACCAGCGGGCTTTTTGGATGAACTCGTTCGACCCAGCGAGGACACTCCCAATTGGAGCACCAAGACCCTTCGAGAAGCAAAGACTGACACTGTCTGCCAAAGAACTGAACTCAGAAACACTTCCAGCTCCAGCAACAACGGCTTCCCACAGCCTAGCTCCATCAAGGTGCACTTTCAGCCCATTTGCATGTGCCCACTCAGAAATCCGTTTCATCTCATCAAGCGGCATTATCATGCCATCCAGGGTATTTTCAAGGCTGATCACCCGTGTCGGACAGCCATGTATATCGTTACCCAGTACGGCATGGGGCATGATATCTTCCAGAGTGAGATACCTTCCATTTTTGGGCACAATTCCCTTGACATAGGCTCCGGTCCAGGTTGACACACCTCCTCCTTCATAGTTAATGATGTGGCCGCGGTGGTCGCACAGAACTGCGTACGGCGGCTGTGTCAGATGAGTTCGGATAGCCACCTGGTTCCCCATGGTTCCAGACATCACCAGCAGAGCACTTTCATGATTCGTTAACTCGGCAACAGACTTCTCCAGCGAGCAAGTCACGGCATCTTCCTGCAGCACATCATCGCCGAGAGATGTGTTTGTGATAGCTTCCAACATCGAAACCGTCGGCCTTGTCATGACATCGCCTGTCATAAATTCAGCATCAAGTCTCGATTTGAGAGATCGGGCCAACTAACTGCGAAAGTCGAAGGCTGCCTCTCCTGGGGCCTGCCATGCGTTCCCTGATTGCATGGTTCGATGATCAGAAATATACCGGCTCTGCGGTCTCTGTGCAATTAATGATATTCTAGCGTAATATGAGTGAATCGATCGTGACTTGCACAGTTGCCTTGCTGCTCCCAGTCCTCTATTCATTCTTCACAGTGAGTTGGCACAGAAACAGTCATGCAGGTCTCGTATTGTCGAGTTTGCTGTTACTCATCGGCAGTTCGCAGTTGGTAAGCCCGCCGTAAATACCAGCCCCACCCCCGACAGCCGAGGGAACACCGGAAGCCGCGATATTGATGAACCAACGGATGTAAACACTTAATCGTCTAACTTATATATAAGAAATATCCTACACGATATCAATCGCCAAATTACAGCGTATAGGCTTCCTCTCGCTGCATTGCGGCTTGCACCAGAAGCTCTCGCGCAGCAATTTCGGCCTTTCGTCTCTTTTCGTCTTCCTCGTTTTTCGCACTTGAGGCATCTTCCCTATTTTCTAAATCGTTCAGATTGACATCTGGTCTCCCTGTGATGGGAGGTGGGCTTGTAGAAGTGACAATTTCAACCTGCGGCTGTTGGGAAGCAATCACCTTCGGCCGACCTCGACCTCGCTTCATCAACTGACGGCGTGGGCGAAGCCGTTTATCTCGGGCAATATTTGGGGTGAACGTTTCTAAGCCTTTGGGAGTTTCGGTATGCGCAAGATCCCCGGGTTTTCGGCCTCCAGTCTTGGTAGAGTTCTCGTCTCCAGAGGAAGTAGCTTGCTCCTTTCTTAACGACGCACTGTTTTCAGCCTTCTTGGAATGTTCATTCTGCGCAACCAAGGGAGGGCGAGTAGGTCGAGTTTCATTCCCAGTAACCTGCTCAAGAACCTTCTCTGTTCTCAAGCCCTGTCGGCGCCTCGCCGGGTTCTGGCGTGTCCTTGGCCTTTCAGCAGGTAGTTTCGATAATGTAGCGTCGTTCATAGCTGGAGAATCCTCTTGCGATAAATCATCACCATTAACCTGTGCATTAGAAGACTCTGGGATCTCCTCAATTTCAAGATACAGGCCATCAATACCAATCCGTTGGTTGGAATTCAGTGCCGGATCCGCTTCCTGGTTTGTGGCATCTGTAGACGCGGGAATCACGCCAGTTGCAATTGTGCTATTATCCTCATGAGGCCTGAGGTCCCTAGGGAGAGTTACTAAGGACCTTTTCCCATTCAAATTGGGAGCATCACTAGGCACGAATCTCTCTCCATTTTCATTACGGTTGATGGGGATAAACTGGGAGAACCCTTCGCTCCTTTCACCAGCCTTTTCACAGTCACCCAACTTGTCTCTTAACACTCGGTTCTCTTGTTCCAACTGCTCAATTCTAGATGACTTTGACTGTACTTCCTTCATGGCAATGGCGAAAATCTCAAATTGGTCAACCGGATTGTTTAACTTCGGAAGCCCCAGATTTCCCGCACATGCTGAAGATAACCCATTTAACTGTTCGCGCATTTGTTGGACTGCGCGAGATAACTCACTGACAGCCGCGGATATCACCGTCAAGGTTTTATAAATGCCGTCTTTCGATGGACCTGGTATCTCTTCGCGCTCACCTGCATGATTCAGTGCTGCGGGAGCCTGGATCCTCGCCATGCTGGCCTCCCTTCCCGCTCCGCGAATTCTTATTAATGGAGAGCAAAATTTTCAACGCAAATCAACTGTTCACTGGAGTCTTGTCCACGGCATAGCCCTCCCATTAGTAGAGTATAAGTAAGAATGTCATAAAATATTCATTTTGTTGGTCGAAGTTCAAATGCTCGAAAAGCGAAGACGCGACGGACGCATCCTGGTTATATAAGCATAACTTAACTTGCCTCCTTGCAGCAATGACATGATTTACTAACTACATCAGCGGCATTGAGACGATATCGGGGGAGAAAAATATTCAAAAATATTGAAGGCTATCAAGATAGTATATTTATACAAAAGTGGTACTCTATCCAGGGTTTACTTTACAGTCATAAGTCCACATCCATCCCTTGCGGCTTGACAGGCGCGTTTTAATGCCTGTTCCTCAGTATCCGTCCATTTCACGGTGAGTTCATCCCAAGGCTTTCTGTTTCGGAACTCCTCATTATAAGTTCTGCGCATAGCCTGTAGCCGTGTTACCTCTCGGGGGTCGCCAGTGCCTGAATATATAATGAAAAGCGTACATGGAGGTAGATGGTCCCATATCTCTTTTATACAAGAAACGGTTTTAGCAACAGCCCGTCCAAGTTCGTCTGGGTTTGCCGGGCTAATGATATCCTGATCTGATATATTGATGGATTGGTTATTTTGGCTCGCACCGGGAATGCGGTTGCACCACCCTCGGGAGATTTCCAGATTGCGCAGTCGTGCCCAAGTGAAGTCAACACCATCCCCCGAGACTATTTTGCCCGTCGGATCTCCGCTGACAGCAATCTTGGTTGATTTGACAACTTCTTCGTCATTGGCGCAGCCTAGAGTGACACTGGCCTGGGCACCAAAACCGCGTTCAGGGCTGCCCCAGTCGACCACTGCTCCTGTTCTTCCTCCTTGTGAGACAGGGCCGGAAGATTTTACTGGCCTTGAAGACCTGGCAAGGCGTTGGAAGATACTCTCGGTTGAAGCTTCGTTAGTACCCCACGCTTCACCCTTTTCGCATTTCTGCTTCACAAGATCTAATACTGCCTTTGCATCTTCAACCGGGTCATGGCCAGCCATTCCCTTTTGGATTTCTCTTCCTAGGTACCTCTGACATAACCATTTGAGACTTGGTTTCAGAGGCGGTCCTCGTGGATGCGGATATATAGAGGCTGTATCGACGATGAACGGATGTGTTAGTTTCAAGGCGTTGAGGTCGGAGTTAAGAGAATGTCCAATTAATATCGAGCGAGGCGTCAAAATTCTAAGTAATTTCTGTTGTATGTCGGATAAATTCGTAGTAACTGGATCGAGTTTTTCTTTAGTAACACCAGAGAAGCGTGTTAAATAATCTATTATGGGGTTTTCTGGTTTAACGAACTCATCTAGGACTCGTTCACCGTCCCATGAGACAAGACTAATTCTGGTGAGTTCAGATTTACCACCTTCAGTGATGCACATTTCACAGTCAAGAGCAAAAATATCGCGGCCAGCGGTTACGCTGCCTTCCGCTATATCACGATCAGGTACAGCACCTTGAGCAAAATCGTCAACATGAGTATCCACCCATCCATGTTCAGTGGATTGCCCATTCATGGCGCGTAGTCGAGCATTTTTGTCTCTTTCCTCAGCTGAACTGAAGAGCGCAGGGTGCAGAGGATATTCATGTTCAATCAGATCATCAAGTGTGCTCAGAAAAGTGGTAATGGGTGTCCGTTGGGATACCCAATTTCCGGGACCCTTGGACTTTTTGTTATTATTGTTGTTATTTTCCTTAGATTTAGGCAAGGAAGATCTTAAGATCGCCTGAAGGGGCGAATGAACCTTGTTGTATTTTGAGTCTCCAGGGGACTTGACTGGCCAGACATGCGGAAACATGTCTGCAAGAGGCGATAAAGCCTCTGGCAACTTATCCCTATGGATAGCTCTGGGAGCAAACTGGCGGGAAGTTTCCTCACTGATGGGAGACACCCCACGTTTCCAGCGTTCAAACTCGCTGGATTTCTTTGCGTCTTCTCCAGATTGGCTATTGTCAGCTGCGGCAGCGGTTACCTCAGGGGTAGGCGTTTCTGCCCCCTTGGACAACGGGATTGATCCATCGAACATTCCCAGCTCCAGACCCGGGACCATAAGCATAACAACTTTTCTTACATGTCCAGAGTGCTTTACTGATATCCATTGCGGCGCAACAGCATCCGCAAGACAGTACAATAACAATCCCTGTAAGTCTGAAATTTTGATGGACGACTGTCTGCCACCCATCGCATATGTCAAGGTCGGGTACTTTGTTTTCTCGTTTCCTATTCGTTTTCGCTTCTTCGACGTGTGGTCAACCATCTGCCACCCCCCAGTCTGGTCCTTTCCTTCTCCGCCTGAGGTGTCCTTGGGCAAGGCTGGCTCTCGAGGTCCGTCACCGTCACGAAGGAGAGATAGCGTATCCGCTAGGCCAAAGCCGTTGCCGCCATGACTGGTGGCAGCAGTTACAGCTGAGCCGTCTGGCTGCGCGTCGTCTGAAGCAACATCGTCATGTTTCCGCTTTCTTCCCATCTCAAGGCCTCCTAATCGTTAATGCTCCGCAGCGTCAGGGGTAGCATGTGTGTACCGCAGCGTTTGGACTCTGGGCATGGGTCTTCTAGACACGTATCTCTCTCGCTGCGTCTGCGTCTGCGTCTTCGTCTCTTTGACTTCTCCAGAGTCGCATCTCGAACGTCCAAAAGAGAAAAATTAAGAGACGAAATGATGACTAAGTAAGATGACTAAGTACATATCACGTGCTAAATCTCCGCTTTTCCTTCGTTTCTTTTTCGTTTCTTCTTCTTTTTTGGCTTCAACCGCGAAATTGTTACTTCTGCGTACACGAACTTCCAAACGCTTGAGCGGGATAAGCAACACGGCACGGCTGGTGGACTGGAATGAAGTATATGGGATACTTAAAACCCCTGCTCGGTGCTGATTGTCTGGAAGGGGCCCGTTCAGCATGCCTAGGTGCGCTTCGGGCTAGGGGAACGCGGCCGTTCAAGGATATCATTACGAATGATAGCTACGCAAGCACTTAAGCCACCATTGGTGAACAATCCGGTACAGCGGTGGAATCCAAATTCATCTTCGCTATCAGTGGGCGATATCTGCCTCTGTTATCAGGAAGCAGGAGCTGCATGTGAAATTCAACAAAGGACCCTTGAGCCAATTCCTGCGCTAAGGATATGTCTTAGCTTGCTTCTCTGCCTTGAAGGTTGGCTGCGAGGTCAGGGATGCAAAATGCCCCGTCCTCTTCCTCCTTCTTGGGATGCAAAGGCAAGCAACTGCAGTGATCTAAAGGCGAAAATGCTGGGCTATTGGCCTGTACGGAAGATCCTGCATGTTTACAACTGGGATTCACCCAAAACGTTGACACCTCCCAACCCCTCTTTGGTTGTACACCATGCGCATCGGCTGCGCATGTCATGCGAAGGAAGTAGCTGGTAATATTGCAACTACGGGACAATTGAACGTGCCCGGAACCACACACACCCATATGATTACCTGATGGTGCCGCGACGATTGGTCGGATTGAAAAGGCCATGTATGTTTCACAGGGGTACATCTGGACTATGCCTGAATCTATGGAATACATAGTATAATCCCTTATATCTGCAGCGAAAGGCATTAGGCCTCATCTACCTACAGGGATTATCGGTGTTGTGCCCTCTCTAGAGGTCATCTCCCTACTCCGCCGTAATGGGCAAATTAATCCATCGTGACCTGGGATGGTTGCATTCATCTGTTCCAAGCTAACATCGCTAATGGGTTGTATAACATTTAGATAAAATACACCCGAAATCCCAGCTTTCCTACTCTCTGTCCCCCTCGTCGATCGGTCCAATGGACTTCAGAGTTCAGATGCTGGGGAATTTGAGCCATTCAGTGGAAGCCCCGTGGGGAAGAACAAACGTTGGGCATTACCAGCCTGCCGTCTTCGAAGTGGCGCAAAACCCCGGTCCTGCGATAAATCCCATCCAGATGAGGTATTGTCTTGTGAAACCTTCTATTAATTTACGCGGATTGTTACTTGGTGTCCATCAGTGGCATTTTCGCTAAACCTCCCACCCGTTAGTTAAAGAATCCTTCTTTGGTTTCAGTAACGACAACAATAACCCTGGGATAGTGAAACAGTGGCAAACGCACATCGGCCGCATACTGCTAGCTAACAAAGCTGGGGAGTCGATTGCCCATCGAATATAGGTGTCCTACCGATCAACAAGGTCACGCAACTTACACACCTCTTATATTCATTACTAACAGAAAAGCAAGGTTTCCAGAAAGCTTCGGCATTTGACGCCAACCCTGGCCTTGCCTTACCTCTACGCGAGCCCGAGCCGTCCAGGGGCTGTTGCGATTTGCCTCCTTCCTCGACGATTTAAGTTGTCGGGTGACCGCACCAAAGGTCCAAAGGACACCCCTGCGTATCTGGGGAAATAACCCTCAGGGATTAATCTCCTATCCTCCTTTTGTTGCCTTAGGCCTCGTTAGAAGACGCTGAGCTCAGACCTAACGCAACTCCAATGTAAATTACCCATGTGTAACCGGCATATGGAGTGACAACGGCTTGCTTTCTCGTCTGTTGAGCCATGTTGCCTACCTATCTAGCCACATATGCAAACTCCAGTTACCAGTATCAGGAGCATCGACGATCGTCGAATACCCGCCCAGTATCTGACGATAAGAAAGTGGGAACATCTTGACTAGCTACATTGCACCCGCCTTCTTATCATGGTTTGTGGGACAAAAAAATGCATACATGCTTTTTTGAGATGTCCTCCGCGGACCGCCACCCCTGTTGTGGACTCAAGAGCACATTTGGGGGAAATAAGGGACTGGGGGTTCGGACACGAGAACAGACGTGATGGCCAGCAGGGTCTCTCCCAATTTGATCCTTTTTGGATCCTATATCCCCAGCATCTATGACCCCGCCTTTGATACTGCACTACCTACATTCGTGTTGGTTAAGTCTCTCCTAGCGCCATATACAATGCTTAAAGCTACATCGGGGTGATATCAAAGTACAATGGGTGATATGAGAACGGCCCTAGGGTAGCAGTTGCAGCTTTCCTTTTCTACCCGGGTATATGATACCCGTCTACGCTCCTCTGAACTCGACGGACCGTTTGACATCTATGTCCCTCATTCTTTCGTCATTGTCTTTCTACACCTCTCTCCTTCGGCCATTTGCCTGCCGAGAATGCCTTTAAACATTCCCTTCCTTCGCGGGAAGGCTTCTCCTTCAGAGAATACGGTTGGAGAGCCCATTGATCATGCTATAACTACGTCCTCTTCGGAGAAGGAGAATGCAAAGTCCACAGGGATAGAGATTTCCGATGTTGAAGCAAACAGGAGGTTGGACCTGTACCATCGCACCCACAAATGGGACCCTAACCTCGGGGATGATACTCTTGATGAGGTTGCAACTGCCACCGCATTGAACGACTCCAATGCGCAGAGTAAAATCATTGACAGAGTTATTGACAACTCCCCCTACCCAGAGGTATGTCATTCATAGATCAGCTCAATCCATTGTTTGTTTCGAATCTAACATTCTGAAAGGTTAGGGCTGCTGTGCGAAACTACGACGAGGAGCTCCCTGCAAGTACATTTCGGGCATGGGCTATTGGAATGCTTTTGACGACTATTGGCTCTGGGCTCAACAGTTTGTTTTCTCTCCGAGCGCCGGCCATTATCATTACTTCGGTTGTCGCTCTACTCGTTTCGTACCCAATTGGTGTTGCTTGGGCCAAAATCATACCATCAAGAACTTTCAATACTTTTGGGTTGAAATGGAACACCAATCCAGGTCCATTCAATGTCAAGGAACATGTATTGATTGTTGTCATGGCCAATGCGTCGTTCGGTAACGGTGTTGCATACTTTACCGATACTATCCAGGCACTAAAAGCTTTCTATCACACTGACTACGGTGAGTTGATTATACCATGCTTCCAATACGATATATGCAGCACTAACGCGGAACGTTTAACTAGGCTGGGGATTTTACGTATGTCTTGCTCTTAGCACCCAAATCGTTGGTTTCGGAATAGCTGGTATTGTTCGCAAAGTCCTAGTTGAGCCAGGTATGTGAAGTATAATTATCTATTATCTCTGGCAGACCTAGAATTGACTCTTCCTCAGCTTCCATGATTTGGCCACAGGACCTGGTCAGTGCTACGTTCATCTACACCTTACACGATAAATCAGCAACCAATCCTGCCGAAACCAATGGATGGAAGATCGGACGTTATCGATATTTCCTTTACGTTTTCTTGGGGTCTTTCTTTTGGTACTGGTTCCCAGGCGTAATTGCCCCGTGCCTAAGTGTTTTTGCCATTGTTACCTTTATAAAGCCGAAAAACGTTATCCTCAATCAACTATTTGGTGGCTGGACCGGCCTTTCACTCATCCCCATAACTTTTGACTGGACTCAGGTGACAGGTATGTGATAGCTTTTACCTCATGCTCCCGACCGTAAGCTAACTAGTTATTCGTCTAGGTTACATCCAAAGCCCTTTAATTGCCCCTTGGCATGCGATAGGAAACACCCTTATTGGAACTATTGGCTTATTCATCTTTGTTACTTGTGGACTGCACTATTCCAACCACTGGTATGCGCAGTACCTCCCTATCAGTGATTCAACTACATATGACAACATGGCAAAGCCGTATAATGTCTCGAGAATATTGAGTCCTGACTTCACTCTTGACGAGGAGAAATACAAGGTTAGACTACCCCGACTTTACTAAAATGCTTGATCTAACTAAGACTAGGCGTACTCTCCCCTCTTCCTATCGACCACTTTTGCCCTGACTTATGGATTATCATTTGCCTCCATTGCAGCAGTCGTCACACACACTGCCCTATTTCACGGACAACACATATGGACAGTTATCAGGGACAGCCGAGGCGAACTGGACGATGTCCACACCCGTATGATGAGGAAATACAAGAACGCCCCCTGGTGGTGGTACATAACTCTTCTTGCAGTTTGTGTTGCCCTTTGCCTTGTCACCGCTCTTGCCTGGCCTACACACCTCACCTGGTGGGCTTTACTACTTGCCCTTCTCATTTCTCTCGTCATGACTATCCCCATCGGTGTGGTTCAAGCAACGACAAATATCCAGTTGGGATTGAATGTTTTCACCGAATACATCATCGGCTACATGCTTCCGGGAAGGCCACTTGCCATGATGTTGTTCAAGACATATGGTTATATCACCATGGTTCAAGCCCTTTCATTCGTACAAGACCTAAAACTTGGTCATTACATGAAAGTTCCTCCGCGATCACTGTTCTGGGGACAGCTTGTTGCCACAATATGGTCGTGCATCGTTCAACTCTGTGTCCAGATCTGGGCTTTGGATAACATCGCCGATATCTGTCAGCCACACCAATCCAACCGGTTCACCTGTCCTCAGGGAAGAGTATTCTTTGGTGCGTCTGTGATCTGGGGTGTCATTGGCCCTGCACGTATGTTCTCTGGCAACGCACTCTACTCAAGCCTCCAGTATTTCTGGATCGTTGGTGCACTCAGTCCTTTGCTCTTCTATGCACTAGCCCGCATATTCCCTCGTTCGAACGCACGATTTTTGAGCGCACCTGTCATCTTCGGCAGTGTACTATACATCCCTCCCGCCACTCCATTGAACTATGTAAGTCTTCGCTCAAATTATCTCAATGACGGTGTTTATACTAATCTCATCAATAATCTCATCAATAGTTTGCATGGTGTATGGTCGGCTTTGTTTTCCAGAAGTATATTCGCAATAGGTTCCGTGGCTGGTGGATGCGCTTCAATTACATCACATCTGCGTCCTTGGATGCAGGCTTGGCTATCTCGACCATCGTTGTCATTGCAGCTATCAATCTGACCGGCTCTAAGTTCCCGTCTTGGTGGGGTAATACTGGTTCTATGGAGACACTGGATAACTTGGGTGAGGCAATTCGACAACCTTTGGCGAAAGGCGAAACCTTTGGCCCTGCAACGTGGTAGTTTAGGGGTTGGGTTGATCCATCCAGACACCAATGTGATGTTTTGAAATGCTTTCCTATGTGCTATCGTGCCCTTCACGAGCAGACTCTTCCTCTCTCTCTTTGCCTTTTCCCATCGATGTTGCTCATATGCTTTCCTTCCTGTCAAATTTGAACGGCGCAATTTGTATGTATGGACAAATGAGGTAGGATCTGATAAAGCCGGATAAAGTATTTTCCGATAAACTTTCACCAAAAAAAAAAAATCAGATAACGCAATCCTTGAGAACCATAAAAATAAACCTCCAGAGTTGTCAATTTATTTCAAAGCAGAGAAAGCCAAGCAAGAGAGAACAGTTCGGACACTCGCATTTTGGTGCCGAAGGGTGATCGGAAGAGCTGATCTGAATACTAGAAACCGACATCTGCTTAAAACTAAAGCCGGCGAAAGGATTATCTTGCTACACCCATCCCACCTAAGAGCTTATCAGCGCGCGGGGCGAAATACCACCATGTCGGACCTTCACGAGATCACTTCAGAGGCGGGCTTTCAAACGCACATATCGTCTCTACCCCCATCGGCACTCCTTGTACTCTTCTTCCACACCCCATGGGCCGCCCCATGCACTCAGATGCGTACCGTTCTTCAAACGCTTGCCTCTCTATACAAACCTACCACCCCACCATCCATTTCCTTCATCAGTGTCGACGCCGAGGAGCTCGCCGAGATTTCAGAGCAGTACGAAGTAACAGCCGTTCCGTTTGTGGTACTAAGCCGGAACAATAAAATCATTGAAAACATCTCTGGCTCGAACCCGATTAAAGTCCGCGAGGCAATTGAGAAGCATTACCAGGACCCTTCAAGTGCCGGTGCAACAGACAAGCAATCTATTCCTCCACCACTTGACGCCGTTCCGAGAAACATAGATGAAACACAGCAGAATGATCAGATACCACAGGCTCCACCACTTGCAGGACAAGGGACAAATGGAGCTAGCGGTCGTGCGGCCGCCCCAGAGTCTTCGTCGAAGGAGGAACTCTTTGCCAGAATTGGGGAGCTTGTAAAGGCGGCTCCAGTGATGTTGTTTATGAAAGGTACCCCAAGTGTACCTCAATGTGGATTTAGCCGGCAACTCGTTTCTATTCTGCGAGAGAATAGTGTTAAATACGGCTTTTTCAACATTCTTGCCGACGACGATGTACGGCAGGGTCTCAAGGAGTTTGCAGACTGGCCTACCTTCCCACAGCTATGGGTGAGGGGTGAGCTGGTTGGTGGTCTGGACATTGTAAGATATCCTCTTTCTCTATCATACCGCTTCAGTGAAGTTTCGAAGTACTAATTATGCTTTCTCCACAGGTCAAGGAAGAAATAGAAGCCAACCCCGATTTCCTTCGTGATTACTCTGTTCCAAAGACATCCTCCGCAGTACCTACTTAGATACACCAGTTTCGTTGAACATGTGTTACAAATATTTTCCACTTTAAGCAGTTAATTGTATGCGTGTTATACAGTGTACTCAGAATCCATATTCACATTCCTCGCATAATGGAATTTTTTTAAAGTTTAAGTATTAGCGTTGACCTGGCTTTTTGCTATCTTACAGTTATTACCAAAATTTTGAATAATTCTATAAAATATAGATCATACACTTCCAGCATAGGAAGACGGAGTAAACTCCATCATTATAAACATATATATCATTAGTATATATTCAGAGTCTTAAACTTAGAGACAGCCACATCGCTATCAATATAGCAGCCGCGCAACCATCTGTCCCCGCCACTTTCATTATTTGCGTTACCAAATGCACGTCGAGCATGGACAACCCGTCGATTATGGAATATGACACATTCTCCCGGTTTCATCTTGAGTTCAAAGATGTTCTTCTTATCCTCAAGCAAGGACTTAAAGCGTTTCATTGACTCGGCACGACGGGTATAAGTGTTTTTGGGTATCCCGTTGCTAATCTCCCAAAAAGGCGCTTGGAACGGAGGGGAATAGTTTATATCTATGATCCTGTCCTTGGATTTACCAGATACATTGATCATCTTCCGCGTGGCAGTGTACATCTGGTTGTCGTTGTCGTATCCAAAAGTCATCCAGGAGTCAGCAAGGAAATCGAAGTCAGGCTTGCTTGTTTTGCGAAGAACGTCTGCGGCATAGAAACTATCTGCAAAGAGAGATTCACCTCCTGGCAGCTCATTTTTCATGCAATGAAGGAACTGAAGGCCAGGGGGCTGGATAAGGTATAGCAAATCCATATGGAAGCCAAGGTCGACATTAGTGTAGGCGACATTCTTTGGGTTTGGGATATTTCGAACATCCCAAGTTGGGCCATATAATGTGTTTTTAATAGGGCCGATCTGAGTAGCAACTCTGGAAACACTTTCCGTGTCCTCTGGTACGCCCCTTAAGAACAGTAAACCATACCGGTTTAGCTGCATCATAGCTGACCGAAACGCTTCAGGATTGTTCATGTAATCGTCATAGGAAATCCAATGGTCAGTCTTTTCAAATGTTGACTTGTTCCAGTAGTAGGCCGGGTCTGCAGGCTTGGAGCCTAACTGCACGGTTGTCAACTTTTGGAGGTAGCTTGCTGGAAACGTAGAAGTATGGCTTTCAAATCCTTTAATATCCCTCGCCCACTCAATTATAAACGAGTCTTCACCCTCAATAACACTTTTGGCGGTAATATCCAATGGTATCTGGGCAGTTTCAAAAGTACGCTGCTTTGTGGATGGATGAATACAGCGGTCACAAGGGCAGGAGTCCCGGAGATGCAATGGTTCGAAGTATATTATCTCCCCATTGACTTTGATTGGGATATGGGAGTCCATCTGGCGCCAGGAAACGGCAGAACCTGGAGAACTGTCCTTTTCCACAGTCTTAGGTGTTCTCCCGCGCAAGCTCTGAACGAAGCGAATGTAGTTCCCTTTGGTAGATGTTCGTCCTCCCTTCTTAGGAGCCAATTCAGCAGTTGCACCGGCATTCTCAGAGGCAATTGTAGAGGCATCACCAACTGAAGTTGGCTTTGTGCCGTTATGGCTTGCTACATTGGACGCAGGCTTCTGGGCTTCAGCCGCTTCAGATACTGTGGAGTATCTGGATACATCCAGTAGTGCTCGACGGGAGAAGGAGGCTGAAACCGGATCTGGCTGGCAAAACGCAGCCCTACTAGGCCTGCAGACAAGCCGCAAAGCCCTTGAACCGGCCACGAACATGGTCACTGAGCGTTGTTGTACTCTATGCTGTAGTTGAAGTTCGATGCTTCGAACCTCGAAATGCATCTCGAGAAAAGGAAAGCCTCGGCATGAACAACTGCCTTACATAAGCAGAACTAGAGTCAATAACGAGTTCAAAGCTCAACAAAAAGTTTCTTGGGCGGACTTTCGTCTCTAGCAGGTTGTCCGGGGCATTTTTCACACTCGTTTCTGTCCGTTCTGGCTCCTGATTTCATGTGAAAGTCGGATCTTTGAGCCGCCTGTGTCTTAATTTTAGCGGATTTTCCCCGGTTGTGGCCCTTTTCTTGATGCTGTTTGATGAATGTCGGCGGGTGGTGAGCATTTAAAGGATGAGGTAGGCAGTGAATCGCATCATATTTAATATGGCGCTCCAAGGCTTCATCGGACTAATCGGTCTTTTTAACAGGGCAATCGAACTCAAGTGGTGGCCGCAGGTGCCATAGCCGGGCTTGTTTCGAGGTATTTGCACTGATGTGTTTAATCGCAGGAAGAGTGAGACTGATGGATACAAATCTAGATTCTGCATCGCACCTCTAGACGTCGTAAAGATACGGCTACAACTGCAGATCCATTCTCTGTCTGATCCTCTTTCGCACCGTGATGTCAAGGGCCCGATATACAAGGGAACCATCTCGACTCTTGTCGCTATAGCGCGGCAGGAAGGCATAACAGTACGTCGTCTCAACTGGCAATGCTCTCGCGCTTCCGCGTTTTTTGAAACTAATAAACACACGCAGGGTCTCTGGAAAGGAAACATTCCCGCTGAAATCCTCTACATCTGCTATGGCGGAATCCAATTCACCGCCTATCGCAGCGTCACGCAACTTCTACACCTTCTGCCTCCTCAACACCGAGTCCCCAGCCCAGTTGAATCATTTATAAGCGGCGCCGCGGCAGGCGGCGTAGCCACAGCTTCAACGTACCCGTTCGACCTGCTACGTACCCGCTTTGCAGCCCAGGGGAATAACAAAGTATACAATTCCCTTGTATCTTCTGTGCGGGATATATACCGCTATGAAGGAGCAGGCGGGTTCTTCCGCGGTGTTAGTGCGGCCGTTGCCCAAGTTGTTCCATACATGGGGCTGTTTTTCGCTGCGTATGAAGCGCTGCGGAAACCGATCAGTAGGGTTGATTTGCCTTTTGGGTCAGGAGATGCTACAGCCGGTATGGTTGCGAGTGTTATGGCGAAGACGGGCGTGTTTCCGCTGGATCTTGTTAGGAAGCGGTTGCAGGTTCAGGGGCCGACGAGGTCGAAGTATGTGCATGTGAATATACCTGAGTATCACGGAGTGGCAAGCACTATCCGGACTATTGTGAGGACACAGGGTGTTAGGGGGCTGTACAGGGGCTTGACGGTGAGTTTGATCAAGGCTGCACCGGCAAGTGCTGTGACGATGTGGACGTATGAGAGGGTGATGGCGGTGTTGAAGGAACTGGATTCCGAGTAGTTGTTCCACTGTATCAATAGCTATCATGTGTCTTGCCTCAGGGAGGGTTAGATGCTGGCGTTTTGGGGGGCAGGAGGCCTAGTTATAAAGGAACAGGTTATGTATCAGGGTTCCTGCATATAGTTACAGGTTGAAAAATATCTTGCTGCCTTTGTACATATTCAAGAACTGAACTTGGCTTCACTACATAAGGACGATGGTCGGAAAATAACTAATAGAATAGATAAAGTATATTTATTAGTTGACGGATCCTTCAGTACGTCGTGGTAAAACACTTAATGGCATACTCTGCATACTAAAGAAGGAATGCGTGACAGTCAAGGTGTCCGCATGGGTGTGATCTGCGTGCTGAGCAAAAAAGGGGCAAAAGGTATAGTGTTAATTGACAAAATTAAAATCAAGGATATGGGGATATTGACGCAGCATAACAGCAAGAAGTAGTAGGGTGGGATATCAATTCTCCATTCTCCTAATTATTTTGGTTTTTTTAAAATTCAAAGGGTCCAGGAAGAAAGAGAGGGCAAAAACGAGGTAGAGATTGAGAGGAAGCATCTAGTATTCGGCACCCTCATCACCCTCAGTGTCCAAGCTGTCGCTGGCAACTTCCTCGTAATCCTTCTCCAAAGCAGCGAGATCCTCACGGGCCTCAGAGAATTCACCTTCCTCCATACCCTCACCAACGTACCAGTGAACGAAGGCACGCTTGGAGTACATGAGGTCGAACTTGTGGTCGAGACGGTTCCAGGCCTCGGCAATGGCGGTGGTGTTGGACAGCATGCTAAGGGAGCGGTCGACGGGAGCAAGCTCGCCACCAGGAACACGCATTGGCTTCTGGTAGTTGATTCCGAGCTTGAATCCAGTTGGGCACCATTCAACAAGGTTGAAGGAGGCCTTGGACTTGAGAGCGGCAACAGCAGCAGTGCAGTCGCGTGGGACAACATCACCACGGTACAGAAGGGCAACAGCCATGTACTTTCCGTTGCGTGGGTCACAAACGACCATCTGGTTGTTTGGCTCGAAGCCTATATAGACGTGTTAGCATCGTTGACAAAAGGATGAACAAGTAGAAGAAATACGCACATTGGAAGGTAAGGTCATGGACCTTGAAGGACTCGTGGGAGCTTCGGTTGCTGGAGACAACAGGAGCGTAGCTGATCAATGGGTAGTGGATACGTGGGTATGGCACCAAGTTGGTCTGGAACTCGTTGAGATCGACGTTGAGAGCACCATCGAATCGGAGAGAGGAGGTGATGGAGCTGACAACCTGAGCGATCAAACGGTTAAGATGCTCGTATCCTGGACGAGGGATGTCGAGGTTACGGTGGCAGATGTCGTAGACTGCCTCGTTGTCGACCAAGAAGGTACAGTCAGAGTTCTCAATGGTGCTGTGAGTGGAGAGAACGGCGTTGTATGGCTCAACAACGGCGGTAGAGACACGGGGAGCTGGGTAGACGGCGAATTCCAGCTTGGACTTCTTTCCGTAGTCGGTGGAGAGACGCTCAAGGAGGAGAGCACCGAAACCAGAACCAGTACCACCACCGAAGGAGTGGAAGATCAAGAAGCCCTGGAGAGCAGAGCAGTTGTCTGCATGAGTTGTGATGCACTGTTTAGCACGGACCAATCACACGCGAGGGAGGGGCTAAATCTCACCAGCAACACGACGAATGCGGTCAATGACATTGTCGACGAGCTCCTTTCCGATGGTGTAGTGACCACGAGCATCTGTTTCCAGTTAGTACCAGTGTTGGCTGAGAGATTGGCGTTGTTACGTACAGTTGTTAGCGGCATCCTCCTTTCCGCTGATCAACATCTCAGGGTGGAAGAGCTGGCGGTAAGGACCAGTTCGGATCTCGTCAATTGGCTGTATATCCGGTCAGTCAAGAGCCCAATGGCACAGTATTGACCGCCACAGTACGTACAGAAGGGTCAAGGTCGACGAAGATGGAACGAGGGACATATTTGTTGTCTCTAGTCTCAGTGAAGAAAGTCTCGAAGGAGCCTGGCTCGCCGATATCAGTGGCCTCGGGGTCGAGACGGCCATCAGCCTTCAAACCGTGCTCGAGGAGGTACCTGGACGCGTCTCTCGTCAGTCTCATCCATTCCATGTATGCTGAACCGTCTCTCCATCGTCCTCTCTCCTCGCTGTCGAGACGAGCTGGAGTCGTATTTTTTTTTCTGCCCAATTTCCCAATCGGGAGGGGGTAACGAAAGGCGGTGAACCTACAACTCCCAAGCACTGTTACCGAGCTGAGTGCCAGCCTGGCCGATGTGAAGATGGCAGACCTAATTGACGAGACAGCAGACAGTTAGCATGAAGCCGGAGTAGGGAGACAGGTGTCTGTTGACGGGCGTGTAATGGGGGGACCGTGGACTCGGCTTGGGCAGCCAGAAGTTGGTCTGTGTTTGGGAGCTTGGGGGGGTCAGGGGTTCCCGTCAACAACAAACGAGCAGACCACGTACCTCGCCTCTCATGGTGACTGTAGGATGGTGATGACGACTGAGGGGAGAATAGAGAAAGGGAGAAAGGAGGGAGAGAGAGTCTCGTGTGTTGACAGAAGTCTTGTTGTGAAGACGGAGATGTTGAAGAGGAAGAAGAAGAGGAAGAGAAAGTCGAGCGCTTTCTTCCTCCCCTGCGACTTTCGCCCTTTCGACGGATCGACGTGTGCGCGCTAGTTCCCAATCCGGTTTGGGCGCTTTTCTCCCCCGTAAACAAGCTGACTAAGACGCCCTCCTTTCTCGCTGTGCTCCCTCTCCGACGTCCTCTGCCTCCCGCCGGTTCTACCGTTCTACTCTTCTATCGAGGTGCAGAGGGCGATTACAGGTCGAGTGGTTATGCATAAACTGCTGCAGGCGCTGCTTCAACAACGGCCTTGTTCTGTTTACTCGGCGGACGCGGGTCCTCTCCATCCATGGCTCGCGGGTCACGTGGCCCCATTACTAGGTTCCGTCAAAATATAGGTTGAACCCCTTTTTTTTCAGGGGAAAGATGATGAGAGATAGGTCTATTTATGAGTCTTGAGACACTGTATTTCTTGGAAAGGGCATTGAGGAAGGGTGCTCCGTACTGAGTACAGTTTAACAAGAGAAATAGTACTCCGTAGGGCCCTGTGGATAAGCCAAAACCGTGGAATTGTTGTCACTTTGACAATCCTGTTCCTAGCGATGGGAAATATCAAGGTTTAGGTTCGCTCGGGGGCTCATCTCTCAACGCTTTTGCTAAGTCTGTCTTCTCCTCTTCGTACATCCCGTTTGCCTGAGTCGAACGCTTACTACGGAGTATTGTAGAATTATTTCGAGCAGTGTTTGGCATGGAGTTAACAAGGCCCATACATCGACGAACATGCATAAAACACACGATAAGTTACCAGATGAGTGTCGGCGGTGGGAAATGTTGATTATATAATGGACGAGACCTATCATGTTAATTCAACGAATAAAAAATCCGTCATATATAGTATAATAGACTTTTCCTTTTTTCATTGGTCAATTGACAGTAAACATCACCTTATTCGTTGAATTTATCTTAAATGCTGACTAACAACTTAATTTCTTTTCACAAGATGGACCTGCAAAAAGCATTCATACCAACACCTACACTAGCACGGTGATGAAGAAAGGTTAGAGTGACATTACATTGCCTTACTTTCTACTGACTTGAGGTGATATTATACCTCAATACAGTCCTGCTGTCTTTCCGTGTAGGTAACTGACTATGATGCCTGATATGGAGCCTGGAATCTGGAGTAACCGGCTAGTTATACATAGGGACTTTAAGGAGAGTCATATCTTCCGCTGCGGCTAGGTATCTTCTGAAAAGCGGGCTAAGGATAGGATCCTATTATGGCTGCTTTCCTTCATGCCTCGCCGGCCAAACCATTATCAACATTAGCTTACTAAAATACAGAATTTTCATGAGCCAATGTTGGACTGCCACTGTGTTAAAGAAGGTTTGGTGGATTAACGTGGTCAGTGCATAACTAATTATCAAAGCTCTAGATTTGTCTATGGAGAAGATAATCATACCACGTCGGCTTGTGCTCAATATCTTGCCCAAACCTCTCCCTGTATCCTGCAGGAATGACTCTCTAGAACACGGAGTAATAATGGAGATATTTTATGCAAGCTGTAGGCAAAGCGATGTTACACACAACTACGATGTATGTGCTTAGTATTAGATTTGCAGCAGGCCTGACTAGACAATTCCGCAAGCTCCCGCTCCCTCAGATGAATCGTGCACTCGTTTCTTGAATTTTGGCCAAGCTTGGGCCCATGGTGACACAGATTGGGTAGCATTTACCAAAGACCCGGCTCGGGAGTCCCTGGTGTTAGGTCTAGAACTCTCCACGGAATGGAGGATGTTACAACTATTGTAGTGACTGAGTATTGTCTTTGAACCCGAGTATATAAGATGAATTTCTGCTATACAAAAGATTAGCTGGCCTCAAAACTGTTGTAATATGCGCAGCGGTCAAATTTGTATCCAATGGTTCTCACCTGCACCAGCACATCCAATGGCGTCCGGGCTTCCTCCGTAGAAAACAAGACCAGCAACCACAGAAAGGAGATGCTCCAACATGTAACTGCGTCACCAGTAGGTGGTCAAGGATGAGGCTCTTTTTGCCTCTTTCGGCTCTATTTAAGCGCCATCCGCGGCTGAGCCGCTCCCAGCACGCCAACCTTAATACCTTAAAAGAAAGACGTCTTCTTATCGCGAAAGAAACACGAAGAGGAAGAAGAAGAACAAAGAAAACGAAAAGCTACTTACAAACCTACGGACTCGACAAGGACGATGGATGGGGTTTACGCAGTGCGAGGGTAACATCCAAGAAGGTTAACTGTCGGTTCCACCAGTTATGGAGACTGTGCAGCAGGGCTAGAATCCTAGCTTCTCCTCGGTGTTTGGGACCGTCAATCCTGACGCAGTTGTCGCAGTTTGCTTGGCTGTTCATGTGCGTGCTGCTATTACTCGTCCGCCGTCTCCGATCCATGACACAAGGTTGAGTTCTTGTCTGCAATAACACAATTGAGTGTGATAAGATCGCCCTGTCTTTGCCACCTTGGAGAGCTCTAACACCATCGGGGCAGCTTGTCCGAGACTGTCTTTGACGTGTTGGGCGAGAGAACAGGAAATTTATATGCCATGGCCAACGGGCTCTGGCCAGGCCACTCTATATATATAACAGCTTCCACTCTTACTCCTGGGCATTGGTAGCAGCGGGCTTCCGAGGGCAGCTTTCGAGAGTTTTTTGCCCCTGGTGCCCGCTTGTCGGTGGGAACGTTGATAAGTGGTGGAGTCGTGCCAAGGGGCCTGGGTAGTTATTTGTTCCCTTTTTTTACTCTTTGATGACGAGAGCTCCCGGTCGTCATTCACTCCATCGGGTGGGAAGACGCCCGTATTAATATGTCGGTAGATCCGCTGCAGGTAAAGAGGCCGGTTCCTTCCAAGATTCTTCAGGTTCTATTCAGTTCTATTTCTCTCCCACATCTCCGCGGATCGCTGGCGGTTCTCCTCGATCTCGACTCATCGCTGTCGCGACACGACTCCTCCGTAATCCCGTGGGAGGTCGAGACACACTCAAGAACAGGAAACTTGTTATCGATTCGATTCCTGCTGCTGGAATATATAGTTACAAGCAAGGAATGTGTCTTCCTCGCTAGAAGCAGGACAAAGACCACGGACCTGATACAAGATGTCGACCCCAATTTACGAGGGCGCCCAGCCCAAGTACAACACTGGAACCGCATCCGACGAACAGCCTAGAGAGGCAGAAGCTGGCCAGCAGTACAACTTGCCCGTTGAAGAAGACATGGTGGATGATAAGGGGAACCGGGTGCACATGCTCGTTGAACCTCCAGAAAACGACGAGCACGGGCTTCTAAATACTACTCCCTCGCAGGATCGAGAAAAGGCCAATCGTCTAAACGATGATATCACTATGCTGCAGGCAGAGCGCATGGTGTCCAACGCGGAAGCTTCAGATATAGAAAGGTCGCTCTCTATTCGGCCTGCCCGCTCTCACCGGACAGAGCCCGTGGATGAGTTTGACACGGCTACGAACCCCATCCACGAACATGCCTCGCTCTACAAACCACCAGAGAATCCTACAACCTCCATCGCACGTTTCTTCAAGAAGGTCCACGAGTCAAGCTTTCTCGTCCGCTACTTCACCTACATTATCCCGCTAGTGCTCATCATACTCATTCCACTGTTGCTCGGCGCCTTTGTCTTCAAGGATGCCACCGTTGGTGGCGTCAGCCTCCTCTGGTTCTCCGTCTGGCTGGAGATTGTCTGGCTCACTCTCTGGGCGGGTAGAATTGTTGCCAAATTCCTCCAATACCCTGTGGCCATCATCGCCAGTTTATTCACCAATAACTCGAAGAAGTGGCGGGATCTCTCCGCTCAATTGGAATTGCCAGCCTCACTGTTCTTCTGGTGGTTAAGCATAGAAATCTCATTTTTACCAACAATGATAACCCACCATGTTGACGGGGACCGCACGGTTAAAAGGTGGGAGGTGATTGTGAACAAGATCATCATCTCGATCTTCGTCGGCATGACGCTGAATCTTATCGAGAAGCTGATAATCCAGCTTATCGCTATCAGCTTTCACTTGCGAACGTACGCAGACCGAATTGAAATCAACAAGTTTCAGATCGGCAGTCTGGCCAAGTTGTATGCCTATTCCAGGGAACACACGACTATGAACGACTCGGATCTGGAAGAGAAGTCTGAAAAGCGCAGTTCAGGTACCAGAACCCCCATGATGTATGCTGACCGAGCCCAGAGAGCTGCTCGCGGAGCCCTCAGTAAAGTCGGAGACGTTGCCGGTGCGGTTGCAGGTGACTTTACCGGTAGACGTGTCAATTCAAGCAGGGATCCTCACCAGGTAGTCTTAACCCTACTTCGTTCGACTTCTGGAAGTCAAGTACTAGCCCGTCGCTTATACCGCACCTTTGTTAAAGATGGCTTCGATACTGTTTTCGCCGGGGATCTCAAGTCAGCATTCGATAACAACGACGAAGCTGATGCTGCCTTCCAGATGTTTGATAAGGACATGAATGGTGACATCTCAATGGAGGAGCTTGAAGCCGTTTGCACTGAGACTGGAAAGGAGCGGAAATCTATCACTGCATCTCTCAAGGATCTAGACTCTGTCGTCTCCAAGCTTGACGACGTATTTTTCTTTATCGTTGTTGTCATCACTATCTTGGTTTTCCTGTCCCTCATCTCAGCGTCGACCGCTGGAGTCCTTACATCTGCCGGATCAACTTTGTTGGCTCTATCCTGGCTTTTCTCTGCTACAGCTCAGGAGTTCCTACAGAGTATCATTTTTGTGTTCGTCAAGCATCCTTTCGATGTTGGTGATCGAGTGTCTATTTACGGTAATACTGGTGCAAATCTCACGGGAGACGATTATTTCGTTAAGGAAATTGCTCTTCTGTATACGGAATTTAAGAAGATGCAAGGCCATGTTGTTCAGGCCCCAAACAGCTATCTGAACACTCTCTTTATTCTCAACCAGAGGCGTAGCGGTGGCCTTGCCGAAGCTGTCCCTGTTATAATCAAATATGGCACCACTCTCGAGCAGATCGATGCCCTACGACAGAGGCTTCTGGATTTCGTCACTTCGGAGAAGCGCGAGTTCCAGACGCAGGTGTTGACTGAACTTAAGGAGGTGACGGAGAACTACTCTATCACACTCAACGTGGTCTTCTTCTACAAGTCAAACTGGCAGAATGAACTTCTTCGTCTGCAGCGCCGTAACAAATTCATTTGCAACTTGATGATCTGTTTACAGGAGCTCAACATTGAGGGACCACGCATGAACCTTGTCGGATACCGATCTGATCTTCCAGCTCATATCGCTCATCAAGGTGCTCCACCACAGTATACAACCACCCCTGCTTATGGTGCCAACACCCCTGGGGGGATGACGGATGTATCGCAGACTTCAGAAGCACGCGATGCCCTGGGTGATCTAGCTTCGTCCTCCGCCGTACAGCCTCCACACCATACCCAGTCTATCCTTCGACACCGTGACCGATCCGGGACGACAGCCTCAAATCGATCCCAGACTAGTACTCACAAACGAGTTGACTTTTCTCTCGGCATGAAAGCCTTGAGCTCAGACGACATGATATCGGATGTTTACTGGGACCGTGGTCATCGTGTAGAGGATATTGTACGCTCTACTAACCTCGAAGCTGCTGAACGTCGCCAGCAAGAAAAAGACTTACAAGAGCGAGCCAATGCACCTCTGGAAAGGAGCCCAACTAACTTGAGAAGCTCAAACGACTCCCATCGCCCCAACTTTTCCCAGTCAAGAGGAAGTGTCTCTTCGTCCGTCTACCGGAGCAGGTTTTTCGGTCGCATGGGAAGCGGTAGAGGAACACCATCACGGAGTCGAACGCGTGACGGGGGCGGCCGGTACGAAGACCTGGAACAAGGACGATACCATGCTTCCGTGGCAGATGAGGAGTCTGGCCCGGCTTCAGGCCCAACCCAAGTATCAGCTCCCTCAGCTCCCTCAGCTCCCTCAGCTCCCCCAGCTCCTGGCCCAGACCAACCTCGAACTTTAGACCCACGTTCCGGCAGCGTGGACACCCAGGGAATGTATGATGACGGCCAGACTCAGGGAACTATGTGGTCAGCTGGCGTTGAGCGACACCCAACCCACGGCTCCGAGCGGCCACTGGACGAAAGTTACGAACTGCCTAATTATCAGCGACAATAAGGCAAAGAACTCTCTTTCACTGTTACTTATTGACACCTTGCTTTTTGATTTTTGTCTTCCCTTCGTGCACATACCTTTTCTACTTCATATGGCCCGGAAGCCTGGCAGCTAGCTACAAGCTCTTTCTCGTGTTACCCTCCCTCTTTCGAGCCTTTCAAAATCTGCTTCGTACTCGCTCTCACCTTTAGCGCGTTGGATTTCCAAGTGTCTTTTTCGAATGTTTAATAAAATATTAGCAGCCAGCCACAATAGCAATAGATTCCATTACACCTTAAGTTATGCAGGATGAGCTGAAACATCCAATGACTGACCCAGGTTAACTACACCCCTCCACAACTCTCGGCTACATGTCTCAGCTGTAAGTATGTATGTATGCGTACGTCTCTGCCGCACTTTCCGCCCTACCGTCTATGGCGCATTGTCCGCGGGGTACCTGTCTGTCAGTCATGATTAAAGGGGAGGGTCTTGTTGTTTTTGCTTACCCTACTCTGTACAGCTCAATGCTCATAAAGTCTACTACCGCCAAGCCTCGCCGAACAATACTTAGAAGCTTTCTTTAATTGGCCAGAATAACCGCCAGCGCAATAACCGAACTCCTGCTTGGCTAAAAAGGAACATACCTATTATTTGCGGGAGATGATACAGCTGTTGGAAATTGATTACCTATCTTACGAAAGCAGGATGGGTGCGCATTTCAGAGTAAATCCTTCGGTATCCTGTGGTTCACAATAGCGATTGAGGAATCAGTTACATACATTATCTAGATCCAGCCTGCAAAATCGTCAACAAGGTACTTACAATCACTGCGTCAGTCTTGTCTGATCAAGTGGCCAGCCAACATGACTCCGTTGTACCAATCCTTACGTCAAGCTGCCTGTCAAGCTGCCTGCCAACCTACCGCCTGCCCGGGCTCCCCTGATGCCTCGGTCCGTCTTGCATCCGCTACGCCAAGCCGGAACGGAGCGTTTCTTCTGCTTAATCAGCTGTATTGAAGCGTGTAATTCTGCTGTATACGATACATACGATACGGCGGGTAGCGAAAAGCCGCTTCCGTTCTCCTTCTGCACGAAGCTCGGCCATCCCACGCAAGCTGCTTGCTCCATCCGCAGCCCCTTTTCGCCATCGCTTGACTCAGGAGCCGAGAGAGACGTCGACAGAGACGCCATGCGCTGCATGGGGCACTTGGCTTGGTGCCCCAAACAATGGGGATCGTGGGTAGTCTCGTCTATTGTGCGATATCGTGCTGACATGCCATGTAGGACCACCATGTGCTTTATGGTGCACAAGTCTATGTACTCCGTACACAATGAAGATATGCATCTGCACGGGCCGTGCCTTGTGCAGTAGATTTACATGTCATATCTCACTGTTTGCTGCTGGACAGCGGTCTGACACTCGGACTCGGTCTGGGACGCCTAAGCGGTCGCCACAGGCCAAAACCTTGCTCCTGGCCTCCACACAAGCAAAGATGCCCTTGGTTGCTTATCGGATATGGCTGTTTTCCGGCTTCCGTACTTGCAACAGTCGTTCGGTGGCGTATGATTGGGCCCCGAGCATACGCCGGTCGGTCAGGGTCCTGGGATCGCAGCGTTTACCGTTAGGGGCAACCATCCCGGAACGCGGATAAGCATCGGTTCCAACGTCAAGGAACGGCATGGGGTACTCCGTACGTGTTGTCTTTTTATTTCTTCCTTACTTTTCATGCTTTTCATCATCTTCTATTTCTTCTTCCTACTCCTTCCTTCATGCAGTTCTCGTGGGTTTGCATCTTTGTTGTTTTTCTTTTTTTATACCGGTGGTCGTCTCTTCCGGATATATTTTATCAATTCCTAATAATATAAATCCCTACCAACTTTTAATCCTAACTCTCGTACCTCTCTGCATGTTTATTTCCCTTTGACCAAAGTGCTAGACATTCGTTTTGAAGCCTAGGGGAAGAAATCAACATCAATACATACCCATTACCCAATCGCACCCCTGCTACATCACCAATTAATATAGTCGCCCATACTTCGGCAGCAGAGGAGGTGCTATCGTCCATAGAGATCAGAAGCATGGCTCCGGCAGAGGAGACCAATGCTACTAAACCCACAGGGGAGCTCAGACCGGACGAGAAATTGAACTATGAAGAAGATGTTAAATGCAGCGGATCGAGCTCGACGACAGTTGGAAAGACCGCTTATGATACCGATGATATCAGTCAATCACAGGCCGCTGAGCTGCAGGACCTAGCCCGTCAACTCTCCAGAGCCTCTCGCCAGGGGGGTCTAGATGTTGAGAACGAACCTCAGCAGGTTATCAATCCGTTCCTGGACTCGGAGTCGGATCCTGAGCTTAATCCGGATAGCAAGAGTTTCAATGTAGCCAAATGGCTCAAGACTATCCTCCAGATTACGTCAAGGGACCCGGAGAGATTTCCCAAGCGTACTGCGGGTGTGTCGTTCCGGAATATGAACGTCCATGGGTACGGAACTGCTGCCGATTATCAGAGTGATGTTGGGAATCTTCCGCTTAAGGCATGGAGCGGTATCATGAGTATGCTTGGGCTGCGGAAGAAGGTCCGTATAGATATTCTGAGAGACTTTGAAGGTCTTGTCAAGAGTGGTGAGATGCTTGTAGTCTTAGGACGCCCTGGAAGGTACGCATATTCTATTGCTATTCGTTTATTGGCACTGCTTAACATCATATAGTGGTTGTTCAACCCTTCTTCGGACACTATCGGGTGAGACTCACGGTCTCTACCTTGACGAAGGCAACGATATCCAGTATCAGGGTATCTCCTGGGAGCAAATGCACAAGAACTTCAGGGGAGAAGTCATCTATCAGGCTGAAACTGAAACTCATTTCCCCCAGATGACCGTTGGAGATACCCTTTACTTCGCTGCTCGTGCCAGAGCTCCAGCAAACAGACTGCCAGGTGTCTCCCGAGAGCAATATGCCATCCATATGCGCAGTATGGTCATGTCAATGCTTAGTCTGTCGCATACCATCAATACCCAGGTTGGCAACGAGTATATCCGTGGTGTATCTGGAGGTGAGAGGAAGCGAATAAGTATTGCAGAGACCACCCTTAGCGGAAGCCCTCTACAGTGCTGGGACAACAGCACCAGAGGCCTTGACAGTGCCAATGCCCTTGAATTTGTCAAGTCGCTCCGCCTGTCTACCAAATACTCCGGAACGACTGCCATCGTTGCCATTTACCAGGCCGGTCAAGCAATCTATGATGTGAGTTCTGCTCGTTTATTTTGACGTATGCTAGTGGCAGCTAACACCTTCTATAGATCTTCGACAAAGCGGTTGTTCTATACGAGGGGCATCAGATCTACTTTGGAAACGCTGTCCGAGCAAAAGAATACTTCATCGAGATGGGCTTTGACTGTCCTAGCAGACAGACCACTGCTGACTTCTTGACGTCAGTCACCAGTCCGTCCGAACGGAGAGTCAGGCCTGGCTACGAGTCTCGTGTACCCCAGACACCAGCTGAGTTTGCTCAGCGATGGAAAGAAAGTGAGGACAGACGAATTCTCATGCAGGAGATTGATGAATACAACAAGGCCTACCCGCTACATGGAGAACAGCTACAGAAATTCCAAGCCTCTCGGTCAGCTGAAAAGTCCAGGTCAACCAGCAAGTCCTCGCCATATACCCTCTCTTACCCCATGGAGATCAAACTTTGCATGTGGCGTGGATTCCAGAGACTGAAGGGAGACATGTCCATGACTCTTACCTCCATTATTGGAAACATCGCCATGTCCCTGATCATTGCCAGTGTGTTCTATAACCAGCAAGAAACCACTGACAGCTTCTTCTCCCGTGGCTCTCTCCTTTTCTTTGCCATTCTCATGAACGCCTTTGCTAGTTCCCTGGAAATTTTGACCCTCTGGCATCAACGGCCCATCGTGGAAAAACACGATAAATACGCTCTATATCATCCATCCTCCGAAGCCATCAGTTCTATACTCGTCGATATGCCTGCAAAATTGGCCGTGGCCATCGTGTTCAATCTGATCATATATTTCATGACCAACCTCAGGAGAACTCCCGGTCACTTCTTTATCTTCTTCCTCTTCTCCTTCACCACGACCCTGACCATGTCTAACGTTTTCCGTTCCATTGCTGCCGTGTCTCGTACTTTATCCCAAGCTTTGGTTCCTACCTCAATCTTTATGCTTGCCTTGGTTATCTACACTGGTTTTACCATTCCAGTTCGTGATATGCGACCCTGGTTCAAGTGGATCAGTTACATCAACCCCATCCAGTATGCGTTTGAGTCTCTCATGATCAACGAGTTCCATGACCGAGAGTTTAAATGTGCTGCCTATATACCCAGTGGTCCCGGATACTCCAATGCCTCGGGAACATCCAAAATCTGCGCAGCCAAGGGAGCAATGGCTGGAAATCCAACCGTCAGCGGTGATGTCTTCCTCCGGGAAACGTATTCTTACTACGCTTCTCACATGTGGAGGAATTACGGCATCATAATTGCTTTCTTCGTTTTCTTCCTTTTCGTCTACATCACGGCCACGGAACTCGTATCTGCTAAGCCTTCAAAGGGAGAGATTCTCGTCTTCCCCAAGGGGAAAGTTCCGGCATTTTTAAAGCAGTCTAAGAAAAAGCAAGACCCTGAAGCCGCATCCACACAAGAAAAGCAGCCAGTAGAAAATTCTGGCCATAACCAAACTGCTGCCATTGTGAAGCAAACATCTGTATTCCATTGGGAAAGTGTGTGCTACGATATCAAGATCAAAAAGGAGACCAGACGTATCCTGGACAATGTCGATGGATGGGTCAAGCCTGGTACTCTTACTGCCTTGATGGGTGTGTCTGGAGCCGGAAAAACGACTCTCTTGGACGTCCTTGCAAACCGTGTTACCATGGGTGTTGTCACTGGTGAAATGCTTGTTGACGGTCGTCTCCGTGATGATTCCTTCCAGCGTAAGACTGGATATGTTCAGCAACAGGATCTCCATCTGGAAATCAGCACTGTTAGAGAAGCATTAACATTCAGCGCCTTGCTCCGTCAACCTAACACTACCCCATATGAGGAGAAGGTTGCCTACGTCGAGGAAGTTATCAAGATGTTGGGAATGGAAGAATACGCCAATGCCGTCGTCGGTGTCCTAGGCGAGGGTCTAAATGTTGAACAGCGCAAGCGCCTTACCATCGGTGTTGAAATTGCGGCTAAGCCTGACCTCTTGCTCTTCTTCGATGAACCTACATCTGGACTTGACAGTCAAACGGCCTGGTCAATCTGTACCCTGATGAGAAAGCTTGCGGACCACGGACAAGCCGTCTTGTGTACTATTCATCAGCCCTCTGCTATGTTGATGCAGGAGTTCGATCGACTCCTGTTCTTGGCTTCTGGCGGACGAACAGTTTACTTCGGTGAACTAGGAAAACATATGTCTACTCTCATTGAATACTTCGAGAGTAAGGGGGCCCCCAAATGCCCTCCAGACGCAAACCCTGCCGAATGGATGTTAGAGGGTCATTGGTGCCGCTCCTGGCTCAAAGACCGACATAGATTGGCCGGCCGTTTGGAGGGACAGCGCAGAGCGTGTCGAAGTTCGTCGTCATCTTGCAGAGCTAAAGTCAGAGCTCTCACAGAAGCCCCAAACTCCTCGGTTGGCTGGGTACGGTGAATTTGCTATGCCCTTGTGGAAGCAATATCTCATTGTCCAGCACCGTATGTTCCAGCAGTACTGGCGTAGTCCTGACTACATCTACTCGAAAGCCTGTCTTGCCATTGTTCCGGTATGCTATCATCCCCTTTCCTTTGGTTATACTAGTTTGATCACTAACATATCCCTATAGACTCTATTCATTGGTTTTACCTTCTACAAGGAACAAGTCAGCTTGCAAGGTATCCAGAACCAAATGTTCGCCATTTTCATGTTCATGATTCTCTTCCCCAATCTTGTACAGCAAATGATGCCCTACTTCGTCATCCAACGATCTCTTTACGAAGTCCGTGAACGACCCTCAAAAACATACTCCTGGATAGCATTTATGATATCATCAGTCGTTGTTGAAATACCCTGGAATGCCCTCCTGACTGTCCCCGCCTTTTTCTGCTGGTACTACCCAATTGGCTTCTATAAGAACGCAATCCCAACCGACGCCGTGACTGAACGAAGTGGCACCATGTTCTTGCTTATCCTGATCTTCCTAATGTTCAGTTCGACATTCAGTTCCATGGTTATTGCCGGTATAGAGCAAGCGGAAACAGGTGGAAACATCGCCCAACTTTGCTTCTCCCTCACCCTCGTTTTCTGCGGTGTCCTCGTTAGTCCAACCGCCATGCCCGGATTCTGGATCTTCATGTACCGCTTATCTCCATTCACATATTTCGTTTCAGCCGTATTATCCACTGGAGTCGGAAGAACAGATATTGTGTGCGCTGCCAACGAGATTCTCCGTCTTACCCCAGCTGCAGGACAAACATGCATGGAATACCTGGGTCCTTACACTAAATTTGCTGGAGGCCGAATTCTCACCCCTGATGCCACCGACATGTGCGAATTCTGTGCTGTTGCCGATACGGACACCTTCCTGAAAGGGGTTAACATCATCTTTGATGAACGCTGGAGAAACATCGGCATCTTGTTCGGATATATTGCCTTCAACATGGTCGGTGCCATCGGCTTGTATTGGCTTCTCCGTGTCCCCAAGAGGAAATCTGGGGTGAAGCAGGGACAACAGCCACAAAAGCAAGAAAGCGAGACAAAGGCATAGTTGTATTCCGATTGGAATACTCGATGCTATTCCATGGCCCACGAGCCATTGCACATATATTACCTTTCCACCTTTGATATATACACCGCACTCCCCTCCAAAAGCCACGACGATCTTACTTTTCCATGTCTTGCAAATAGACTAGACTTTCATGCCAATACTTTTTTTCACCTCTTGTTTTTAGTCCTACTAGATCTGCATATATTTTAATATGTCCCTCAGAGTCACTCTGGGGCTTTGCTGTATATCATACTTTGTCCATGTCTCAGTTATGTTGCTTTCTCAATTGGCTACTCCATTTCTTTGATGATTCTCCAGTTTCAAAAATATGAATCTAACCCGAGGGAATATCAAATGGAATCCCAGACTCCTCCGCCACAAGCATATCTTTAGTATTCGTTGTCCCTAAGTCACTGTTTCTGGTGATCCAGCTACCATGTCACTGGTAATCTCGCGCATTCAACACATGAGTGGCTTTCACACTGTCCATGAACGAAAATATGTTATCGAGGAGTTTACAGATCACATATTGTATTTGTGTAGGGCCGGTGTATGGAATATGATTTGAGAGTTAGATCCCAATCTCGACGAGAATCCGGGCTATGCAAACACCTTGCTTGGATTCTTATCAGTCAGATAGAATTATCCCTCTCATACATTCAGCTCCACTCTGTGTGGTCCATCGCCGAAGAATTCGGTGGTGCTGTGGTGTCCTAGACAAGTTGGAACCTGAGCGGCTGATTTCGTCCTGGTTGCACCGGGTATCATGTCCATGGCCAGGGAAGCAGGTAGCTGCAACGCTGTGTACACATCTCTAGCAAGCGAATGTTGAACCCCCTTGTGTCTGACATCGTGTTTGAAATGCTGGAACTAGTGCTATTATTAGAATCGTGTAACTACTTCTCGTTTGTATGAAGTAGCTAAATATAATAGACATAAGGAAGACATTATCTCCAGAGAATCTCCTCCCATCCTCTTGGATCTGCTTGGCTTACTACCCGGTGTTTTCTGTTAACGGGCCAAATAATCTTATTGGGTGGGGAAAGATGTGTCCCGTCTTCATGTAGATATCGGTATCAAGCACGAGATTGTCGTTTATTTTGCAAGAGAGCACCGACAGCATGATTCGCAGAAATAACCAGTTTAAGCATCTGTATAACTGCACCATCGGACAGAAGGTTAACTAGTTAGTTATTTGACAGCTGGAATGTTAAGAGCCATCTGCAAAGCACGCATGAATTGCTCTGTTTGGACCTGTAGCGTGTAATTAGTCTGAAAATGAAGGTTAGTTTCTAAGAATAGGAAGTCAAAAATAGAAACTGGACCCAAAATAACACTTGACTTAGCCAGTACTCCAGAGTTATTGCTTAACTCCACACCTGTCAGTGGTTAACTAACTCCGGGTGGACAACAGATGGCAGACAGCGTCTCCCTTACGTCCTCAGAGTACGTATGCTGCCCGCCGTCGACGGTATGCATCACCATATCGTGTTATCCATGAATGTGAGCCTCCCACACACACACCCCGTATATTCCATGTATAAACTTTCGAGCTGTGATGACTTCTTGTGGACAAGGAGTAAGATTAGAGCGAAAATATTTTGGTTCAGAACAAAACTCCAAAATTAACACCCATATTTATTAATAATTGTGCATATTTTCTGATGAGTCACGCACGGGAGAGAAGGCATCTTGCATGTGTAACGAGATGAATCGTCGTGATTCGATCGGTTACCATGGCTGTGGTCAATAGCCTATTTTACCTTGCTCAGGTTTGGTTTATTTTTAACTGCCTTGCCGCCTTGAGACAAAGACGGCATATCCAGCGAATTCTCAAAGTTTTAAGGCACCCAGTGTGTAGCGAATAGGTTCTGAAGGTAGAGGGCCAAAAGAAACAAACTTTTCCTCCGGATTCTTCTCCGTCTTCCGCAGAGAGCGAAAGTAGTGAGAAAGTACTCAGTACAGAATGAGGCCAAACTCTTCTTTTCCTCAGCTCGGGTAGGTAAATTATGTCAGTAGCGGGATTTTCTCTTTTCTCATTCAGCTTTCGCCCAAGCCAGCGTACTATTCGCCTGCTGCATGCAGACCCCTGTTCAGCTGACATCCGAGGCATCCACGGCGCTTAAAGGGAAAAGAAGCTGAACGAGTGATGAACGAGTGATCTGCGGTACGTCCAAGCAACGGAGTCTGCCCGTCAAGCCAGAGTGCGGCAGTGCGTACGGAGTATACTTGAGAGTGTGCCCTGTGTTCCGCAATGCACTGGGGCACTGGCTCATACGGAGCACTCTGTGACAAAGCGATGGGAGGTTTTCGGCGTTATGATCTGGGCGGTAAAACCGACGTAAAGGGGGGGAAGGGGGAAGCGAAAGGCCGAGAAAACAAATATATTTGAATCATTTCTTCTTCCTTGGGTGATAGTTGAGTCTCGAGTTTTTGGGATGATCGGAATGGGCGGAGGAACTCATCCACGCGAAATCACTGGACTCGTGGGAGAGCCAACCAAAATGGTAAGTTAGAGGGGAGGGGAAACATTGCTGTTTCTTTGCTTCTTTCGCACAGTGTAACTAACTGATTTGACAGAGTAAGAAATTCAGGTTATTTTGCTTCGTTCCTCATCCTTCTAGAAGGGGGCCAGATTCTCATGCAGGACTGTTTCATAACTTTCCTGCCAGTCCAGCAGATGAGATATGAGCAGTTACCGTATTTGCCAGTCTGCCATACCCTCGTGCGTATGGACTGCATGGCCAACCAGTACTGGTTTATCGAGTTTCAATACATTGTTTGGTGGTGTGTAGGACAGCTGAGAGTGCCAGATGACAAGAGAACTCTGTTGTTGAGTAACTGAGCGTAAACGATGGGAGAGAGATCCCCGTGGGGGCCAGGAACCTTTTCGAATAAGCTCGAACGCGGCCCTTCGGTCGAAATCAGTCAATTTGTCCGTTTTACCCCAAAGGCAGTCGGCCAGCCTTTCGCAATCTTCTCAACTCCGCCGGATGGAAGGGAAAGGTTCACCACCACCACCACTACCACCACCTCGACTTGCTCTCTCGCATAGTTAGTTATCCGTCTGAACCACGGGTCCGTTGCGCCGATTATGCATGGAAAGAAGGATCGGCTTGCGACACAAAGATCACAGCGTGCCTGAGAGTAAGAGTCTTATTAACTTTCGAAGTTGACCAGCGCCCGGTTCAGGCTAGAAAGTCAGTCCGTCCCACGTTTAGAGCACCGCCCGACTCTTCTTGGAACAGACTCTGTGTCTCGTCTCCTCCCGGTAAATCGTCGATCAGGACTTTTGAATGTGGTACAGGAAGAGATGCCACTGGCCCTGATCTTGTGTTCTATAGCATGTAAGGCAGCAGATTCTCACTGCATGGGAACTATCTGCCTTAATAGCCAAACCCTATAGTTGTATGGTTAGCCTGATTGATGTGCACATCCAAAAAAACGCGGCATCCGGGGTATCTCGTCCGTGATTTGACGAGCTCACCATCAGCAATCCTTGCGGACCCTGCCTCCTCCAGCAAAGGGCGGCATAATATCGAAGGTTTCTGGCGTGCAGAGGCCAGAGGGATGAACCGTCAGGCCTCATTCCCACAAATCACCAGCACAGCCCAATGAACAGCCAACTTCGCCCGGAGGAGACACCGTCCTGAGCCCGTCGCCGGACAGATGTCCATCTTCGATGCGTCCGTGTCTCCCTCGACGTCCGTGAAGCTGCAGATGCACCGAGAAAGAAGCAAAGGACGTAGAGGCAGAAGACGCTGAAGACGCAGAAGAAGCAACGGAGGTTGCGATGCGCCGGCAGAAAAGCAAAGGCGGTGTTCCCTTTCCGGTAATTGCTACGACCAACTCGACGAGGGGCTGTAAATGTTAGAAACTCGCACAGGAAAAGAAAAACAACGGCCGGTTCAGGGCCGCAGTTCTACGCTGGACAGGCACCGCGAGACATCGAGACACTAAGCTGATGGGAGGGATGGAGTTCGAGCACGTAACTATGTGATGCTGGGGATCGACATCTCGCGATGGAGTTGAGTCTGCTTGCAAAAGCGTCGCTGTCACTATCGTCTCCCTCGTGCTAACAAGTCCATATAGAAGAAGTCCACGAGTTAACTTCTCTCCAACCTCCCTGGCAGATCTCTGATCCTCCAAAAACACAGCCCGCTAGGGGGTGACGACAGGCATCCATGCTCTGCCACGCCTTTGAATTGCGCCCGGTCTGCGGTCTGCGGGGAGGGGGGAGAAGGGCCTTCTTGCATTGGCTGATTCGTCCTATGGCCGGACGCCTGGATGCCGAGAGCAATGACATTGCTGCACAAATTACTGATTACAAGAGTACTGAGTGCGAGGAGACCGTCCTCGCTAGACGTGATTGGAGAGGACCGCAGAACCTACCCTGCCTCGTACAGTTTCGTCCTGGCTGAAGGATCAGACTTTGAAGATGAAACTCGTGTGGGACAAGGTCCAACTCGGTCTCCTCGGGGCGACCATGCATATTTTTCTGACAGGGGGGAGGGACGCCCTTCTTTTTTTCAAAAGCACAAATTCCAAATAGTATTTGTTGCACGTCCTGGGTACCATGGAGTACATGGCTCACAGTCCCTCTGCTCGGGAGATGCGGTCCGAATCCTCCTATTCAAAGTTTCAATCCTCATCCAATCGTTCCTCCCGCTTGGACGAGAGGGTATCCACCTTTACGAGCAATAGCGGCCTTCAACACGTGTTTATGATCCCCAGCTCAAGGGTAGAACCTTGATCTTGAAGGTTTGCCTGTCAGCTCTTGATAATAATCATAATACTTCTTACTTATATCCCGCAGTAATGGACTACCAAGGGCGGGATGTGGGACCTCTGAGATAATAATAATAAGAATGGTACCATGCACATACTGGAACTCGATCCTACACATGGCAAAAACAAAATCCAAAAAGGAGGAATGCCTGCAAATCCTGCAGACTCAACTCAGCAGCAGCAGCACTGTACATATAGGGTCCATTACTATGGGACTTGCCCTGTCCCCCTGGCCGCAAAATAATAGCCGTTCACATAGGCTAACCTCCTTTTGACCCAGGGAGGCTTGGACACCTTGACCAATAGACGATCACAATGTACCCTTGTCGTACCAGCAATGGTCTTGCACGGAATCTTGCTTGATCGCAATGCAGGACATCCGTCTCGTTCGTTCATCTGTTTACCTAGCAGGTCCGACCAGCAAGTCACTGCTCTAGGTAAGAGATTATCCTGTAAACGGGTTATCGGAACGCTGATCGAGAGGAACTAATCCAGCCACCCCGTGGAAAGCGAGATGACGGGTTAACTAGTCTCGGAGTTAATGAGGAGTTTATCCGCTCAAAACTAGCACAGCAGCAGTTGACAGACGGAAACACAGTTAACAACTAGATATGCTGTGCTATTACTCTCTGCACCTCGCTATGTACGGCATATATGTCGACGCTGTTCTTCCCTGATGCTATGGCCTGCCTAGCGCTCGCTACGGGACAGGAGCATGGCACAAAAGGAGCAAATCAGGTACGGAGTACTGGCACCCAAATCCCCCCCCGAACTGGGATCATTTTCAGCTCGATGATTGTAGTTCATATACTCCGTACACCCTACGTACATGTGGGCACTCATGATTTAAAATCAGTATTTATATTACTTCCGTTTTATCTCCCTTCTGATAGGAGGTTTCTCCATATGTAAGTGAACCCCTGGCCTCGTGGCGGACAGGATATTGAGTTATTCCTCGCTCCATGAACGGTCCAAAAAAAGTCGGAGAATAGACCATGGGGGGTAACCCTTCACCAGATACCAGCATATACTAGCCAGGGTGTGATGCCGATGTTGATAAGGGGCCCGCAGGGGAGTAACGAAGAGGCATGCCCTGTTTACGCTCTGTACCAGACCAACTGTTACTCTGCTGTGGACAAACGACGTTATTCGCTGACTTGTATTTTGAAATAGGAGGACGATGTCTCTCTTGGTAGTGTTGATCGCCATGTGGCAGAGACAAACGTGTCAAACCCCCAAGCACATACACTTTTGTCTCTCAAGGCCTCGTATTCCGGCAAGGATCAGGGCGACGCTCACTTCGCTTCCTGGAAAGCCATGCAGGGGCGCTGGCCTTGTGATTTCCAATCCATTGCAAATTTATTTTTATACTTCGGCCACCACGTTTTTTTCCTTTTTTTTCTGAAAATGGGGCCAGGCATTGAGGCTCTGCATAGTTCAACCGTGTCCGACACTCTTATCTCTGATTCTTCTCATGTGGCCTTTCAGAGGGAAGAAAAGAGAGAGAAAAACAAATATCGGAACTATCAAAAGCTGACTGGGTAATCCCTGTCCCCTACACCCGCTACATCATGGCGCAAGGTCGGTGGGTGGTGGAACAAGCTCTCTCTTCTTTTCTCGGGCCTGAGCTGCTGGCTGCTTTTATATGCCCTCGCATCCCCCAGATCCTCCCTCAGCTTGAACACAAACAACTTCTCCTTCTCATACCTTCATGCTACACGCTGGCATTAACTACTTCTACACGCTGGCATTAACTACTTCACTTTTACAAGCCCACTAGTGAACCTCATGCCATACATGCACTCAGAGCTACACACCTACCAGACTTCCACTGTTCATCCCGTCTACTACGCTATTGAACCGTGAAAGCCATCTGCTCTACCCTCAAGTCTAGAGAATTGCACGTCAAACTCCAAGGTAGTCATCAGTTTCTACTGTGTTTGGATTCCAAAATCAGATCTCAACGATGACCTCAATGGCGGGCACTTTCACTCTCGCCCTCGACCCTACTACACATTTCGGCTTTTCGGAAGAGGGGTCTCATACTGACTACGAGCTGGCTCTCTCCCCGCGATCGGATGATATCAGAGCCATGCTGGGATCCAACGACTTCCCCTACGACCTCGATACCGCGGGAGTGATGAACCAAAAACAGAATATGACCAAGGCGCAGCCGCTCACTGGGTTCGAGCAGTGTGCTTCAGCCTTTCCAGCAAATCCCCAGAGAGATGTAGAGATCTACAACAGCCCATATCACATGGAGACTACGATTCCATGGGAAACTGACTGTATGATGTACACCTCACTGCCACAGCGCATGGTGAGGTATACCTCTCCATTGGGCTCTTGCGGAGGAGACCAATCTACATCTGATTCCTCCATGAGCGAGTACTCGTGGAACTCTCCTAAGCTCTATCCTAGCGTCAACGATGTATTCGACTCGCCAATCACCGAAAAATGCCAGTTCTCGGATGGCATCGACAATGCTCTGTCTAGGAGCCTAAGTGGTTCGCAGTTAGGAAGTGAATGTTCTGTCTCACCTAAAGATGTACAACATTACCCCGATCCTGTCCCTACCCAAAGCCCTATTTTTGAAGACCTCATGCTGTCTAACAAGCCGCCCCGATCTATCCCTGCCTTCATGTCACAGTCCTTTTCACTACAAAACCTGGACTCACGGCTCGGGCAAGATGACATGGTCTTCGGAGATCATCTACAAACTGGGAACAACGAAATAGTTGATCCCGCCCTAGGCGAGGCCTATCTCGACCGCCAGAACAGTCTCTCGGGAATCACTTCTGCGGGATTTTCTGGCTTGGTTCACAAGCGAGTAAAGTATAACGAGATAAAAGCAGATAGCTCCGCTTCGATACCCAGCCCTCCATTATCCCCAAGCGGCAGTGAGAGTGGTGTACGAAAGAACCGAGCGAAGCCAAAGCAAAGACAATCCCCAGTCAGCAAACGCACGACTAGGCGAACCCCGTCTAAGAGTTCAAGTTTCAGCATTCCCCGAAATCGCCAATCGGCGGCGGACCGCATCTTCTCCTGCGTTTTTGCCCCATATGGTTGCACAAGCTCCTTTGCCTCCAAGAATGAGTGGAAGCGCCACGTTCTATCCCAACATCTCCAGCTTGGCTTTTATCGATGTGACATTGGTCACTGCAAGGTGTCTAAACCGTCCAACTCTATGATGTCCACTCCCTACTCCTGCGATTGCCCAACCTCCATCTCCTCTTCCCCTTCTCATTCATGCACTATTACCACTATGCGTACCCCCAACGACTTCAACCGCAAAGACCTCTTCACCCAACACCTTCGCCGCATGCACGCGCCTTGGTTGACTCTCCCCTCTCCACATGAACCTACCAAGGGAGAACGTGAAGCTTTCGACAAACAGCTTGATGAAGTGCGAGCCAGATGCTGGGTCCAGCAACGGCAAGCTCCTCAGCGAAGCCAGTGCAACTACTGCAGCCATGAATTTGTTGGCCCACACTCCTGGGAAGACCGCATGGAACATGTGGGCAAGCACTGCGAAGTTATGGATACCGAAGAGCGCGAAGATGTTGCTCTACGTGAGTGGGCCATTGAAGAGGGTGTCATTCTACCATATGGGCCTGGCAAGTGGCTGCTAGCAAGCATACTGAATGGCAGTGGAAAGAAATCCTGTGGATACTCCTCATAGTATGCTTCTCTTTTTTGCCTCAAATGGGGGATCAAAAAAGGGTGAGAGAACCGAACCAGAAACGAAAACAAAGGAAAAAAACATCCCTTTTCTCTGTCTGTTTCTGTATATATTTCCCCTACTTGTTTCTTTATGACTTTTCTTATACTTTTTCATTTGTTACGACTCGGGCAAGACTTCAGGAAAATTCAGCATGGCATTATGTGGTGGTATGGAAACACGGGTTTCATTTGTAACGAATACAAAGCTTTGATATGATTGCTTTTCTCCCCTTTTCCTAATTTAATATTCTATTGCCTCTAAAACGGCCCTCCTCTACTTACCCCCGATATTTTCTGCATATTAATATCACAATAATGATCTTGACGATTGATGTACCGTACTCTCCAGCGTTCGCTTTAGATCTTTGGCACTTGCTACTAGAATCTTCCGATATCCAATCTACAACATGCCGCATCCAACAGGCATATTATCCTCAACCAGGTTCTAAGAATTTCCGGAAGATATCATAATTCAAGTTTCCATCCAACCGAAGTATCATGTAAAGTGTCTTTCAGAAGCTACGCCCGCCTTCAGCATGCAGGCTACCTGCATGCAGCAGGGCTCAAACAACTCAGGCCCTGGTTAATCACTGACATATCTATTAGCAATCGAGCGGGACTATGTAAGTTCCGAAGCCACTTAAGGGGTATGCACGCAACCTGGCCGCAATCCTGTTTGCACGCGGCCATGCACGGAAGAGTAGATGCAAGTGTCCATGAAGGATTCAGCTTGCATCATGCCTGTAGATTGCCACGCAGAGCAGCCGTACTTGGCAGCAATTTTTTTTTAAAGTATTACGGGATTTTCCCGGGTGCCGTTGGCCACGAGGCTGGGAAGTTAGCAAATAATACCTTAGTGGGAATGTTCCAAACGTTAGTTTCTAGATTCTCGTGTAAGAGGTTGATTAATGTAGGATCGTGGACAAATATACGAGAACCAACAAGCTTTTGAGGATTGTGTGGACCCTCCGCCATCTCATGGACAGTTGGTTTTGCTTCGTCATGCCTTGTGACGGCACCCGGAGCAGCGCACAGAAAAGTGGCCGAGATAGCGGAGGTGTCTGGTTCTGGAGACTTACATCTGCAGACATCCGAGGGAATCGAATGTGGCTGAATGTCCCTAAGAGCGAAATATCTGGTGACAGTTTGCCGGGTGTAAATAGGAAAGCACAGAAAAAGATGACATACATCTCTTGAAACATCGTGCAGGGTTCAGTAAACCATGTTTGCATAAGCATTGAGCACCAGTTACCCAGAGTTCAATAGGCTACCTCAACGGGAGAATCGGAAAAGGCTATCTATCATTTGCCGAATCGAGTATGGTCGCCTACTCACTAGACACATATAATGTTGAAAACGTGGTATATAGCGGCTTTTCCTGGCATTAATTGCTGTATAAATTGCGACCCCAGGTAATGTGCATTTAATATGCAATGAACATTAGAAAGCAATTGCATATATGGCGTGTTGCAGGTATATACATGGTGTTCAGAGCGACTGATGGTCAGATAATTCAGTTATCCATGTGGATAATGCCATATTTTTGTTGCATAATGCTGGGATCAATAAATCGTCACGGTGGGGGGCATGATCTACGCGAGCTGCGTAGGGTGCATTGCAAAAATTATGGTTATAATGCCAGGGAAATTTGCAACCTCGCCTGCGAGACATGCTAGCATGACAAAAGATCCTCTAAGATCGTCTTCGCTTTTCAACTGCCTCTCGAAGTTTTGCAATAACTTCAGCGGGGTTCTGGGCTCCAAAAACGGCGGATCCCGCGACGATGACATTAGCACCCGCATCAGCCGCCTGGTCTATGGTTCCAACGCCCAGTCCACCATCGACCTCGATGTTCATGTCGGGGTATTTGGCTCTCAAGGCCTGGACCTTGGGTAACTCGGAAGCCATGAACTTTTGGCCGCCGAAGCCTGGGTTAACTGTCATAACCAGTACCATCTATACATGAACTGTTAGCCCAATTGGTTCTCCATACGATTCTCCCACTAAAACGCTCAAAGAAGTATCCTCACATCTGGTCGTTCAATTGCCTCCTTGTTTTCTAATATATCCCAGAGCACATCTACACTGGTCTCTGGTTTAATGGCAATGCCTGCCTGCATGCCTAGTTCATGTATATAACGAATTAGCTCCTTTGGGCTTGTTTTTTCGGTCGTTGTGTTATCCGAAGGCTCCTTGGCAGCATTGGACTTGACAGCCGCCTCGTAATGGAAGCAGTACAGGTCACACCCGGCGTCTTTAAATTCTTTAACCCATTTTTGAGGCTATAACAGCGTAAGTTATGAGATCATATATATACTCGAGGCAAAGGGATGCGGAGGAAACGGAAGTACCTCAGCAATCATCATATGGCAATCAAATGTCCCTTTTCCACCTGCACAGGCCGGCCTTTGGACATGAGTTCTTATCTTTGAGACAACCGGAGGTCCGAAGGTGATGTTCGGCACGAAATGACCGTCCATGATATCAACGTGGATCCAGTCGCTGTCATTGTCCATCAACCCGGAGCATGCTGCACCGAGAGAGCCAAAGTCGGCAGAGAGAATTGATGGAGCGATAATTGCCGGTGGTCCCATCGTGAACGATCTGTATGATTATGAGCTGGCTAGAGACTGTGTTGGGTTAAATGAAGATGAAAGCCGGAAGTTGAGGTTGCTTTTGTTGGATGTTTTGATCCCAGATGAGAGATAGTGGGGTAGTGGGGATGATAACGCGTATTAGTCATCCATATAATCACATGACATACATAAAAGTCAAACTCTCTTGATTATTAATCAGCTTCCTGTATATATCTATATCAACAAGATCAGACGAAAGGAGAAGAGCACTTGGTTATGGTCACGGATACTATGGCCCCCTGTAATAACGGCGGGTGCATATTCTACTGACGAGCTTCAAGGTTGTAAAAAATAACTGGATAGGCACTGATCTATTTTTTACCCCGGCACAGAGATGAGAGCTACTTTTATATAGTACAGAATTATCGATGAAGTGCGAATCTACTTCGTTCACTCACATATTATGGAACCAGGGATGCTCAAGAGCATCCTTTGCGGTTATCCTTCTCGCAGGATCCAGACTTGTCATCTTAGTGACAACATCCCGAAAGGGCTCGTCAACATCCTCCCACATCGAAAATGGCTTTCGCGGGTCCTCCGGAGTAAACTCATCAGCAACAGCAACAACAATATCTCTCCACTCAGCAGAATCATCTTCCAGATGTTGTAGGAACCCAATCAGACCAGGGCCATCCCCGAAATGAGAGAGTAACCGCTTGGCTATAATCCGATCCTTTTCATAAACATCTACATCCCTTTCATTGATATAGAAAATATTCTTGTGAAGCATGGTATATATGCACTAGATGAGGCTAATGAGCATATATTATATTATTACAATGGAGGGAGATCTGAACGGTCACTCACAACAAGGCCAAAGGAGAAGATGTCAGATGGGGTGTTGATACGGGCAGCAGCGTGGGACTCCGGGCTTCGCCACATGGGATTTCCAAGCCGGGCACCACGAACATTCAGGCCAGGGGGAATCATGGAACCCATCTCCAGGTCTCCAATTTGAGTTCTCTCTATTTTGATTGTGCCATCAACGAGGTCACAGTCGACAAATATGTTGTTTGGCTTAATATCTTGTAAAGTTGAAATGGAACGAGAAGTTAATACAAAGCAAATGTATCAACTAGTTTAACAAACTAGATAAGGGTGGAGTGTAATTACCACCGTGCAAAATGCCCCGTTCATGTAGAGCAGCAAGTCCAGTTAACGAATCCCGCAGGATTCTCTTTCTAGCTGGATAAGAAAGACTGCCATTCCTAGATAGGCCGAGTAGATCTTCGGTAAGGAAGTCATATATAAACAATAGGTGCTCAGGAACAGTATCCTTTGCTACTCTTAGGTTAAGGCAGCTTGCAAGAGGCGCCTGTAGGCCCCACTGATATTCGAATTCAGTGGAAGATATGTTTTTAATGACATGCTTCTTTCCATCCTGGGTTCTAATAGCGTTGGACACTTAGCAATCTAAGGCATAAAGTCCTGGGCTAGCGTATGATACATACATAGCTCGATAGACACATGACAAGTCCGGTTCCGTCCTGTGGTGAAGAACTCGATCGATGTAGTAGAGTACACCAGTTTGGCCAACTAGGCTTGTTCCCACGTTGAGTGCTCCCTTGGACTGCGTGGTATGGCTGGTTGACATGCTCATGATTGACAGTCTGTTGGAGAAGGAGATACACCAACGTTGTACGGTATGAAATCGAAGAAACAAGCGCGATGTAAAGGAGGCTGATTGAGGACTGAAGACTCGTAGTCTAGAAGCCATGGCAGTTCAATGTCCAGAGTGGTATGGTAGCAGTTAAATAAACATTGAATATCACGAGATATCAAGTGTGGTACAGATATAGGGTATTCAGTAAGTTGGATCGGGACTACATAACTAGTTAGCTATACGCTGAATATAAGATAGAGGGCAGTCCGATACTCCATTCTTCAGTCCATCGGTGATTTGATTGATTGCATCGGGAATAGAGGTTGCTTGTGACTCCAGTGACACCAAGCGCAGTTTCTTCAAGCGAGGCATAAGGGATATATTGAGCATCATCAACTGCTCCATCAAAAGAGGCATGGCCAGACCTTTTCGCTATCAACTCGCTTGATAAATGGGCTATGTGGTTGTTTCTCCGAAGAAGCTCAAGGTTGTCCCTCTGCCTGGTGGTTGGTAGCCAAAAGTGACTAGTTATGACGTTAACGTCTCCGTAACGATGCTCGGGGATCCAGCATGTAACGTGACTCTCCCTGACTGTTCTGCTCTCTTCGTAGGCAATAATAATGGGATGAAATTAACGAGACGACAGCTTTCTACGGCCAAAGAAGTCTTCAACAATTCACTCGACGTCTGCAGCTGCGCGTCCCCTGATCTTTTGTTTCGAGTGAAGCGGCCGTTTGAGACCACCGGGACGGCCTATTTTTTATCCTCGAGACCGCTCAACGGCGACGGAGTAAACGAGCGGGCAACCCCCTAACTAATAAAGGGGCTGCTATCATTCACGGATACAGCCATATTCTACGGCCTTACCTAGCAACTTCTTACGTCGAAAATACTCATCGAACTGTCATCACATCAAAAGTCCTGCTGGAAGGCTTGCAGGCCAAAGTTCTACAGTCATGGCGGGAAATCCTCCAACATCGTACACCACCGACCCCACGTTATTCCTGTATACCTCTCTGACAGCCGGTTCATCCCACATCATCACAGCAACTTCGAGGTTAGAAACGATTCTGAAGGCGAACAAGATCCCTTTCCGAGCGATCGATGTTGCCACAGATGAGAAAGCACGCATGATATGGGGTCGGAGGTCGAAGGGCAGAAAGCTACCCGGGCTGGTCAGATATGCCAGCATAGTCGGCGTTAGTACCAGAAGCTCATGCTCCTAGTCATCTCCCTTGGTCTTCTTCTTGCAAGCCGGTCACTGATGCGTGGAATCTACAGGATCTGGACCAAATTGAAGAATGGAATGAATACGGTGAACTGAAGGCACAGATAGCTGCAACCCTGTCACCCTATGACGCTTCAAAATCGGAACCGCAGAAAGTGGCTGTAGCACCCACGGCAGCGGGAGCAGCAGCACCGCCTAAAACGACCACCTCCTCGGCGCCCCATATACGAATAGGGGATACCCCTTCGCGGACTCCGTCGGGCGAACAGCATGGTGAGAACATGCCAGCTGCGTTGAGACAGGCTAGCGAGGAGGCTGCGGCAAAGGCCAAGGAGAACATGCGGGCAAGACTAGGATTAAAGCCTCAGTCACCCTTGCATAAATCCGAAGAGCAGAAGGCCGAGACGAAGGAGAAGGGACCAGAAGATCAGAAACCGGAGGAGACAAAATCAGAGGACAAGCCAGCGGAAGTGGGACTGAAAGAGAAACATCCAGAAGAGAAGAAAGCTACCGAGCAGGAGGAGCCATCTGAACAGAAGGAACTCGAGGAGAAAACGGAAGCACTAGAGCTGGGGAAAGAAGACAAATCAGAGGGGCAGAAACCAGAAGGAAAGAAAGTAGATGAGCAGGGGGAAAACAAAGAGACCCAGGAGCTGGCTGGAGCATCCCAAGCTGCAAAGGATGACAAGCCGGAGCCCGTTACAGCTTCGGTGGAATCCGACGACTCGAAACTGGGAAAGGAGAAGGATGGAGAAGATGTATCATCCACAACCGGCCCAAGTGCAACCTCCAAGGAGGCAAAGGGTGCATCATCAGCTCCTGAGAAAGAAGCGGTATGATGCTGAACCAAGCTGGACCCCCTCCCCCCCTTTTTTTACCCATTCATCCGACTAAATATAATAATTACTATCACGAGACACCTATCAAGTACATACAAACCATATAAAGTGTGGTCACATATATGCTACGGATGCTCCGTACTGTTGTTACAAACGCTTCAACCCGTTCTTGCAACCGCACATGAACAGTGTCAATTGCTATATGGAGTACGGAGTACTTCGTATCTCAGCAGTCCCTTAACTGAGTGGTCAATAATAATAATAATTATCGTTCAGGGGCTTCCTGGCCTCTCTGTATGAAGCTGTAGTGAGAGCACCCGCAGTGTCTGTCTGTATGCACGGATGTCCTCTTGATCAGCGCGGACAGCAAGTGTCTCTGCCCACGACGCATCGCCATCGTCAATAATAATGCCAATAATCCGTCGCCATCGTCGCGATAGCACCGCTCAGGGGCAGCACAAACCCTCCCCCTTGGGCACCGAGAAAGTGATATCACGTGATGGACGTTGCCGAATCTGGGCATGTGAACGACGTTTCGTATTTTCGCTGCTGCGCATCTCGCGATCTCAACCGCTGGCTTGACACCACCAGGCCGTTAAGTACTGTTATTTGCTGCTGGGCTGTGACCCGGGCGTGACGACGGGCAGGATGGGCTGGCGATGGCTGCACGAGTCCACGGGACCGCATTTTCGATCGAGATGCACGCCAAGGGGATCTGGGCTGCGCGGCGCTGCATTGCCTTTCCGATAGGCCGCCTCGCTGTGCGCCCACCAAGTGATGAGTTGTCCACCGACAGACGAGCAAGGGCCTGCAGCAACTGATGCGCTGCTCATTGGGTTGCTCGTGTTTGGGCGTGCAGCATCTCCGGATCCAGTATAGCCTGTGTTGCGGCCTGTCTTAAAGCCTCCGCGTCCTCCGTCCGCTGTCCTGCTCGTCTCCCTTTCTCCTTTTTCGCCCTCACTATCTTATCGATCCCCTCCTGCTGCTGCATATAACCATATACCCCCCTGGGAGTCTGCTTGTCCAGCGGTCTGATAGAGAACGCAGAATACGCCCCCTTCATCCCAGGTATATCCTGCTACGTCAAGAAATAACGTTGGTTTACATTCCATTCCACCACCTCTTACCCCGGCCCTGCATTCCCTCCCTAACGCAAGAAGTTGTACATGTGCGAACTGGATAGCAGTACTAACCGGTCTCTCCAGATTTGCTACACATAACTCATAGGCTGATATAACCCTTTCCGGGAAACGTATCTCTGGTCTACTGGCCTTGACGGACCCCAGCGAACCCACGGACTGTTTGGTTTCTATAATATTTGGTCGTTCCAACACCTACTCCCGCCTCCTCCCCTCCCGCATCTCTCTCGAGCTATGGCTCTGTCCCTCAGCAGTGACGAGCTGTTCAATACGGTACTCTCTTCCTCTAGAGACGTTTTCTGGCAAGAACATTCCCACCTCCCCGAACAACATCGACAGCAACTCTGGAGCCAACGTTTGGAGCCCTTCATGACAACTCCAAACCAGCAACCTAACTACACTCACGTCAAGGGACCCAGTGTGGACGAGACACCTGGCCTATCTGGGAAACGGAGCTGCGAAACCATGAACCCCAACTCGACTTCCGGACGCCACACGAGCAAACGACGAGCTACCGTAGGTGATCCGATTTCTTGGTCAAAATATCCATTCCCCTCCAAAATTGTCTCTCTACAGACACCTGGGATTAACATGAAACTTATAGAGCCAGGAAGCTACTTTGGAATCCTCCAGCTGCAATAGACCTCAGCCACAACATTCGGTTTCCTCTCCTTCACGGATACCGCGGTACTCACCGCCTCTTTCAAGGCCTGGCAACTCCACACCAGAAACCGACATGCTTCCACCCCCCACCACTGTTCACGAGTCCGACGAGTCATCTACTGGCCTTCCGTTCCTCCTGCCAGCATCAACTGCATCGAATTCTCCTGCGTTTGGTCTTGACCTTCTCGAACTCAACCCGGACCTCCACAGCTATACGCCTGATCTCTTCGACCAAAAGTTTCTGGATGGAACTCCCGGCGCTCTCGATACTTCGACGACTGGAACTCCCAACCCTTCGCTTGACCAGAGCCCCTCCGCACAGACATCGAAGCAACAAGAAGTGGCCTCCTCTGGACCGGATTGTGTCGTACCCAACCCCTCTGGCTTCAGTGCTGAGATGAATCGTAGTTTTACTACTGACTCATTGTGTGGAGGAATGGATATGATCAGGTTCGGCTCGAACAGATCGGTTTCCAACAATCTGGAGTTTCCAGATCAATCATCAGCAAATTTCTTTGCTCCGTCATTACAACAGGAAAATGACACAAACTACCCCCTTTCCTTTATCCCCACCACCACTACTACCCAAGCCCCCTCTGATAGTAACATGACTCATGTTCAAATTTCTCAGTCCTTGCCCGAGTACGGGTCTGGCTACCTTCCTTCCCCTCTCTCTACCCCACGCACCCATTCTTCCTCTTTGCATTCTTCGTCGTCGGCTTCATCTACTGAGATGAAGCCTTCTCTATCGAGCGAGAGTCAAGAGTCCTCTCGCTCGAATAACTCCAGAGCTCTGCGGAGGACACATGAGCAGATCATGCAAGGTACACGAAAGATTGCGCCTAAGGCTGCTGAAAAACAAGGTATTCAGCCCGCAGAGGCCGAGCACCGGAAGATCAACATTCCGGCGGCTGACGGTCGATCTCGCGAAGTCGCTGTAATACCTAAAGCTTCGGTTCAACGACCTGCTCGTCAAAAGACATACTGCACAATGTGTAACGAGCAACCCGAAGGCTTCCACGGCGAACATGAACTCAGAAGACACATCGATCGATCTCATTCTCAAATACGCAAAGTGTGGATCTGTGTCGATATATCACCTGACAAGAAGTTTCTTGCCAACTGCAAGGCCTGCCGAAATCAAAAACGGTATGGTGCCAACTATAATGCAGCTGCCCATTTGCGTCGCACACATTTTAACCCCTGCCAGCGTGGTCGTGGGGGGCGAGGCAAGGACAGCGAGAAACGTGGTGGAAAAGGCGGTGGCACCCACCCACCGATGGACGTTCTGAAGCACTGGATGGTGCAGCAGGACGAGATTGTCCTCGACAACACTACGGTCATCGCCAAACCAACAAATAATGATGTTGCTAATGTCGCTGCAAAACCACAAATACCTCGTCGTACCTCAAACTCCAGCTCCAGCGATAGTGAATGTGGCAGCACCGCTCCAGCTATAAACGATAACAGCTTTACCACCGTCGCTGAAGAACAACAACACTTGGCTGCCCCTACTATCGGCGCCAAATTCGACCCGTGCCTAACCACTATCGATCAACCCGGCTTCGATCTCTCACCTCAAATGCCATTCAGCCTCGATGACTTCACTGCTGCTTCGACTCCATTTGATTGGAGTGATGGCAGCCACCCGGCCACTCTCGGAGGAGGGTATATCCCCATGGGCCAGGGTATCATGAATACCTATGACCCGTCATTTTATCCTTGATTATGTACAGACGAGCAGAACAGCGTAGGCTGGCTGATCGTCTGTCCTGCGTTGTTTTTGTTTTCCTGTCATACCGTAGAACATATGATCTACGATTTGACTTGATTTCTATTCCAACCTGTCCTTTTTACCATTCTCATCTCATGTCTGTTTTATGTATCTTGTTTAATCGCTTTATTGCTCGTTTACATTGGATGGAGATTGCTACATATCTCCACCAACAGCTTTATGGTTTGAATCTTTTCTGGAGTGATCACTGGCTACAGTGCAGTGGAATAATCTCACAGTTTCCTATTTAAATCTTAGGTTTCAGGATCTATTTCTTGTCGCTGGCTGTTGCTCACTGCTATATTTTGAGGCTTCGTATCCTCCTTCCTCGTTATTATATAATATTTATATTATATTGGTCGTCGTCCCCCAGCCGTGTACCATTTGGTATGGCTGGAAGTTTTCTTTTTTTTTTTTCCTCTTTATATTCTTTTTCTCTTCGACTATGTATGAAACAGACTATATATATATCTGTAATGCCATGAATGACTAGCGAGTGATTGTGAACGCCTTGTAAAAGCCTTTCCGTCCTATTATTGAAGCCACCCTTCCCGGCTCTGCAGCCAGGATAGCCATGCCGCCGCCTCCATTGACAGATGAAATTTGTTATTTGTTAATGCGAGCAGATGTCTGGACCCTGAAAGTGTATTTATCTTCAGCGGCTGCATTGAAGTTGAAGAAACACGGCAGTACTGCTCTATTAGGCATGAACAACCCTGCATTCTTCAGGAATCAGTGCATGAGAGAATGATGAAGGCCACTCGCCGGGAGGTCATGCGTTGCGAGAGAGCCCGATTTCTGTCGTTCATTGGGCAGGTTTCCCTCAATAGGATCCTCGCTCGGCGGCAGCAATGCGAAAGTCGACTGGGCCAAAAATAACTCCCAATCAACATGCACGGCCACCCTTGCCAAGCCCGGATCCACTATTTCCCGTAGCTACACCTGTTTTTATTGGTCAACTTAGTTTTATGCTTGTGGGAAGGTTCCAAGGAGTGTGAGTGGGTTCTAGCCAATAGGAAGCAAGTTTCATGCACTGTCCATCACAAGCTAAACTGTTTTAGGTATAGCGGACTGCCAAAGCGCTCGATTCCTAGCTAGTGGAAACTCTGCGAACCGCCGATGAGATGAATTCAGGCCTGATGGGCCAGCGTGGTTGGCGGCGGTTGGAACATCCTATGTATAACTTTCCTATTGATGCATGAAGTCGGCTTTCATCCCTGCTGCGCTGCTTGTCTGAGAGTACGTACTACATATATGCAGTAGACTAGCGCACTTGTCCCTTCTTTCTTCACCTTCTACAACTTCATTTCGCTCTTCGCAGCTCATACCTGTTGATCAGGCCTTTCACTAACATCTATATTCATTGTAATTTTCTAATTTCATACTCGCGCTGGTCGCACTGCACTAATACTGGCATACATTTGATACCCGGGGGCATCTTTCCTCTCATTTTCCTTGTTAAACTTGTCATTACTTAATATTAACGACAGCGCTGTTGACCAGTATGTCTACCTCTAATGTCTCTGCGTCATTTCATTTCTCCCGCCAGGACTTGAAGTCCCAGCCGGCTGTGCCGCAGCGGAGAATCAGTTTTGACGACCTTTACGATGCGACTGATGAATCGACGGATGATTCGGATGTGGATGGCTGCCCTTCACTCTCCAGCCATGGCGATACTCGCTCCAGCACTGCATCGTACACAAACTCTTCAAACCGCATGTCGACAGGAACAAATCAGGGCGAAGGGCGCCGCAATAGGTATCCCGTCATCATGATTCCGCCACCGACTTTTAACACCATTCACCAGCAGCACAAGAATTCGCCTGTGCCTCCCACTCCTCCGCCGAAAATTCCCCTGTCGCCCATGGTACTGTCCCGAATTTCTGGAGTTGTTCCGGCTCTTTATGCACCTCCATCTTTGGCAGGCAGCGCAGCTTCCGAAAGACCATCAACCCTTAGTGCACCCCAGACTCCAGATTTAGCTGCTGTACCTGATGTGGATTGGGATGAAGAACAACTTCGTGTTCAGTCAGACACCGAGGGAGCAGGAGACCCTAGATCAGCGAGTTCTGATATGAGTCCTCAGATCGACATCCAGCTCGAACAACCTGAAGATTGGAGTCTGGTTCTGGATCGTTTCCCTCAAATTCCAACTCATTATCCTGTTGTAAAAGCCTCCGAGAGCGAGGGCGAGGCGGGATACGAAAGTGAGGCATCTTTGGAAGGTGTTCAACTCTCATCTGCTGCCATGGAAACGCTTCAGCACATCCGAGTTCCTGGAGAGGATAGTAACGCTTCATCTGCCTCTTCCGTCAACGACCCGTCTGAAATGAACCAATTCACCGGATTCCCTGATGCTCGCCCTAAGAGCATGAACGATGCTGCCTGTGCTTCCGTCAGCTCAGCCTCCTCCTTCACAAGTTTAAGCATCCCATCGCCTGGTGGATTCTTTTCATCCCTTGATCGACACGCTCGAAAAACATGGAGTTTGGTTCCAACCAGCAATGTTCCCACATCCGCTGTTGCGGAAAGATTCTATGATCTACCATGGAACGCTCATCCTCAGGGCCGCGTTATTGAACAGGTAGTGGAATATCGAAACAGTTATGCGGATGATGACGATGATGCTACCGAGGGTCCTCCAACTGCCAAGCGGATAATTGGCTCTGCTCCACAAACTGCACGAAAAGTCCCTGAGGAGGTTTCCGAATTGGTGCTGAAACTCGACATTGACGAGAAGAAGCAAGACGATGCGTCCGAGTATGATGAATCATACGAGGAAGGTCTGCAGACCCGCGCAATGCAGAGCCTGGATCGTACCAGCACATGGCTAGCCGCGCAAACTCAATACATGGCAGCATTGAGCGACACAAACCCCATCAACAGTCCAAAGGAGACACCGGTCACTCCTATCCATGAAAATACCACAACTGTGCCGGATATAACTATCAGCACTACAAAAACGGTCCGCTTCCTTGACACCATCCCTGAGGAATCCTCCGAGAGCCAATCGGGCCCATCAACTCCGCTCCCACCTCTTCCAGTTGCAATGAATTCAATCTTTTACCGCGGGTTTCAACATTTCATGCGCACAAGGGGTAAGAATTGCAACTTGGACACTTTCCTTCATAGCAATTACCGATATGAGGCACTGCAAATTTCTCGCCTGACCATGCGCGAGAAGCATGTAAAAAAGCTCGCCGGCAAATATGAACTTGAGAATCCCGTTCGCCCGCCCTACAAAGGTCCATTCTCGCAAGCTCCTCGAAACTCTGTCCTCCCCCAAATAATTGCTGAAAAGAAGATGTACAACGATGTGGAAAAGGAACAGGATGCCCTGCTGCAAGTTAAGGATTCCCTTTGGGTGATTGATGCTCTCAGGTATATCAATGGCGGCAGGTTGATCCCTAGTCCTGCTGCAAAGCGTCTTGCAAAGACGAATTTACCCCTAGGTGGCCCGCAGAGCTCTGTCAAGCGCAGAACCAGGGTACTTGATCTAGGAGGCCAAGCTTCTTGTGAATGGTCTTGGTTTGTCGCACGAGAGTTTCCCAGCGTTAGGGTTTACACGGTCGTGACCAAAAAGCAATCAAGGGATATGGCCATCCAAGGCCCACCAAATCATCAATGCGTGTTGGCTCCAAGCCTTTGGAAACTTCCATTCCCTGACAACCACTTCGACTTGATTTCTGCCCGAACACTTCATATGCTCCTTCAGTCAACTCGCAATATCTTGGTAAATGGCGAAAAGGTAGACGAATTTGAACTTTGCTTGCAGGAGTGTTTCAGGTGCCTAAAACCCAGGGGCTATCTGGAGTTCTTCCTCATGGATTCGGACATTGTCCGTGCCGGTCCATATAGTTCTGCCACTTCTGTTGAGTTTGCCTTCAATCTGAAGACTCGTGGATATGATCCGAACCCCACAAAAACATTCCTCTGGAAACTAAAGAAGTCAAACTTCGGTGCCATAAAGCGTGCATGGCTCTTCATGCCAATGGGTACAGCCCTAAGTGATGCCTCTCAACTCCCTGGCAGCAGGAACATGGAAAGAGGCAGTGATATAGGAAGCACTGCTGATGTTGCGAACATCACTGGGCTCCTCGTGGGGTGGATGTGGGAGCAGTGGGTGCTGAAGCTGCAGATGGAGATGGGCCGTGACGAGAAGAGGTTGCTTGAGGAGATGAATGGTGTTTTTGATGAAGGCCGCAAGTCTGGCGCAGGATGGAGATGTCTGAGTGGTTGGGCTATGAAGCCTTCACGGTCATATTGATGATGGAGCGGAAGCTCGTACATTCCTTACATATTTCCTCACTTTATGTTATTCAACGTTCCCCATTTCATGTTGATTCGGATACCACAGCTCTGGTTAACTTTCCCCTCATAGACAGTGGGTCTTAGGCTAATCGCGTGGGTTCATAATGTCGGGTCATAGGCCTTCACTCTTTAGAAGTATTAGTATACTTTCAACATACCATGCTTTTAAATATGTATATCTTACCAACTCCTTACATATGTATCATGCTAATGGCACTCCGTGCCGGAGAGAATGAGGAAATCAACTTCTTCACAGCTCCTCTCCTCCTGGCAAAAACCTGTGTAATTCAATCGGCCATCTCATCACGCTCTTATATCCCCTTCAAACACAGCCTCGTAGTAAGAGTTAGAGTGAAATAAAGAGAATTCGATATTCATCCAAATATCAAGCGGAAGAAGCGTCGATGGGCTTAGATAATACAACATTTATGTCATATCACGTGATGTCTATTGGCCCACCGAGATGTCCAAAGAAACACGAAAGCTTTCGCAGGTTGGAGTAAAAGCACAAGAAAGCAAGCTTGCTAATCCTCCATGCACATCACTTGACCGGTGCAACCTGGGCGCCGCAGCTCATATACCTTTGAATTTATTAGGACACCCAAGTCAAATATCCCGCTACGATGTTATTTTTCAGGTAAGCCGACTGGCCAGTGCATTCCCTAGCCATGAGGAAGGCTTTTGGTATCTGGAATTTGGCTGCAAGAGCTTCTCATAACCTGAGCGACGCTGACTTTGGTTAACTAGCTTCTTCAAGACCCTTACGAACCGCACCGTCACGATTGAATTAAAAAATGACATTCGGATCCGTGGTACATTGAAGAGTGTGGATCAATATTTGAACGTCAAGCTGGACGATATCGAAGTTCTCGACTTAAACGAGTATCCACATCTCTCCAGCGTTAGCAATGTTTTCATTCGAGGAAGTGTGGTGAGATATATCGTGCTGCCACAATCCGAGGTCGATACCGGTCTACTGGAGGACGCAACAAGACGAGGTATAAGACTACCCAATCCCCCTCTTTAATCTAGAATTGTTACTAATAGTTTCGTGCAGAAGCCGCAAACCAAGCCAATAAGGCACGGTAATGAAACGATAAATCAAAATAAAAAAATTAGAAACTGGTGGGCGCTGGGCTATGAGAGGATATTCCTGAGTGGCGGGAATACCACGGCATTTATATTTGGGTCATGGTGACTGCGGTATCTGAGCAGGAGCTGTGGCTGATGCCATGTCATTGCATGCACAGGGGGAGGCGGATGAGCTCCTCCGGCTGCGCTTCCCTCTTCCAGGTCCAAATCTATACGATAGAGCATTTAATGATCTGCCGGGAAAAAAATACCTTTTAATGAGATATTATGTCGTGTCAATTATTGGCTATCATCCATGGCTTACTCTAAACATATAACATTATCCCAACCGTACGGAGCACAATTGATAGAGGCGATAACAATAGCGTTTTGTGCCGGCGCTTTGCATATAACTGATTAGGTAATCAACATTAAATTGGATATTCACGTGACCTCGCGCTTCGCGTTTCGTGCTTCTCGATAAGATAAAAAGGAAATTTCACGACTTCGACTTCGCACAGGAATGACCGAGATGATGCTGCAGGAAGTAGGGGACGGCCTCCGAGATAGTCCCCCTTCGTGGAGCAGGTTTTCACTCTCTAGATTCTTGTTATAATTTAGCCTGTTAGCCTGTCGCCACGACTGCTGTTCAATATGCCACCAACGCTCACTTCACCATTCTTTCGTCCAAACGGCCAGCCGGCAAAAAGACCTTCTCCATTATCTACAGCCCAAAAGAAACCAACACCAACGCGAAATGGGAGCATACTGAACTTTTTTAAGAAATCCGACACGCCTCCCAAGCCTACACAGCCTCGAATCACAGAATTTGGAGTCAGAAGCAAAGTAAATGTGCGGGGATGTTCACGGCCAGATATATCTAATGACACTTCAACTGGGCTATTTTTCGAAGAGGAAATCCCCCATAACTCGAATACGGAACCTCAGACGGATGGTATTTACTGTTCTGATGAGCGATATGAGGTGGTGGACACGCTTTGGGACTCACTACCTAACTCCACCGGAAACAACAATCGGGGGCATGACAGGTATAACGAAAGTCCCGGGTCCGTGAAAAGACGTAGGACGAGCGATGGAACCCATGAAAGAGAGCTTAATGGCCCTGAAAGCGCCGCCTCTGGTCCTATTGGTAATAATGGGGATGACTCGGCTTCAGCTCGGGAAACCCTGAGACTAGAGAGCGAGAATTCATCATCCACACCTACCATTGCCCGCCATGGACCCTTTGTGGATGATTCTGATAGCGAGGACGATAGGAGTCCTTTGTGTGTTGATGTGAGAGACACGAATGCAGGCAAAAATCTCGAAATTGGAGGTCGCACTACACAACCATTTTCTCTGTTTTCAGATGTGGGATCGTCAGATGATAAGAGGTTTGAAGACTCTAGCTGTCAGTCAATCGACCAACCAGTGAGGGAAATTGGTCCGGGGTGCGATACTCCAAATGAACTGGAATCAACTCTCTTACCCGACGAGGATTCAGCCCACTTGGCTGAGACTTCCTCTGACGACGAAGTGACGGTCTGCCCAATATGCCAAAGTTCCCTTAATCGGTTGTCGGATTCCGTAAGTTACACTTAATTTCATGAAAATAATGTTTTCAATGATATTAATACTGATTCAGGAAGCATCGCTGCATGTGAATGGTTGTCTGGACGGCATTGACGGCGACTCTGTTACTGTTATTTCTACGGTAAAGGATACCCAGCTCACGCAACAGCCTCCAAGAGTATTGCCAAGCATGAAAAGGAAAGAAATTCCTCGACCTGGACAGAAGGATCCCTTCTCGTTTTCCTCAGCCTCGTTGTCCACATCTGCTTTCACCAAAATTATGTCAGCAAACGAAGAGGACACTGCGTGGAGCGTGGCAGCCTCTCGTGAAGAAGCATCTCGGGGAAAGCAGGCATATGAGCGGACCTGTCCTTTCTACAAAATTCTACCAGGATTTTCCATAACTATAGATGCCTTTAGGTATGGTGCTATCGAGGGGTGCAATGCATACTTTCTTAGTCACTATCACAGTGATCACTATGGTGGTCTAACATCATCCTGGTCACACGGGCCCATTTATTGCAGCACAGTCACTGCGAATCTGGTGAAACAACAGATAAAAGTAAAGCCAGATCTGGTTGTTGAACTTGAATTTGAGCGGAAGACCGAGATACCCGGCACTGATGGAGTGAGCGTCACGATGATTACCGCAAACCATTGCCCCGGCAGCTCCCTTTTCCTCTTTGAGAAGGCCATCGGTAAGGGGAAAAATGCAAGGATACATCGGATCCTTCACTGTGGTGACTTCAGAGCGTCGTCGGCCCACATAAATCATCCACTCCTCCGGCCAAATATCCAGGATCGTCATACTGGCAAGTTAACTGAACAGAAAATTGATGTCTGTTACTTGGATACGACTTATCTAAACCCTAAATACGCATTCCCGTTCCAGCAGGATGTTATCTCCGCATGCGCCCAACTATGTGCAGGGGTGAACGAAGGTTATCTTGACACGTTGGGTGCAGGGAAAGAACAAGCGAAGAAGTCAGGGTCCATGGCTCCATTTCTGCAGAGTAACCATGGCTCGGACCGAAACTCCGCGGTAGACCAACACAATCGCGGCAAACTGCTTGTTGTCATTGGAACATACAGCATCGGCAAAGAACGAATGTGTCTAGGCGTTGCTCGTGCCCTAAACTCCAAGATATACGTTTCTCCGAACAAGAAGCGGATATGCGAGTGCTTGGAGGATGCCGAACTATCCAGCATTCTAACATCCGACCCCCTAGATGCCCAAGTCCACATGCACAGCCTAATGGACATGCGTTCAGAGACTCTGTCTGAGTACCTAAAATCCCTTGGCTCACGTTTTACAAGGATCATCGGCATCCGACCCACCGGTTGGAGCTACCGTCCACGTGGCGGAACACGGACTGACTGCCCTCCCGTCTCTGCGGTTCTATATTCAGAAGCGTGGAAACCTCGCTTCTCTGTTAACGACCTCGTCCCACAACGTGGTAGCACAAATGAGGCTGCATGCTTCAGTGTTCCGTATAGCGAACATAGTTCGTTCCGGGAGCTGACGATGTTCTGCTGTGCATTACGAATATCGCGTATCATTCCTACAGTGAATGTTGGCAGCCCCAAGAGCCGTGAGAAGATGAAATATTGGATAGACAAGTGGGAAGCAGAGAAGAGGAAAAATGGGCTTTTTGAAATCGAGGCCGAGAGTGATAGCAAGTGGTAGTCTATACCGCCTCGTCGTATTTTTGAGGTATATTTATAACCATGTATAAATTTGCTTTGAAGGGATACCCGGAAGTTATTTGTTATTTCCATGCTATTTATATATTTTTCGGTTCAATACGTTACGACGTATGTATGTACACGGATCCCAGAAACACTGGGAAAAATATGCAGATCATTTTCATCATGATTTTGTGCAAATGAGGACGACTCGATGTCCCCATGCGTTCCTTTTCTTCCTTAGCCGAGTCGGAACCCACCAGTAACTCTGTTCTGGAAAAATAGCGTTGGGTCAACTGCACGCCTGACCGCTAAAGCCTTTTCCCTCGTTGAAGGGGCCACGCGTCCCCAGAAGTCTTGGTTGGCGTTGAGGTCGTTCAGATAGAGGGGGCAATATGCCTTTGGTAGCTTGCCTTCATTGGTAAATTGCTTAATCATGTCACCCTGAACAGTATAGTATTTGCGAGTGGCTGCCTCGATTACCGAATCTGATGTAGAGCTGTTCCAAGAGACAGCAATCTGTAATAGCAAGTAGTCATATCTCGGGTCAAACCCGGCAACATCCTATATGGGCAGCCAAGTAAGTATATTTCTCCTTCAGCTGGAATGATATCGTAACTTACGCCTCCTGACTCCTTGGCTTTGGTGGAGATAGATCGTGGCAATGGCTGAAGAGCGAGTGAGCTTGCACTACCGGGAATATCGATGAAATCGTCCGTGACATCGTTCCAGTGGTCAATGAAAGACTTGAAAATATCGTAGCCGTGTGTGCCTGATGGGTTGACACTTGTTTCAGCGCCAATGGAGAACCGGTTACCATGGCGAATATATTCATCATTGGCAAGCATTAGACTATGGTAACTCTGTCTCTTGACAGTATTTCGAATATTCGGAATCTGGGTGAAGTTTCGGAACACGTCCTCAGGGGGAGAAGGCCCGTCATAGGTTAGGAACACGACCCAAATTAATGATGGGTTGCGATTGACGGTTCCAATAATCGATGCCTTGTCATCGGTATTGTACTCTGCAAAATCTCGGATTGCTCGGGTAAGGCTTTCGGTGTGATTTCCGTCAAAGAACATACTGCCTCCCCAAATCTATGATATGCTGTTAGAAAATCTGATATAAATTTGGATTGGGGGCGTTAGGTACCTCAGGATCTTGAGTATGAGTCTTAACAGTAAAGGCGGTGACAATTCCAAAGTTTCCAGAGCCGCCTTTCATCACAGCATACAGATCTGGGGATGATTAGAATAGAGGGCATTAGTCTCCGTTCGGCCATTGTGTCTTACCTGGGTTTGAAGTAGCATTTGCATTCACGATTGTGCCATTTGCAAGCACAACTTCAAAGTTGACGACGTTGTTTGTAGCCCAGCCATACTGACCGCTGAGGAAACTAAGGCCGCCTGCAAAATATTAGTTACGAGCAATAGGTAATATACACAAGGGGAAGATAGAGTTACCTCCTAGAATGAGACCACCAACGCCGATGCCACCGAGACGGCCACCTACAACGGTTTGGCCCTTGTCTTTTAGTCCACCAACAGCCTCTTCCCACTTCAAGCCCGGCCCAAGGACGGCAGTCTGGGTGTGTTCATTGTATGTTATTTGTTTGAGATTTCGGGTTGAAATCAACACTCCGTCGTGTATACTGGAGAAAAGCTGATTGGGCGAGTGTCCGCCAGACTTTATAGCAAAACGAGTTGTTTTCGATTCTTGGATAGCAGCAACAGCTCTTGACATATCCCGAGCATTCTTTGGAGCTATAATGCAGTCAGGGCGGAGGGCGGTGCATGCTGTCGACCAGTAGTTTTGTTGTTCGGTTTCATAGTCAGTTGAGTTGGGTAAATCAACCTCCACACCTTGTGCTAGTAGCTTTAGGCAGAGCCGACTATTCTGATATGAAAAGCCCGCTGCAGTCGAGACTCCAAGTAGAGCCACGGCTGCTTTAAATATGATTGAATGCATAATGAATTTGGTATTTGGCCTCTGGGTTCCCGTGTGTTGCAAAACAAGAGACCGAGTACCAACTTCGCCTTGGAGAGATAACTAGGGATTTCGGCCGTCATTTTATCTGCCATCTGCTGCTGCCAATACCGCTTGACGACGCTCCCGATCCTTACTCTCAAGCATTGCACGACACATCGGGTTATAGCAAACTAGCTTCATCCGGGAAAAGAGGTGCAAGGTGCAGGGGTACAACGGAAAATGGGCCATGAAAGGACGGGCCCGCTACAAGTCACGGAGGCCAGCCACACCTTGCGGGATATAAAAAGGTGTGATCTGATGCTGTTTCCAGAAAGGCTCCATACGAAAGCGAATCTCAGATCCGCCTAGTCTAGAATATGCAAACGCATAATCCCATCTTGCGATTTATGGCATTCCCTTGACCATGTTCCCGGGTGTAGAACAGGAACCGTCCCTTGAATTTTACAAGGGCCATACTCGTCTCGTTAATATGTCATGCCATCTTCGCTTCCCCCAGCTCATTTCGCTGCAGTATGCAGGAGTAAGACATGTCAAGTCGACACCCTATACCAGTATAATGGCCGCTTACTCCATGTCAACTAGCTAGCGTTCGGAGTTTCGAGAACCTGGACTAGTTACTCAGGGTCCACGCCAAAGAATTGAGATGCATCACAGAAGAGGTGCAGCTTTCGTATTCTAATCCTTGGGCAAGTTTCCTACAGGGACTCGGGGGTTACGAGCCCTGGCGGTCTGGAGGAATCGAATCGTGGGGATTTTCAAGCAGATGTTCTCTTTACTCCGTACTCCGTTCATCGTTACCATGTTCTTTTCTTGTTTCTCCAGTCGAGGATTGAGTTTGTGTCGGTTCGAGCTTTGGCGGCCCTATCCGCAAGAAGCCCTATAGCGCATATACACACGTAGCAATACAATAGCAGGGCTACGATCCGGAGTCAAAGGATCAATCTTGGTACTTTAGACGGCGTATTTATCGGATGCTACACAATTCTGGCGACAAAATTCACCGTGTTTTTGGGCCGAGATCCATGTGATTGGCCTGATCCTTCAACTGTACCCATAGCGAGCAGGATGACAAGCCTTGCCAATGGTCAAATTGAGGATGTATCTCGAATGCCGTCCTCGTGGCAGCAGAACTTAGCGACCCTGCAGTGTCTGCAGTGCATGTGCAGAACACGTTTCGAGTGTGGTACTCCATAGTAGGGCACACAAAGGATGGACGAGTCATGACATCGGTCACCGTTGCACACGAAGAAGAACTTTCTTCCTCCGCAGCTTAGCGTGCTGTTCATGCAGCCATTCTATAATGATACGATGGCAGAGGAGAACTTCCCGTCTTGCTCAAGTTTAGAAGAGCACAGATTTTAAAGAGCACTTTAGCAATGACCAGCCCTGGTTCCTCAATGGCTGGCAGCCCAAACGGTCCGTCGCTCTCTTTCCTCTTGCTTTATGGGCGAGTCGATTCAAGTCAGTGTACGGAGTATGCTAGACTCTCTCGAAACTCTCTCGAAAATGGTTTGCGTGTAGCTCGAGCGTCCTTAGGATATACCAAGGTGCGTAATTGTGGTGTGGTCCAGAAAAAATGAACCAATTGCAGAACTTTCGTCCCTAAGATGCGAAAGGATAGCTCGAGTACCTTGATTCTCCTTCTAACCCATCATTGGCATGCACAATGAGCATAGGCAGCCATACAATCATCTCACCAAGCGAAGCAACTCGCGTAAATCGTCAACGTCGGCGACTGGAAGCGCCTCGCTCGACTAGTTAACTAGTTAGCCCGCCCAGGCCCAGGAGCAGAATGCGTCAACCAGCGCCATCTTCTGATCTAAGGCTCTCGCCAATCCGTGATAGCTGCACTCCCGCTTCGCAAATGTCACTGGCGCTCAGTCATTCGATAGGCTGTCGAAGAGGTGTCGAGAAGGCGACGTAGTATTCTGAAAGGACCGAGAGGACGACCGAGAGGTTGGTAAGTGCCAGAAGCCGCCTGCGGCCATGATGTACCCTCGCTGGATACGGCCATCCCACAAGTTGTTTTCATAACGGTTGTATATCCCGGGCCTTTGCTCTCTACCGTACGAAGGTAGTTGTAGCTGTGATTGACGTTGTTGACGTTTGATGTTTGGTCGGTGTGGAAATATTCTAGGAGTGGAGATTGACTAGTTTCCTAGCTTGGTTAACTAAAGCAACCAACTAACTAGTTGCCGAGGCATCGTTAAACTACCTAGCGACCGCCAACTACATCGGCCATTGAGTAGCAAATATGATAGAAATCAAAGAAGTAATCCATAAGCCGTACGGAGTACTGTTGGCTATCAAATTATTGGTCGGTCGGAAGATAAACCATGTCCTGCGACACGTCGTACCGCTACGCTAATTAACTCTAAACAATGTAACGACTTGGTTGACAGGCCTTGCAAATGCCGCCTCCAGGTAACTCCCGTCAATTGACAGGAATCGTCTAGATACCACCAGTATTGTTGTCTAAAGGACCCCCTGCATTCCTCATAGCAGCGTATATAATGTCTCTTTCCAAGAATCCTATTTCTGCAGAACTCATCGAGATCCTGAAGTCTCAAGTCAAGTCATCTGAGGTTCTGACACCCTCGTCTGCGGGGTATTCAAAAGCAATAGCCCGTTGGTCTAATGCGGCAGTCAAACCCGCGGTAAGTAAGCAGGATATGACTTTGCTTGTCCCTTCTTCCATGGAGGAATATATATGGCTGATGAAAAGGGTGAAAACTAACGAGATATTGTCGGCAGGGTGCTGTTCTGCTTGCTACCAATGCAGAGGATGTTAGTGCTGCTGTCAAGTTCGCGCAGCAGTACAAACTGGATCTGGCGGTAAAAGGCGGAGGGCATTCTGTATCAGGAACAAGCTCGTCTGATGGTGGGCTCGTAATTGACTTGTCTCGTATGCGGCATGTTGAGGTTGATGCGGAGTGCAGAACGATCACCGCACAGGGAGGTTGCCTCTGGGTTGATGTTGATGAAGCCGGTGGTCAACATGGTCTAGCTACTGTTGGGGGCACTGTCAACCATACTGGAATTGGTGGCCTTACCCTCGGCGGAGGGTACGGATGGCTGTCGTCAAAGTACGGGCTGGTCATTGATAATGTTCTTTCGGTCACAATGGTCTTAGCAGATGGGCGAATTGTCAAAACATCAGCTACAGAGGAGCCAGACTTGTTCTGGGCAGTACGTGGTGCTGGTCACAACTTTGGTGTTGCCGTTGAATTTGTCTACCAGGCTTATGAGCAGGCGGACCCGGTGTTTTCTGGATTTTTGATCTTTCCACAGGAAAAGCTCGAAGCCATTGTCGACACACTTAATCGGGGAATGCAACATCCCCAACCAGATTCATCCACCATGTGCATATTCGGGACGCATCCTGGTACTGCTGAACCCATGGTGGCAACGTGTATTTTCCATCGTGGCACCGAAGAGGAGGGCAGAGAAGCGTTCAAAGACCTATATGCCATTGGTCCAGTCATGGATGGTGCTAATATGATCCCCTATTCTACCGTTAATGCTCAGGTTAACGAAATGGCCAAACACGGGGCAAGACGAAACATCCAGGGTCTCTACTTCTCTCCGCCCTTGAGGCCGGCCTTTGCACGCAGTGTTATGGACAAGTATGCAGAGAAAATGGCAGCAGACCCAGACATGATGGGAACGGCTGTTATTTTCGAATATTTTGACATGAGAAAATGCACAGAAGTACCTATAGAGTCGACTTCTTGTGCTAACCGGGGAGCGACCCTCAACGGGCTGCTGACCAGTAGGTGGAATGATAAAAACAACGACTCGGCGAACCGTCAATGGGGAAGGGATATGCAACAAATGTTTGTGAAAGAGATGGAGCAAAGCACCTCAGCTGGATCCACGAACGAGGTACCTCAGTACATTAACTATTCCGAATGTAAGTTTTGCACCTACGGCATTCCAGGGGGTTTGGTATGAAGAAGCTGGCTAACAGGATATCTGAAATTACAGCTAGCAACATGTCCTTTCAAAAGATGCATGGCATCCACGCTGGTAGACTGCAAAAGCTGAAGGGGGAATATGATCCCACAGGGATGTTTGGCAAAATGTGTCCCATCATGCCTACCAATTGATGAGAATCGAGTACTGAGAAAAGTACCAGGTATCAATTTGGTTAATAGCAAAGAAAGGGCGTCTTATCGAGATTGTGGACATCAACTTCCATAGTTTTGTTTATATTTCGTAGCTTCGTGAGAATTGAGGCTGGAATGATGGATTGCTGAGTCAGCACAAGATAACTCTGTCACGTTACTACAAGATTCAATTACAACATAGTTGATTGGACAAACGAATTAGCCTTGGTTTTGAAAGCTATTATTGGTTACAAAATAGCGGCAAGGAGGGAATAATACCATTATGGTCACTTGACACGTATTTTTCTTCATGCTCACTATTCTTGACGGTTGATACAAAACAGCATGAATGAGATTCTGTTTTCTATTTGCCGTTTTCCTAAATCAGCATCCGATATCATAATGAGTATTGACAATAATCTGCGTTGTTGGAGGTAAGTTAACCATAAGCTGGACCTTTAAGAGAGAGTCCATGGAAGATATGACCAAACATATAGAGTCAACGTATACTGTGGACATCCTTAGGGTATTCCTTGACACTGTTATCGCCATATCCTTTAGTGGCAAAGCGGCCAAACGGTTCAAAGCCCAACTGTTCAACTACTACTCCGTAGAAGGCGTGAAGTAACTTGCTGGAAGCTGCAGTTTGTTTTGCATCATTTTCGGTCCACGCTGATTGGATACCCCCAGCTAAGCTAGTTCACGTGCCGAAACACCCTGGGATTGCCGATGCTTACGTCAACGTCCATGCTCTCTCTGGTATCACGACGAAAACATCACTAGGTGAAACCCTCATGGAATAGATAATGTTGCTGCTATGCAGACGGTGGCTTTTATTTACTTTGGGGCCGTTCTGCCTGCTCAACGCCCTGTGACCAGTGCTGGCTGTCAGAAAAGCATGGCTGACGTGCATGCAGCTCTGTGCTGTGTGCTCAGAGTATAAGCCCGGAGTTTATCAAACCAGCCGGCTGTTCCGAAGAGCTATCCCAGCCAATGAGAGGGCTTCTATTGACATTCCGGGGGCAAGAAGGGCATGTTAAATATCCGATATGCTGACATAAGCAGCCTGTCGCTTGCCTGGGCGCTCGAACGCCGAGGATAGCCGGGGAAGTCGCATCAAGGGCGAGGGAAGACTCCTGCTGGCCCCCATATATAATTCGAGGAAGGGAGCGTCCCCCACCGTCTGCCAGTCCACACACAGACGGGATACATAAATTACTCTCCTCCCGCCGGCTTCCTCTTCGTCTTCTCTCATCTCTTCTCTCCGTCAACAGCGTCTCTTGCTTGTCCTGGTGCTGCTCAACACCTCCCATCTGTGTGGAAACAGACAAGAACTTTCTGCGGCTATCGACGGCCACTGCTGACGTCACAGAATCTGCATTTCACGTGGAGATAAGATAAGATGCTGCTCACACCAGTCGTCGAGAACGTCTCGCTCCTCCTGGCAGGACAGCTTTTTCTGCTGGCAGTGGGTGTATTGGTAAGTCTTTTCTGATACTACGGCTTTTATATAGCTCTGTAAGCTGCAATTGAGGGTAGTTTGCTAATTTAAATGTTCGAAATTAGACGGTCGGGTACTGTGTATATAATAAGTTCCTGCATCCGCTACGCTCGTTTCCAGGCCCCTTTTTGGCCAGTATCACTCCACTCGTTCAGCTATACCACGGACTCAATGGCGACCGTCATCTCTGGCTTGCTGAATTGCATGAGAAATACGGTACCCATGTTCGTGTAGCTCCAAACTTCATCTCCGTCAACACCGTCCAGGGTCTCCATGACATCTACGGTCACGGAAAGAAGGTCAAGAAGTCCAACTTCTACAATGCTTTCCCTGCCATCAAGGGAGTGTACAATACGCACAATGTCATTGACAAGACCATCCACGGCAGAAAGAGACGTGTTCTCAGCCAGGCTTTCTCGGAAAATGCCCTCAAGGGAATGGAGGATGTCATGCTCACCAACGTCCGCCAGTTCTGTGATATCATGGGTGGTGATGCCCCTGGCCTTGACTCCGATAGATTCCTCAATGAAAAGGGCGTTGCTACCAGGAACATGGCTGACTGGTTTGCCTACTTGACTTACGATGTCATGGGAGAGCTCTGCTTCGGTAAGAGTTTCGGCATGTTGATTGAGCGTGGAAAGAGAGATGTCATTGCCCTTGTCGACAGAGCTGCTTTCAGACACTATGTCGTAAGTACCTTCTACCAAACGAAAAATGTTTCAATATATAGCTAACCTTGGGTCTAGTGTGGTTTATGGATGCCCCTCGATAGCTGGCACCTGGACCAGATCTTCATCCACAAGCTTACTAACGACCGATGGAACTTCATCAAGAACTCTCGAGTAGAAGCTACTCAGCGTGCCAAAGAACGAACCATGGCCGGCCATGAGGCCAAGAAGGATTTCTTCTATTACCTCCTCAATGCAAAGGACCCGGAAACTGGCAAGGGACTCGCTACCCCAGAACTCTGGAGTGAGAGTAATGTCCTTATGATTGCCGGAACTGACACCACGTCTACCGGTCTCACTGCCACTATCTTCTACCTCGTCCGCAACACTAACGCCCTCGAGAAGCTCAAGAAGGAGATCCGCTCCAATTTCACTGACGTCGAGGACATCGTCACCGGCTCCAAGCTCAATGATATGGTTTACCTCAAGGCCTGTATTGACGAGGCCATGCGTCTCGCCCCCGCTGTACCCGGAGCCATCCCCCGTGAAGTCCTACCAGGCGGCATTGAAGTCGACGGCGTCTATCTCCCGGCCGGAACTGACTGCGGAACCCCAACCTATGCCATCCACAGACACCCAGACTACTACCGTGAACCCACAAAATACATCCCTGAGCGTTGGATCGAGGGTGCGATGTGTCAAGCCGACAGTGGAATGTGGGTTTCGACCAAGGACTCTGTTGACATCGCCCGACGGGCCTTCTGCCCCTTCTCCATCGGACCTCGTGGCTGTATTGGAAAGAGTATGGCTCTCATGGAGATGCGTCTCACCATTGCCCGTATGATGTTCCTTTTCGACATCGAGATCGCCGACAGGACCGGTGAAGATGAAAACGGTCACCTCGCTATGGTCGACCACTTCACTAGCCAAAAGAATGGACCAAACATCACCATTCGAAAGCGCCAGCTGTAAAGCGCAGAACCCCCCGTATTGTGTAAAATGCACAAGTTAAATAACTAGAAATGGCTGGAAAAAGGACTGGATGACCATGGTTCGATAGGGGCGCGGCTGATGGGTAATTTTCTTTTCCTTTTTAACGATGCTGATGACCTATTTCATGCGCTTCACTAGGCTCCAGCACACATGCCAGGGCTGCAATCCTGGTCAAACCATATTGGTATCGTGTGCAACGAGATGAACGAAAAAGCAGATCTTATTTTGCTCAATTTGCTTTATTTGTTTTGCCGTTGCTTATATATGGTTCTTGGGGGGTCAGGTTCCATATATCATGTATTATGATGCTTTCCTTGTTCTCCAGGAGATGGGATGGATCACAGCACCATAATATCTCTCCGTGTTACTAGACTATATGAGCAATATGATATGTGTTCCAAGCTTTGCTTTGCTTCGCAGGTGTAACACTTATCTCGTACCTACTTATGTGTGCGACATCGTGGCGGCTATTCTTCCCGTCGGCGGCTCCTTGGCGGCTATCTCGTCTAGGGCTAAATTTTCCAAAGTCAGACAAACATCAACCTACCCATTAAGGTTGCCTGTGCCACGGAAATCGACTATCCAGCCTTGGGAATTTTGTATTCCTGACGCGTGGTGCTGGTGCGCTGTGCAACCGACCATTATTAGTTCACAGATTGCTCGAAGAACTAACTACCTAACTAGTTAGTTAACTAGTTAACATCCTTCCAGCCGATATGTCGGCATTTCATATAGTTAGTTAGTCCGCAATAGCGGCAGCCCAGAGTCACACCGCCTAACGAACCGGTCTCGACCGTTGATTCCTCAGCCAGCTTTGCGCCTAATCTGAGCATTGACTCCATCTCGAAGCCATATCGCTAAGAACAGAAACATACCACTATTTGCATGTGGAGATACAACGTTCAAGACATAGAACTTGAGTTACATCGCCTATTTCGGGCCCTGGCTAGAACCAGAGGAGGGGAGCCTCTGCCAGGCACGAGCGCCAGGGTGAGAGGATGAAACCGTTGGCCTCTGCGCTGCAGGAACAAGATTATGATAATTATTAAGACCAAGGTTGTTGAATTAACGACCCTCAAGGTTCAAGGAAGGAGGAGGATATACCGATAAGACCCGAACATGAATCATGGGATAACCGCATGTTAGGCCTGACCGCAAGGTTGAATCCAAGAAGTGACAAGAACGAACCCGAGGATATACTGCGAAATACAGATCGGTAGTTAGCTGTCTTCCTTGTGATGGTTAACTTGAAGAACGGAAGAAATAGGACCTAAGGTATACACGGACCTCTTCTTTCGGCACCAAGTCGTACAGGAACTCGCCAATTCCCAAGCACGCGGCATCGGATTCTTCTCTAGTTGATTTTAAACTGCTCAGAGAAGGCTTTCTACCCTTAATCTAGCAGACTAGATTCTTGTCAGGCTTCCAAGGTAGAAAGAAGAGTTGCCGAGAATAGCCTCCAGCGCGAGAAACAGCGACGGGCATGACGTAATTGGTACGCAGCAAACGTCTTCAAGTCAAGAAACTACGTGTCAGCGTGCTTTGAGAGAAGACAAACTATTGATGGGCCAAAAAAAGGTAATATATATTCAAAAATAGAGACGTTGAATGTTTGCCACACCTCGCTAACAACTTTATATATAACGTATCCGAGATATTTTTATGAGGCCCATTTGACTATTTGAAGCTCAATTCCCACAGCGGGTACTCCGTACATGTAGGACAGATCTAAATAATGGGAATATGCTCAATTATATTTTCCCTCCGACTGCATAACTCTGGGCGAACCGCCGATTCTTCTGCAGCTCAGATTTCTTGGTCTGGGATATCATGATCGACTGAGATCACCGCCAATTTATTTAATAATTCGTCAGCAATAAAAATAGAATGCCGGCGCGGCACATCCATCTGCTGGCCACATACTGAAACACAAAATACAGGGAACACTCTCCAACCCTACTAGTAGTGCCTGAATGAACAGACCCCCCTCAAGCAGACATCTATGTACTTGTGTTTTCCGTGCAATATCAACAGTTAGTTTTTTGTCGCTTCTCAGCAGCCAAGAAAACAGATGAAATTGGGTTTTTATGCCAAGCTTTTCTATCGCATAAAAGTGGAGCGCTTGGACTCCATCACGAGACCAGTATTAGTCAGCGAAGCTTGATTCCGTCAAGTTCACAACCTCAAAAGTTTTTCTCCCTTGCGTCGGTGCAAATCCGTCCACGAGGCAGCCATTCAATGTACGATCACAAGCTGTTTGGCTGCCTTGTTTCCCCCTTAACATACCCGACGGTATATACCCTCTGCTGTGAACTTGCGCTTTCCCCGCGTCTCCACTTCCCCGCTCGTTGCTGGTGGACCGCAGCTCGTATTGTCTCTTGCCGACCCATGTCTCCGTTGCCATGGAGGTCCAGCTGGTACAACTGCAGGCCGGTTAGCAGGGAGCAGTTGTCCTGGACTTGCCCTAGCTTGGCAATACTAACCAGAGAGAACAAAAGCGAAAAGCAAGCCAAGCGTCCTTCTGCCCACAAATTGGCTCCCAACGCGAGATCAAATGACCGCCCTACCAAAGCCGTGGCCTTGGGAGAACTCCAGCTGCTGTGGCGACTGAGCCATTGTAAGTACGGAGTACAATCACCTAGATGGCGAAGCTGATCAGTTTCGTCTCTGGAGGAAAATCATCGGGTTCAGGAACACCCGTGTCCGTCACGCAAGTGTGATACATCCATACGAGAAGAAATTGAATTGCCATGTTCCAGAGTCGTGTCCAATGAATGGCTTGGAAGACCAGTATATGGTGGAGAAGTCATTGCTACCCGTATACACGGAGATGTCACGGTTGTATTAGTTTTTCCTAATCGAGTGCTGAGAAAAACTCTACCTTGGTGCAGGGCCTGGGTGGTGAAAACAGCTTACCTCCACCAAAAGCGATTATCCAGATCTAAAAAGAACTCTGAATATGGGCCTTGGTAGCATCTCCTGAGAGCCGTTGAGATGCGAATGGTATCTAAATCCCCACAGATCGGGTGGCGGGTATCGTTGCCTCATGACTCCATTGTGCTGTACCATGGAAAGTCTGCACTCCACCCCCTATATTTTCTTCCTCCCTTTTGGACCGATTTCTGCGTCGTGTACCGAGAACACGCCGGACTGGCGGATCCTGCCAGCGTGAATGCCCACAATTGGCCCCGTTTTTTATTTATATATTTTTTTGTTTTATTTTTATACTTTTGCGTATACCAGGCATGGCTATCGACAAGAACTAAACGAGGTTCCCCGGATGTGAGCGGACTCACCTGGACAAGTAATCCTGCATGATGGCTGGGACCTAAAGTGAACTACCCATGCATATATACTCAACCTGTTATATGTGAAGGTACACATGCCTCGGTCACGGTCATTCAGGTCTATATATTATATATATACAGATCGCTCTTTCTTGTTGCACATGCCACGAACCTGGAGCCGATCCCGCACTGTCCATGCTGAGAGTCAGTTCTCTTCCAGATATACCCACCTACGATGTACAGGGGTCAGCAAACCTTCTTGCTAGTAGCCTGGTGCGTATGAGCCCCATCAGCTTGGGACAGACAGGGTCAATGATGGCCTTCCCAAGATTTTCACTTTCTGATTGCCTCGGGGGCAGGGAACAAAAAATAATGATACGATAGCCCTAGACAGATGTGATTAAGGATTCAAGTATGGGCCAAACATAAAAGCCTGGAGATTTCCATGTCTGCAAGAGTATGTTGATCCCTCTTCCAGATCATAGAGCAGCTTTTCTATTTATCACAGGAACCCTTTGAGTTGGGTTTCTTTTTTGCCCTTCCATAACACTTTTCATGATGTGGTCTCTACTTACCGCAGCGGTGCTTTTCGCCCGCCTTTCAATTGCTGTTCCAACAACTGCTGCTCCAGCAATTGAAAAGCGAGCAGCTCCTACTGTTCAATTGGACTATGCCACTGTGGTTGGTTCCAGTGCACTTGGGATTGACTCGTTCAAGGGCATCCCTTACGCCCAGCCTCCAGTCGGCAAATTGCGATTGAAGCCTCCGCAGCCCATTACCGGGGATCTTGGAACCGTGCAGGCTACTGGGCTTCCTCGTGCTTGCCCGCAGATGTACCTGAAGTCCGACGATATTCCCGACGACATTCTCGGAAGGTTCATCAACACACCGGTATTCCAGAAGATTACCCACGCTGGCGAGGACTGTCTTACAATCAACGTTCAGAAACCTTCATCTGCCACCCCGGAGTCTAAGTTACCTGTGCTTTTCTGGATTTTTGGCGGTGGCTTTGAGTTTGGCTCTACACAACTCTATGACGGCACTTCACTGATCTTGAGATCTATGGCCCAGAATCGAGACATCATCTTCGTTGCCGTAAACTACCGAGTCGGAGGGTTTGGTTTCTTGCCTGGCGCAGATATCAAAAAGGATGGCTCCGCTAACCTAGGTCTCCTTGATCAACGCCTTGGACTTCAGTGGGTTGCTGAAAATATTGAGAAATTTGGCGGTGATCCTGAAAAGGTCACCATCTGGGGAGAGTCTGCTGGTGCTATCTCCGTGTTCGACCAGATGGCATTGTACGATGGCGACAATACTTATAAAGGAAAACCTCTTTTCCGCGGAGCAATCATGAACAGTGGAAGTGTTATCCCTGCCGACCCGGTTGACTGCCCCAAAGGCGAAGTTGTATACGAAAAGGTGGTCGAAGAAGCCGGATGTTCCAAGGCTACCGATAAGCTCGACTGTCTACGATCTGTCGATTACACGACCTTCCTTAACGCCGCCAATTCAGTCCCTGGGATCCTCAGCTACAATTCAGTTGCTCTGTCTTATCTTCCACGACCTGATGGCAAAGCTCTCACCGCCTCTCCCGATAAGCTAGGTAGAAGTGGACTTCTTGCCAAAGTTCCCTTAATCATCGGTGATCAAGAAGACGAAGGCACCCTCTTTTCTCTTGTACAGAATAACATTACAACCACCGAACATCTCGTCGACTACTTCAGCACATACTTCTTCCACGGCGCAACCAAGGAACAACTCAGAGCTCTGGTAGATACTTATCCCAATGACCCATCCGCCGGCTCCCCCTTTAGAACTGGAAACCTCAACCAGCTATATCCGCAGTATAAACGGCTTGCTGCCATGTTGGGAGATCTGGTGTTCACTCTCTCCCGTCGTGTCTTCCTGGATATCGCCAACAGTAAATTCCCTGAAATTCCAACGTACTCCTACCTCGGGACCTATGGCCACATCATTCCAATTCTCGGCACTTCCCATGGCTCCGATGTTCTTACTTCGTTTGGATACACTCCTGGAATTCCCAGCACAAGCATCCAGAACTACTATCTTAGCTTCGTCAACAACCTGGACCCCAATAAGGGAACGCCTTTGGGCTTCCCCAAGTGGCCAAGATGGAGCGAGGGGAAGATGCTACTGAACTTCGAGGCCGTGAAGAACAGTTTGCTCAAAGATGATTTTAGGGGGGAAAGTGCTAAGTACTTGGAAGAGCACACAGATATTCTACATATTTAATTGGTCTATATATTGGAAGTGTAAATGAAGGCCAGGAGGAGTATTAGGTGCTTACATTTTGGATTAATATTTGTACATAGCGAAAACAAACATAAGGGCTATATCCCTTATATAATTTAATAGGAGTTCTCTGTTTTGGATATCTGCCGTGCCAGTAATAAATATACCAGGTACATGTCCCCCGCCGCAGCACCTTATTCAATTCAATTATTCTCCTCTTTCCTTATCTCTCAGTCTGATGGAACCAGTTTGTGGTTAACTAACAAGCCCTTTGATGTCTGCACTAGTTAGGGACACTGGTTAAGCCATCCATAGAACCGAGCCTCCCCCACCTACTTTGCCATCTACAACCTGGTTATCATCGTCCAAATTCCTGATAAGGTCGAGACCAAGTAGTTAATATTAGCTTGCTTTCTGTGGGTTTGCCTCTCGAGCTCGGCGTTTGTCCGCTGGGGCTTAAACTAACTCAACTACCGAGTTGCGCTTAACTATCGAGTTAAGTTAGCGCTTTGATGTAACTGGCTGGCCCGAAAGCCTAACTGATTGTCCAAGTTAACTACTTGAGATAGCCTTATCTCGCCTTCGCATGTTTCAGCTTCAAACCTCCTCCCACAGGCGACGATGACCGCAAGCGACGCGAAGCCGCCGCAGGATAAGGAGAGGCAGGGAACGCCGCCGCCGCCTCCGTACTCGCCCGTTACGCCAGGCAGGCCTCAGTCCTCCAGCACAACTCCCGCCGCCCCTGAGTCCACGATAGCTGCGTCCCCGCTACCACCGGCTGCCTACCCGGCCCTCAGCAGCGTCTTTGAGTCCATTCCCGCCGTCGTCGATCGTGCCAGATCGGCTCCGAACAAGAACGGAGCCGCCCCTGCTCTGCCACCACCGCAATTCATCAGGGAGCCAGCTCCAGTGCCTATCTCTGAAAGCGAGAACCCAGACGCCATCGCTCTTCGGTCCGCCATCACCATTCTCCAGATACAGAAACAGCAGGCCCTGAGAGACATTCAGACGCTGGACAAGTTAAAACAGGCCGCTGCTGAGGATCCTCATGCCTTCGCCAGCGAGTTTCTAGCCGGATCTCTCCAGTCGGACGAGGGCGACTTATTCCACCCTTCCCCGCGCAAGGAAAACAATCAAGAAGATACTGGAACGGAAAGCGGCCCAGAGGCAATGGACGTTGACCAGGTGAAACCGACAAATGATAATAGTAGTCCTGGCGGAAATCAGTCAAGGAAGCTCAACAAAATACCAAAGCCGCAGAATATCGTACGGATGCCTGCTATCAACTGGGCGAAGTACCACATAGTTGGTGAACCTCTGGACAAAATGCATGAAGAGCAAAGATTGAGACCTACGCTTGGCGAACCACGCCATGATACTCCGTCAGCGGCGTCTACCTCAAGAAGCCCAGAACACACTCTGGCAGCTCCATATCGGCCTTTTGTGGACAAAATTGAACCTCATGTCAAGTCTAGGAACGTTGGCAGATGATACCAGAACTGAGGGAACTCGGATATTCCATCTCATTAAGTATCTTGACCGGTATATACACCGGCCGATATATCATGGCGATATTCTGGTATCCATCATAGCCAGAATCCCCGGCCTCTCGGAAGCATAATTCCTCGTCACACGGCCTGATTTTCCATCTCTTCTAGGTAGGAGAGCAAAGGATCAAGAAATTGAACTACATAGTGGTCTTATCGGAGGCCTCCAGGCGATCTCCATCATTGGCTATTTCGGTGAACTCAGGCATGAAATTCATGGGAGGACAGATTCACAAGTACCTTAGGCGCATAAAATGCCCTACACTTTCTCACACTATACTACAGTGTGAAGCAATTCTCCTCTCGGAGACTACTAAACAACAATCTATTACAGTGACTGAAATAGAGGTCAGAACCCATCTTTCCTTGATGATAAATAGCAGCCGAAGTTACGTCCATTCGGACTGCTTGCTGCTTTAAATAGATAGATATAGACGTTGCGGTTCAGTCCGTCATGAATACTTTTATTTCTCGAAAAATCAATGAAACAGTTCAATTTTATTATCTACATTCTCAATATCTCCATTTTCCAATTTCTGCCAAGATGAGGCGCTTAGCCCCTGGAGGAGTCTAGCTAGATATCATTTGCTAAACGACAAGTTAAAAATACAATGAAAGAATTGAGAGAGCTGCCTTGGCTACAGCTATCGGAAGCCCATAATGGCTATTCTTCTCTCTCTATCAAGCTCGTTTACCAGGAAGCGCTTATTTCAGCTTGTTGCTTCAAATATCAGATGCCAGTTAGCTACTATATCCACGGTCGCCCCGGCAGGCAAAAGCAGTAAGATCAAGAACATACATGTGCACGAGTCAACAGTGCGACTATTAATTATTTTACTGTAGGTGGATATCAAGATGAGGGTTTCTTCCGCTTTACTCGTGGGCGCTTTGTCTCGGATGAGGCAGAACAATTACGACGGAGATATATCAAATTCAATATGAACGAGCTTGCAGCCATAGCAGTAAAGGCTACGGGTGCAACTAAATGCATTGACGTCGAGAAATGCCCTGATGGCCTATATAATAAAGCTTTCCTACTTACCATGGACAACGGAAAAGAAGTTATCGGCAAAATACCCAATCCCAACGCTGGGCCGGCGCATCTAACGATAGCCAGTGAAGTTGCTACCATGGAATTTGTAAGTAACAACTGTATAATTATCTACGTATGCCTGAGTTTTCTGACAGGTTTAATTATAAGGCACGAAATGTTCTGCATACGCCAGTTCCACAGGTCTATGCGTGGAATTCCAAGGTAAATGGAGATAACCGCGTTGGAGCCGAATATATCATTATGGAAAAGGTCCCTGGGGTACCTCTAGGACTAGTCTGGGACTCACTTGAACCTCCCGATAAGCTCAAGGTTTTCTTACAGATATTCGAATACCAGAAAAGGTGGACGGCGGAAAAGTTTTCCCAGTTTGGTAGCCTCTACTACTCCAAGGATCTTCCCACTAATGCCTTGACGGAGAACAACCTTTACATCAATAGAAATGGGCAGTCCATTAAAGACAGCCGGTTTGCAATTGGGCCATCTATCAGTCGGGAGTGGTTACAGGATGGCAGGGAGGATCTCCAGTGCCATAGAGGACCATGTGAGCCTCCATACTAGCCTGCACGTGGCATGGTTTAGCAAAAACTGTACTAATGGAATGATCAACAGGGGCATCGCTTTTAGACTATCGTTTGGCAATTGGCCATCGAGAGGAGATGGCAATTAGGTCCTTGAAATATATTCCAAACCAATGTGCTATGCTTCATGGTCCCGGAGCTTACCAACCAACGACCGGGAAGAAGCTTGCTGCAGTTAAGCTTTATTCCCAGATGCTTGGGCATATATTACCTAGAGAAGCGGGACTCACTTCTGGTCATCTATGGCATAACGATCTCCACTCGGAAAATATATTTGTCAACCCCGCCAAACCCACGGAAATCACGGGTATAATTGACTGGCAATCTATACAAATAGCTCCTTTGATCGATCACTGCTTAGACCCTAGCTTCCTAGGGTACGAAGGCCCTGATGTTGGTGAAGACCCCCAACCACCAGCCCTCCGCGAAGACATTGATTCTCTTGAAGCGGACGAAAGAAGAGCAGCTATCAAGCAGTTCTACGATACGTCTGTCATGGTCGCGTGGAGAATGCTTGTGAAACAAAAGAATCCCGACCAACATGCGGCTATCCGATTCCGAAAGTCGAAAGCCGGACATATGCTGGGCCTCTCGCAGAACTTGTTTGTTTTTGGTGAAGCGCATTTCCGAGCTCTGGTGTTGGATCTAAGGGATGAGTGGGTAAAACTGGGGAAGGAATTCCCACTCGAGTTTTCCACCGCGGAAATCTCCGAGATCGAGGCAGATGTGAAGGCTGCCGATATGGGGATAGGGTTTATGAACATGATGATTGAGAAGATGGGTGATTTATGGCCGGAGAAGGGGGTAATTGATCATGAGAACTATGACGTGGTCATGGCAATGTTACATGATATCAAAACGGAGCTCATTGAGCGTGTGGTTCATTCTCCAGAAGACAGGAAGGCCTTTGACATGTTTTGGCCATTTGACTGCTAGTGCTGTCGAGACACAGCAACAGGCAGGCCGGGTATTTATCCCCAGGCAGACTAAAGGATATTGGATGGTTCTATTGCTATGGTGTAGGTTGAGGATGTTGCGATGAAGCTCAGACCTGAACTAGTCCCAATTTGGAATGGTCGAGATTAAAAAAGTTTTCGTTATCAGACCACCCGAAGGAGTTCGATTAGCTAGCACTTCCATCACAGCAAGCTACTCAATCCCACCACGAGCAGCGAAAGATGAAGCGCAAGGCGGACTCGGAGGCGCAAAGCCCAGCCGAGAATGGCGACCAACTGGCAAAGAAACGAGCCATCTCAGCTCAATCGGTGGTTCCATCCTTTGCAGATGGCCTTCTAGATAAGGATACGCTGGAGAAGTACAAGGCAGCTTATGCGAAGTCAGGCCCGTAAGTAACGTTTCATTATTATCTCTTCCGTCTATATGGTTCAATTGATGATGTGGAAGCTTGCTAATTGCTTGATTTTTGCGAAATAGGTATAAACATGGCGTTATCTCTCCGTTATTCAACCAGAAGCTCCTCCGTGCTGTCCGCAGCGAGATTCAAGAGCACATCTCCTTCACAGAGAAAGAGACCGACATCTACAAGATCTACCAGTCTGGAGATTTGGCCAATCTCGATGGATTGGACGATGAATCGCTCTCGCGGCTGCCTTCTTTGTTGAAGCTACGAAATGCCTTATACTCGGAGCCGTTTCGAGAGTACCTGTCTGAAGTTACCGGTGCTGGAAAGCTGAGCGGTAGCAAGACCGATATGGCTGTCAATGTCTATACTGGTGGATGCCATCTGCTATGCCATGACGATGTGATTGGAAGCCGACGAGTGAGCTATATCCTATATCTGACTGACCCGGATGTGCCATGGAAGCCAGAATGGGGTGGAGCACTGCGATTGTTTCCGACCACGACGGAAACTAATGCGGACGGGGAGGAAGTCAAGATCCCCAAGCCGGATCATACTGTTTCTATCCCACCGGCTTTCAATCAGCTGAGTTTCTTTGCGGTGCAACCTGGTGAGAGCTTCCACGATGTCGAGGAGGTGTATCACATGGAAATGAAGGGCAGTGAGAAGGAGATCAAGTCTAGAGTGCGCATGGCGATCAGTGGCTGGTTCCATATCCCGCAGGAGGGCGAGGATGGGTACGAGGAAGGTCTTGCAGAGAAACTGGCTGAACGAAGCAGTCTCCAGCAGCTTCAGGGTGAAGGCGACGAGTTTGATCGACCACAGCCGCAATTTGTCCCGTATAAGACAGTTGAGGAGCAAGATACATCTTCCAAGGGCAAGGAACCCGCTAAGTCTGCAGGAGAAGACGATAATGATGATGAAGGGTTCAATGACAAAGACCTTGATTTCCTGCTCAAGTACATTGCCCCGTCGTACTTGACACCCGACGTAGCAAGCCAGCTGAATGAGATTTTCGACAACGACCGGATTGTCCGACTCGAGAAGTTCCTTTCAGACAAGTTCACCCCACGTCTGCGCTCGTATATCGAGAGCCAGGAAAAGGATGAGACATTCCCTACCTCTGCGGAAGAGATTGAGCAGAAGACAGATTGGAAAGTGAGCCGGCCACCACATAAGCACCGATACCTGTACCAGCAACCGTGTTTGGACAAGACCAGCGACGGGCAAAAGGAAAAGACGCCCATCCAGGAGCTGCTGGAGGATCTTCTTCCATCACGCGCATTCAAGAAATGGCTCTCTGCAGTGACTGGACTGGATGGCTTGCTGGGCTACAACCTTCTTGCCCGCAGATTTAGACGCGGGGAGGACTACACCCTTGCCAGCGGATACGAAGGGGAATCGCCCCGCCTTGAGTTTACCATTGGCATCACCCCGACCCCTGGCTGGGAGAAGGAAGAAGAGGATGAGGAGGAAGAAGAGGCTGGGAAAGCAGACAAGACCAAATCTGAGACCAACAGCAAAGCCAAGCCAGAGAACGGCACAGCAGCAGCAGAACAAGAGGAAGAGCTAGCTGTTGGAGGCTACGAAATCTACATGGCAGGTGATGACGATGACGAAGAAGAGGAAGAAGCCGGCGCAGCAACGGAACAAACGCTGGGCTCGACGGGAAGCAAATCAAAGGTGAACAAGTCAAAGGCCGACCCGGCCATCTACAAGTCGTCGACCAATGACGAGGATGACGGAATCCTGTTCAGCATGGCGGCCGGCTGGAACCGCATGAGCATTGTGCTACGGGACCAAGGGCCGCTGAAGTTTGTGAAGTATGTGAGTCGTGCAGCCAAGGGCGATCGGTGGGATATTACCGGCGAAATAGACGTTGAATATGATGACGAGGAGGAGGAGGAGGATGAAGAGGGTGACAAGTAGATGTACTTCTAGAGCTGGTAGAACCAATACAATGTCTGGCTATCAAGAAGCCTCTTCACATATGCAGAGTAGGTAAAGAAAAGTGTTTGCTGTAAGTAAGGCAGTTCAAAGCCACTTTCTGCCTCCGGAGATAGACTGAAAAGGCTTCTCGGGCTAACCACGCTAACACTTTCTGCCCTTGTAGCGTAGGGGTTATCGCGTCATACTTGTAATTCATATTATGTCATATGAAGGTCACCAGTTCGAATCTGGTCGGGGGCACATCTCTCTTTATTTTTTTTTTGTCTTTTTTTTTTTTTTTTATATTATTTTATTATATTAGGGGGATTCTCCTACTAGAACAACATCCACATGTCAACGGCAAGACAGACATCATGGCTCGGTTTTGGTCACATCTTCATGAGACTCGTCAGAGAACAGGCGCAGAGTTCTTGGATTGCCATCCAGGCCGACTCGCTTCTTCATTTTCTCCCAGGCTTCAACCCGAACCAGGCAGCGGGACCGAGATGAGCTGGGAGAGGGCCCGGGGTAAGCCAATACCAAGGCCTTAGTTTCGTCAATTATCAGTACTAACTGGGTACTTTTCACCCTCTAGTTTCGCTTCAAGATGCCCTTTGCTTGCTCAGCCTCATCGGACGCACGCCAGGACCCTGCCTGTGCTGTCAAAGGAACGGGAGCGCAGCAGTTGGGGGCCAGCACTAGCAGATCCTCTTTTAGCATGCATATCAGATGTGATATGAGCTAACCAACTAATAAAATCAGGCAGTGTTCATAATGGATGCCATGCTACGGCGTAATATGGGCTCCTCAGGCTCTACCAAAGAAAGGCTAAAAAGCCAACTGACTCGACTACTGCATGGTGAAGAAAGAAAAGCAGACCCGGAACTTACGGCAACAGAACCCGGCAAATCATTGATCAAAGGGGGTGGAGGGGACGGAGGAAGTACTTTTTGTTACGGTTTATTTTATCTGGTGAGCTCACGTCAAGTCTGGCTTGTGGTATGGAATCCGGCCTGACTGGACGGAGCGTTAAGGTTAAGCTGAGCCAACAGGAACGTTTTAGCCAGCGATCTCGAAGTCGATCATTTTAGCGGACTGGTCTTAGGGAGGAATTAATGCACTTTTTATGATGGCGGTGACGTTGAAAGGGCCAGTTCGAGACGAGACGAGGCGAGACGAGATGAGCCAGCTCGTTTCAAGCGATCTAATCTCCCTTCCATCGAGCCGAAAGCCTCATTCTTTGAAACAGCTTCTCTTCGACCGGGCGGTGAGTCGAAGCAGATATGAAGAGAGAAACCCAGGGCTTGAAGCCATGAGATGCGAGTGACGTCGTTGGCGTCGTCTCTTTTACTCCGCTTCATCCCTCCTATGGTCCCTGTGCAACCCCCGCCCTCTTAATGCGCATTCGGGACGGGATGAGAAGGGCGAACGGGTGAGCTAGGTCACATACTAGACGATTTCCTGCTTTCCTTTCATCAACAGAGTGTATGTGCATGCTTACAGTATAGAATACTTTACGGTCCCTCCGCCCATTTGGCTGGTTACTGGTAGACTAAGGATGCTGTAAGATAAGCTGCTTATACATATGCATGGACAATCAGAGTACCAGAGTAATCCGTGCAAAGAGTGCTGCTGCACGAGGCCGATCTGGCTTCTGATCGGATATTCCGTTGAAAAGGGCAGGTAGTAATTTACCCGCTTGGTAATGGCGTATAACATCGTTACTGTCCTTACCGTCGGGTTCGTTGGCAAGATTAGTTTATATGCACGGAGTATATAATAATAGCTATATGACGGACGTATATATGGAGGGATTGCAGGCGACGCAAGACACAAATATATTCGCATTTATTCCAATCCTCCAAGACGCACGGAGGAGCTAGTCTAGTGTGCACGCAATTAATAGAATGAGGGATTGTGTATGGCCCGAGGCGCACTCCAGCCCGAATAGTTACACGCCGTGTCCCTTCATCCTGCCGGGCCAGATGCAAGTCATGTAATAAGTAACGACGGTTAAGTTACATACATGTGTCCCCCCGGCCGGGTAGGAGATTTGGGATGGATTCACCCATTCCCGTCCAATACGTATTATATTGCTTCCCCGCGTTACTAAGGGCTGTTATGTTGTTTTTTTTTTTTCTTTCCCACTCTCTCAAGGGCAGAAGCAGATGTGCTAGGCCGGCTAGTTTAGTGAGTTATGCAGTGCACCCGAGGCGATCCCCATGCACTGAGCAAGGCCAGGCCAGGCAGGGTTCCAGCGCCTCATGCACATGAGAAACATAAGCAGGACCAGCACTGCACACTTAGGGGGGGTATAGACGGACCAAGACAAGACAGGATGCAAAGTCGATCATCCAGAAGGGCCATATTTCGTTCCTGGCCAGGCGAAGTTGCAAGGACAAGAAAAAGACAAGGACGCTCAGGCACTTTTTATGCCTCTCTCTCTCTGCCAGTGACCAGGCATATCAAGTGCGCTGTACGCTACCAAGGACAGTTTATGATGGCATGCATCCGGGATGTTGGTATGGACCATGTAAAGGCAGTTCGACCGTCAATCGTTTTGCTGTCTTGTCTGGGCGAAGAAGAAAAAGGTACCCGCAGAACACGACTCGGCGCCAACACCTGTGCCCTCCGCACCATGTCCTGGACATGGGTGTGTGTGTTTGTGTGTGTGCAGAGCCCAGCATGCATGGTATGGGTGAACATGCCAGTCAGGCAGGCCGGGCAGGGGATGCAGAGAACGCCTCAGACAGGGTCTCCGCCGAGGGGGCCGGGGCCACGGATAGAAGTACTCAGGAGGATATATATCACTGCACATATAGCTCGGCGAAAGGCAGGAGGAGGATATCATGAGCAAAAACTAGGGGGAGGCGAGCAAAGTCAAGCCAGAAGGAGACGAGTCAGGTCGGATATTTGATATCTTGTGCGCCGCTGGGCCCCTGAGATGGGCGGTTATTGTTATTTTCCAGTGGTGCATGTCATACCATGGAATCACTGCAACTCAACCGCAAGCCATTGATCGTCTGTAAGGACTGGCTTTGATAGTTATATCGTATTAATCTTGCATTGTACGGAGTAAGTAAAATATAATAATAACTCTCAGAGGAAGTAGATGCATGCGTGCCCTGAAACCAGCACAGTGGTATGCCAGCATCAAACGAAGCCGGGCAGCGACAAACACACGGTACCCACCAGCAGCAAACGAACGCAGGGCTCGCAGAATCGAATACATCAGCTTATTCGTCTTCGTCTGCTTCTCCCGTTTGCCATATTAACTATCATTATTTGCTTTGCCGTGGCGTTTGGACGGAGGTATTCTGCATCTGATACTCCGTACGCCCTGTTATCATTCCTGTATTGTTATGTGACTAGCTCCCGCGAAATAAATTACATACATACACACATACATTATTGCTCCGACCAAACGAACGTCCGTCGTGGACTCCATGGCCGTCGCTACCAACGCACCCCATTCGGAAGATAGACCGAACGAAAGAGGACGTGGGAGCGAGATTGTTAATTGCTTAGTATTTATTATTTAACTACCGAGTCTTAGCACTTCGCTAGCCGTGCGAGCCAGGCCGATGGGTCGGCTTGACGGAGCAGAGGTTCTCGAAGGGGCAGGTTGGAGGAAGAAACAAACGGTGATGGCAAATTTGAAGGGTTTCAGGCTGGAGAAAGCTACGCCGCTGGTCGTTTGGCTTTGGCTCTTTGGGCTAGAATAATCCAGGAACTAGGCTCTGAAGACGAAGAGTGGATGGTGGTTGGGTGTTGGGTGTTCCCGGTCCGAGGAGGCCGCTTGTGAGTACATAGGTACCTATTAATGGTTATGGTTATGCTGGGTGTGTATATGGCTCTGGCTAACGAGGAATAATTATTGTCATGCGGTGGCCGATCACAGTCACAGTCACACGCACAACCACGGTACGCTTGGAGGGCGGTACAGAGCACTGGCCGAGCTGTGATGATGTCCTGTGGTTCTGCAGGCTTTTTTGAATTATACAGCAGTACTCCGTACAGTAAGTTATGCAGACTCGGCTTGCTGTTACGGAGGAGTTATTTTATGGGGTACTGACCAGACGGGTACCTGAAGTTCAGGCCGGAGAAGACGTCTCCATCAAGTCGAGGACGGGTGCTACATCAGACAGCTACATCGTATACAGCAGAGCAAAGGCCCCATAATAATTAACCCTTTACTCGGTGTTGAGCCAACAAACGACGACGAACAAGCTCCAACAGTTTCTACGCATAATATTTGCCTCGAAAGTCCTTACCGTACGAAAGGCGGCCCAGAGGGAAAGAGACTTTTTTACATTTGAAGACGACTGAGTAAGCGGCAGCCAGGGAGCAGACGAGGATCTTCGAGGACAAACGTGCGATGGAGATGGAGTGGAGCCCTCCAGATCCCTGCTCGACCATGGGAGGGAAGAGAAAAACCAAAAATCCACGCCTTGGCTCTGCTTTTAAGCCGTTCGTGGCTGGAAGACGAATGATCGGGGATGCGTGGCAGGCCTGCCGTGGAGCGTGTGCTTGAGAGTGAGCGAGCGAGTGGGTTTCCTGCCTGGCTTCTTAGTGTCCTGCTAACTTGCTTAGAGCAAGCAGGAAGATGGGCCATGCATCTGCCGGGGTTATGGGGAGGGTACTTGGATTTTGGATTTTGGGGGGGGTCCTTCAACACGAGGGAGGCCTGTCTCTCAAGGGTTCGTCTGGGAGGATGTCGCCCCAGCGGCAAGATCCATTATTACATAATGACGCTCGACTAAGCAACAAAAGAGAGAGAGAGAGAGAAAGACGAGACGACGACAAGACGGAAGAGACCGAGAGACAAAACGACGCATCGGGTGACTGGAAAACAAGGACGAAAGAGGATAATAAAGAGGTGGCTGACGGGGGAAGATGGTTAAAAGAGGCCGAAGAAGCAATGTGAGCCAGGCGTGGCTTGTTACTCCATGGCTTCCGCATAGTTTCAACCTGTCCTTTTTTTTTTTTTTTTTTTTTTTTTTTTTTTTTTTTTTTTTTTAGGCTGGTGAAGAAGGGAAAAGGAAGCACAGAGAGAGACCGAGAAAGACCAGAGAGAGGCAGAGAGAGGCAGGAGAAGCAGCGAGAAATGCGACCTGTCAGGTAGCACGGCCGAGCGATGGAACAAAGAGTCGAGCCTGTCTGCGTCGAATCATCTGCCCGCCCGTCGAGGCTCCCTCTTTCTTCTGTCTGACAGTGGCACATCCTGATCTTGATCCTCTCTTCGTTCGACTCTTGGCTCTCGAGTGAGTGACTGCTGGCTGGCCTGCATCTTGATATCAATCTCTCTTCGCTGCATGTCTTGGGAGTCGAGTCTCTGTCATGTACGGTAAGCCTCGCTTAGTCATCAACATGGCCGGTAGAGCGTGGCTTTTTTGGTCCCGAAAGGCGAGCAGGGATAGAGAGAGAGCGAAAGACATAAAAGAAGTAAAAGAAGTAAGGAAAAGGGAGAGCAAAGAGTTGGCTGTTTGCACATGACTCTAGCGTCTAATTCTCTTTGATCTTTTATCTTTTACTCTCCTACTTTCTACTCTCTCTGCTTCACTCTTTGCCATCTTCTGCTCTTCGTGTTTTTTCTTCTTTTCTTCACTTTAAGGCTCGGCCACGTGAGCGGGATCCCCTTCCTTTTTGCCAAGAAGACTCGTGGCGCCTGCTTAGTCATGTTTTGTTACCGTAAGAGCTTAAAGTTAGGCAAAGTTAAGTAGTAGGAAGAGACGACGACGAAGGACAACAAGAAGGACAGCAAGACAAGACAAAGTGACGAAGACGACGAGACGACGAGACGATGAGATGATGAGCTGATGAGATGGCTTGAGAGGGCAGAGCCTACGGTTGAGCATGAGGATGGAGGATGATGACACTTTGTGCGACTGGCACCAGCTCTGGCCTCTCACCACCGTCACACAAACCAGCACGACTCGTGGCATCCAGCACCTCGCTCTCTTGGTCTCGACGTGGAGGACTCCAGGTGGGAGAGCGGAAGCACACTAGACGAAGTACTACTACTAACCTCGCTCCAGTCTCCAGGCAGGCCATTCATATCTACAGGTTTCCGGCTCAGGCGCAGGCTCAAGGCTCAAGACTCAAGATTCAAGGCTTGAGCTCAGACACGCGGCCACGGAGGCTTTTTCTCTCGTCCTCCTGCTCTCTTCAGGCTCTTGACCCTCCGCTGACCTTGCTTTTTCCTTCGCCAGTGCCAGTCAGAATGCCAATCCCAAAAGAAAAATAAAAAAAAAAAAATAAAAAAAAGGACAAGACGTCGTCTTCACCGAGAGAGAGAGAGAAGAAAAAAGAGACACGCTTCAACCTGCCCTGTGGCCGTGGGTTTAGTGTATTTAAGGAACGTGGCGCTCGTCGATTACGGCAGCGTAATGGGGGGGGGGGGAAGGGGAGGGAGGGACAACAACAAAACTACTGGGGAGAGGGACGCATGGAAAGAAGCAAGCATGCCGCAGCCTGGCGGTGGGTGGAAACTGGAGACCTGGGACCATGCCCTTACTCTTAGTTTGAACTAAGCTAAACTCAGCGCTGATGGGCATGGGAGGCCCTGGTCAGCCCTAAGCAAGGAGTCCAGCCGATGCTTGATGGGGACGGGGGGACCGACGGAGAGATATGTACTTATAACGATGTCGACTTGGGGGATGAGAGACACCGGAGAGAGCCTGAGGAGCCTGGTCTGTCTGTCTGGCTGTCTGTCTGTCCCTGCCTTGGCCTGTCGAGGCTGAGCCCAGCTCCAGCTACGACTCCGGAACTATCAGCAATAGATAATAATAGTACTGTACTCGACGAGCAAGATAATATAACTAGCTAAGTTAAAGAGTCGACGCTTGATAGTGGTCGCTGGTCGCTGGTTGCTGGTTGCTGGTTGCTGGTTGGCGGTAGAGCCGTAACGTAATACAGATACGGTAATACAGCTTTCAATAGAGGGCCCTCGGGGGTGTTTGTTTTTGCATTACCGAAATTACGAGAAAAACGAACGTCCAACCTCCGTCTTTTTCGTTTCTCTTCGACTCTTTTTTTCGTCCAAAACTCCAACCTCCGATCTCTCTCCTGCTGCTCTCCTGCTGCTCTGCTCGACTCGACTCGACGTTGCTCGACATCTCGACACCTCCCTTGATCGCCCTGCCCGATGAACCGCTGCCCTCCGATCGCTCCTCGCCAGTAGACCCAGCGAGCCGGACGATAAAACGGTCGAGGTTGGCCTCCTCCGTCGCATGTCGCTTCCGCCCAGCCAGCCGCTGATGCTGCTCCCTCGCCAGCCTTGAAGAACGGACGACAACCCCAAACCACCCAGACTCGCCTCGCCCTCTGCTTCAGATAGACAGCATACCCTCCCTACTCCTGCAGCATCTCCCCCCCTACAGCGCTTCAGCAGCGTCCCCGAACACCGAGAGACCCGTTGCCCTGACCGAAATAGCGTCACGATGGAGGCTTCAGTAGCCCACCGGCCATGGGAAGACAGCCGGCCTGCGCCCAACACCAACGGCCACAACGGCAGCCAGACAACCCTCACCACCCTGCCGTCCATCTCGACCCTGACGGCAGCCATGCAGGTCGACAAGGCGCCTATACCGGTCGCTTCTGGTGAGAAATCACCTGCCCAGGCCTCCATGAACACCCTCGAACGAGACTCGGGCACCTGGTCAATGCCTCAGAGTACCCGTATGTCCAATCTCTTCCCTTCTCTTTCTCCCCTTACTTCTCCTTTGGGGACACACTCAGCACGGTTCATGGGTTGTAGAGTCGAAAGGCTGGTATAAGCTAACAATTGTCACAGGCTCGTCGACGTATTCTAGCACCACAAACAATACCAATGGCTACCACCAGCACTCCTACCTCATGTCCTCGCAGCAGTCACCCAATCGGCTGTCGGGTGTCTCTGAGCCTCCTGCCGCTGCCACTGCGATCTCCTCGCCGGTCTCCAGCCATGCCTCGCCAGCCCAGAACCCGGTCCTGCCATCCATCAACCAGGCTATGGACCCTCACCAGCAACAGCAACTTCAACAACAGCAGCAGCAACAGCAGCAGCAACAACAAGCCCAAAGACCGGACTACACCGAGTCACGCCGTAGCAGTATCGACAGCCGCATGAATCAGGGTATCTCAGCACTTCAGATCAACCCAACTTCGCCATACCATAGCACCAATGCGTCTCAATCTTCAGTCGTCTCCGGCATGCCTCGAGACCGCATGAGCTACTCGCATCATTCAACAACTTCGTCTCGTTTCCCTCCAGGCCAATCGGCTAACCATCAACCACCTCTCTCACCCCTAGGCCCTCGCTCACAGGATCACCGTAGTCAATTCCCCGCCGGACGCACCGCCCCTCCCATCTCGTCGAATCCTCGTCCGGAAGAATTCCACGCTGATTCCCCCGTGCCTGGTCAGGCTTATGCCTTCCCCGATCCTAGCATATCGCACCACCACCATTCTTCCCTCAATGCGCAAGGCCCCGCGCCGCCGATTTCAAACAATCCCCGACCAGAGACCTTCCATGCCGAGAACCCGGTGCCCGGACAGGCCTATGCGTTCCCAGATCCGAGCTTCAGTCGAGCGTCGACCATCTCCGCGCAGACAGACAGACCCTCCAACCAGTTCACCAGACGCCATTCCACCGCCGAATCGATGAATAGCAGCATCTATACCACAGAGTCGAGACTCCCAGCCGGGCAGCAGGGTACATATAACCGACCCAATAACCCCTAATATATCATAAATTTGGATTTGTACTAATTATCCCATCTATAGAACTGCCCCAAAGTGTCCACCACCACTCTCTTCAACACCGCCAGGTCCGCAATATAATAGGAGAAGGCGACCCGAACGGTGCAACACCTTACAGCCGCACCCCCGAACTCCGAGTGACGCACAAACTTGCCGAACGCAAACGACGCAGTGAAATGAAGGACTGCTTTGAAGTACTCCGCGCCCGTCTGCCTTCCTCCCAAAACAACAAGTCAAGTAAATGGGAAACCCTCACCCGGGCAATCGACTACATCAACCAGCTCGAGAAAACCGCTTCTCAGTCCCGCGCCGAGACAAACCAGCTACGCATGGAGCTAGAAGAGATGCGCGCACAGCTAAGCCAGGTCCAATCTCAGCCTCAACAACCGCCGCAACAGCAACAGCAACAGCAGCAGCCATCCCTTACTCGACGGGCTAGCTTTGAACCATCCTCGTTGCAACAACAGCAACAGCAGCAGCAACAACAACAACAAATGCAGGTCAACGGTAACGGTGGTCTAACTCCACCACAGAACCCAGGCACACTGTTCCAGACCCACGGTCACGTTCAGCCTCACCATAGCCACCATGCACATCATCAGCAGCTCCCGACCGCACCACCACCAACACATAGCCACTACTCTCCCTCGTCCAACGTGACGCCGACAACACATGCCTCGCCAGACCCATCGCGGACACTGCCGCCGCTAATGAACGGATCCCTGGCCCCCATGCAGGGTGTCCAATATACCGACGAGCGGAGATAACCCATCCCCTCCACACCAACATAACTATACCATACCATGCTCCCAACGCATTTATTCCCTCATTCTTGATTTCTTTCCTACTTGCTTTTTCCACTACTTGTTTTCCAACTATCGACATACCTACCGATCTGGTCCTCACGACGTCTCAGGATGACTATTTCTTTTTTTTTCCCCCTTCTACCTACCTCCTCCGCCTTTCTTCAAATATACATTCTTCGAGCTCGGGTTTCCTTCCCGCCTTGACCCCGTCGACGTCCGCGTCAAGCATCTCATTTGTTCAATGTTTTGCGCAAAGATATCCATCTACCATCTTATCTACCGCCTACAGTTCCTCTTTTCTGGGCCTAGAAATTTGCTCTTAACGTCGTTTCCTTATACTTACTTATACCACCAACCCACACCACACCACTTCATTTCACTTCGTGATTGTCCTTTCTAAAACGTACTCTTTTACTACTCCCACCCAACCCATCTATCCCCCGGACCCGACCTACAATCGGTCCACCTCCCAACCTAAATCTCGATATCCGTTCGTGTGTATGCTTTACCCTGCGAGTGACCAAAACGGCGTGCTTGGAGTGGTCTATTTGACTTGACTTGCTATGAATATTTGTTTTTCCCCCTTTATACTCGCTTGATTCCTTGGCTCTGGCTCTGCGTGTATTACACCTGTCGACCAACAAATCTACCGACCGACCCATCTATCTATTCATCTCTCTATCTACCTATCGGCTTATTTTGGATTTCATATACTCGCTTCCTTATCTTTTTCCTTTTCCTTTTTTTTTTTTTTTCCTATCAGTGTTATCGTCTCTTTTGGAATGGGAATGGGAAACATGCTTTGCATGTGGTTTCTACGGTTCGGTCTTGTCTTCTCTTTGTTAGATAGTCGGAGAGAGAGAGAGAGAGAGAATAAGAGAATGAGAAAGAGTACAATGACTGACTGACTGGCTTGACTAAGTGTCGTTTATGTAGAGTGACTAAGAATAGAAGAGCCTTCCCCATGTTTATAGAGAGTCTGTTATTATACTAGATGCATTATACATTAAGTGGCAGCCTTGTTGGTAATATGCATGCAGGGTTTTCATTTATACATTGTGACAGACGTGACTGAGTGCATATTAATTAAGTATATTGCTCCCATGTCAGGTGTCGGGTACCTCGAGGCTTCTTCTCTCCGTACCTTGACCTCCCAAAATGCCCATTGTCGATACATAGTGAATAAGTTACATGTCCTTCAACTTCTCAAGGTCATCATGTAAAGTTCGCGCAGTGTCATTAGCCATCCGCGCAAATCCCGCTGCATAAATCGTCAGGTTAGAAGTGGTGGCCTCATTTAAATGTCCAGGGACTTGCATTGCATGGCTTACCATCAGCAGTCCCATCCAAAACCATATTATGCATCTTTCCATTCAGATATATAGTTGCAGAACTTGTATTCGAGTCTGTCTGCCGCGGAAGATTCATGGGTATGCGGAGCTGGGGATACTTCGATGACCCTCCAACTCCGAAATGCTGTGAGTCATGGAAAAAAGTAGCCTTGCACGTCTCATCCGTGGCCCCAGAGGAAGTAGTTCCCGTCGTCGGTTCGTTCAACGCAAGAGATGCCGTATGGAACGCTCTTCCGATATCCGTGGGGACCAGCACATATGTTTGGCCTGGCTCGCCGACGATAATGGGCACTTTGGCGGTGGTCGGAACACCTTTCGCGTCGTAGTCGGTGAAGTCTCCTGTGACCTGGTGGAAGTGGCGTCTGACAGCCCTGGAGGAGCCTCCGCGTAACGTTCGCGGAAGGTACCGCAGCATGCTTATGGCGTTAGGTTGAGCTCGTGGGTGAACTTCTCGATACAGACTTGTAGTATTTGCCTAGGTCTTCTGTGCTCATCTGATTAGTAACGAGGGCAACCTGGGCTTCTGCGAGGCCGCTGCTTTCTCCACGTAAACCGCCTTGCAGATGATGTCCGTTGATTTTCAGGAACATGTCAGCGGCCACGAGAGCGGTGCGCTTGTTCCCGTCCTGGTAGGCGTGGTTTCTCATGATTTTCTCAGAGAGGTTCGCGGCGAGTTGGAAGATGTCTTCTTGGCCAGCGTAGTGATTCAGGTTCATGGGCGAGTGGACTGCGGACTCGAGCAGGTCTGGTTGGGTTGGGACTGTGTTGGGAGAAATGATTGTTGCATGAAGGCGCTTCACTTGGGACACGGTCAGAAAGCGAATGTTAGGTGGCATCTTCGCTGATGTATGTATGTTTGATGGCTTGGTGGCTGAGATGAGCTCTGACAGAATGTGATTCAAAGTAGGTAATGTCCTAGATATGGTTAATGCGGGTAAGGTCATGCACAGTACCTTACTAGGAGAAGCGGAGGTACTTACTCTCTTCCTTAATCTTATTACACTCCTTTCCCTTGACCCTCCACAAATATTATCTTACCTTATCTATCCCTCTACTACCGCAACCCAACGCAGGACGAGAGGAAGACAAGATAAGTCCACCTTTTACCCCAAGTAAGCTTCTCTGTATACCCATAACCATGCTAGCTAGAACCAGAAAATCTATCCTGACTTTCTGACTCTTCGATGTCGAATAAATAGCTTCGACACTAAAAATAGCAAACTTTTGAGTTAACTTTTACCCGGCGCTAAGAGAAACAAGCTGTAGCCAATCACATCGCGGGAAACCCAACTCGAGTCACTCAACGTCCAGGGGCAGCGATGCTTTTCTCCTCCTCGACCTTCCAACTGGCCCGCTGCATGCGGGAGAAGCAGCAGCCCCTTGCCCTGCACGGGCGGTTAGGGAGCTCTCTTCTGGCATTGGACAGGTCCTTGACTCGACGGCAGGCCCTCCTGGGCTCTCCACTGCGTTTCTGCAGAAGTTCAGGGCAGGGGCTTGATTGGCGGTGGATGATACCCCCGGGAAGCAAAGAGATGATATACATAGGTACAGGTCCAGGTTCCGTAGAAGAGGGAGTGATCTTCTTCTACAGCGATGGGTACTTGTTTCTTTTCTCCCTTCTGTTCTTTTCTCTCTTGTACACCTTCTGTACTCTGCTCTATTCTATTCACTCTCTTCTAGACACTCAGGCTGCAGCGCTGTGCGTTGATCTACAGTCTGGATATACATTCACACTCACTCAGCTTCAAGTCTGCTGAGCTTTACTATTCTTCTTTTACCATATATCTATTAATCACTATTCAGGTTGTTTTTTTGTTTCTGCTGGCTATTGTCGCCATGGCGATTGTCTGAATAAACATACACATTCATTCTTCTGTTGCATGATAACAATGAGACTGTCTGGACAAACAACAACAACATCATCAATAACAACCTACACTTCTTGAACCGCTGTCGAAACCACCCAGGACACTCGCCACCATGTCCAACAACCCTTTTACGCCTTCCTATGGCCAAAGGCGTGATGGGCCCAAGCCGGCAGAGCTACAAATCCCCCAAATACCGAATTTCCCACTCTCATCCCCCATACATGAAGAGCTACTCACGCCGTTTGATGATCTCGACTCCTCTCCGGACCCTTCAAACCCATTCACGTCGCCAGAGGACGCGAAGGCGGAAACATTTAGCTCCAACAACCCGTTTTTGAACCCAAAGGAAGGACTAGGCGGCATATCGAAACTAAAGGGCCGCTGGGGATCAGTTAAACAACCTACTCGCGTTAATGTGACAAGACGGTCACCCAAGCCCGGCTTAAATTTGGTCACGAACTTTTCTTCGCCTGGTGCGCAGAGCAGGACGTATCAGTGGGCTGAACAGCAGCAACAACAGCGGCAGGACCAGGATGGGACAAAACATTTCAGTGAGGTTGCCGAGATGGATGGCCAGTCTATATCGACGTCTAGGTCTCTTTCCAGGACAAACTCGAAGAGTCTACGGATAGATACTTCTCAGCTCAAACCAAGATCAAGACCTGCACGCGTGGAAAAGCGTCAGTCTGCTCGAAAAGGCCCTATACGATTGTTCCAGAAACCCCTTTCACCAGAGATAGCTGTCTCACCGTCCGATAGACCTATTGTTATAGGCGTGTCTGTCCCTCTAGGCTCACCGGCTGCTTTAGCGTTTAGCTCGGATGCAAGGTCCACTCCGGGAAGAGCGAATAGTATACATAGCCTGCGCAGTCACGGAAACACCCCAGTTACTCCAACTATAGTTGTCACGCCTGCCTGTGAAGAACGACACTGGACATCAGACAAGATGGAGGAGGCCGTGCCACCAAGACCTCGGCCAGCGTCAAGTATTTACTCAACAGCCACTCCCCTGGTAAGAGGTGTTAACAAGTCGGAAGATATCCCTCCAGTGCCCGCTCTTCCACCGCCAGGAGCCTATGGTGGACAGGGGATAGATGATCCGTTTGGAACTATGGAGGTGATTTCAGAACGGCGAAGACGGGTGCTTTCATCTGGGACTTTGTTCGAGGAGGAGGATTCCCCGTCAAGACAAATAAATCGGCCACGATCGTTTTCCAATAAAGAAATCAGCCGTAACGAAGGTGGACTTGTTGCATCTACTAGCCGGTTCAGTTTGGAGACCATCTCTCCACGTCGACGATCTGAAGGTTGGTGGAACTACCTTCTATCTCCCTTGCTATCTCGCTCTAGTACAATGACTACTATCAACACCCTTCACCGTAACGGATCTCAGGGTGATGATGAAGGACCTCCTCCTGTGCCAGAGTTACCAAACAATACACGCCTGCAGCTTGCTATACCAAACAGGCATGATGAGCCAACCCTCACAAACAAGGAATGGCGGGACAAGCAAGTTTCCGTCTTTTCACCCATCACTCCAGAAACAGCCACGGAAAAAGGGTCTCCCTCCGTTAAATCCCCTGCTTCGGGCTGGCGAGAACGGTTGGTTTCTGTCTTTTCTCCAATCACACCCGACAGTGCAGGTACTTCCAAGGAGAAACGTATACTAAGCAACGTCACTGAATGGCCGGGTATGGACCACTGGTACTTCCAACAAGAGAAAAGCCAGATGAAGGTTGATACTGGAAATCTTACCCTTAACACCACTGTGAAAAACAAGGGGAATGTCACTACTTCACCTAAACACCGTGAAAATGAGGAGCATAGGACATCGCTTTGCTCCGCCGTCACGTCGCAGTCAATTCCGTTCATGATGTCGGATCCATCTAGTCACCATGCGAGTGTCAGCACAGGTGCTAACCATAGTTCAAGAAATATCTCCAATAATCAGTCCTTTGCCAGCTACAGCCGGGGTGCTACGAACAAGGACTCCAACCCAAATATTTGCAGGACTGATTCCCACAAAGATCAAAACACGAATAACCCGTTCTTTCAACAGTTTGTCGACTCTATTCGAGGTGAAGACGGTAGAAGACGCTCTGATTCTGCATCTACCATGATCGAAGAGGATGAGCCTGATATTTCCCCCAACGTCCGCCATGCAACTGCCACCCCGATTTTTCACCACACCATGCCTACGATGGTAGGAACTCGTGGCCCGCCCGCTCCCATAGCACCGCCAGCAGCAGCTCGACGAACTAGCGTATCGAGCTCTGGATCTGATTCTTCATGTTCTCCCGAGCCAACACCGGAGAGGCCAAAAAATAAGATTGCTGGTATAGGAACTATCAAACGTAAGACGGTTCCAAAGTACCATGCCATTCTACCACCAGACAGACAATCACCACTGGAATCACCGGGCCCTCTCTCTCCTGAAGCTCAAGCCACGTTGAACTCTGGCGGTATCCAAATGAATGATGTCCCCTTACCACGTCGGCCGGATAGGACCTATCTCCTACCTGCAACCAACGATTTCCCTCGCCACCCAAAGGTATCCCCAGTCATAATGCAGACACCAATCATCCGCCAGACCCCCAAGATAGGCATCACCAAAAAGGATGTCAAGTCCAAAACAGAAATAAAACAGAAAAAGGTATCTCGTAAGGAGGTTGTTGGTCAGGACAGCAGTTTCTGGCGTGGCCAAAAGTGTCGATGCAAGCAGGGCTGTGCTGGGAATCGAGACTGTGAAGGTAGAAGAAAAAGACGGAAATGTTGCTGGATTATCATCATCTTGATATTGCTATTTCTTATCGGTTTGGGTATCTTGTTAGGCGTGTTGCTGACGAGGAAAGGTCCGGGCCAGAGCCAGCCTCCAAGACCCCCTGGCTCTGGACCGCAGCCAACGCCTGGACAAGAACCGGGACAGAAGATGGAAGACGATCGATGGTTGAATCTTACTGGTTACCCACCTATTCCAACTGGAATATCTACCGTTGCTGGCCCGAGTGCTGCCAATATCAACTCGGGTTGTATTGCACCAACAAGTATGTGGAGCTGCTCTTTGCCAAAGGAGATGCAGGACGCAAATAAGCCGTTTGATGCGGACCAGCCTCGGTTCAAGATTGAAATCAAATTCAAGAACGGGACCTATCAGCATAGCACCACCATAGCAGATAAAGGGAAGAGAGAGGTACCTACCCTTTCCAACCTTTTCGTTCTTGGAAACTGGGCGAGGAGACAATACCCCCTTGAACGCAGAGATGAATTCACTCCATCTCCAGCACAACCTAGTGTTGAAGAGCAATCATTCCTCGGAAATACCACTGACAAAACCGCCGCTCCATTCGAGGGAGAGGAAACGCCCTTTTTCGTAACCGTTTTAGACACTGCTCCGCCAAAAGGTGTTCCTGGAACAGGAAATAGCGCTCGATTCCGCCGTAGTGAACCAGAGGGTTTCCCTGACCTGTCCAAAATCATCCCTCCGCCAGCTCTTGATACCGATGGCACAGCTGCACCAGCAACTCTATACCCATTCCCTTCATCCCAGCCTCTCCGTCTATACGATCGTGGCCTACCAACAGAACATTATGGGTTTTACACGTACTACGATCGATCTATTTTCCTCAAGTCCTCACGCCCCATAGGCGATGGCAAGGAAACCGGGAACATCCCCAGCGATCTCGACGGCGGCTCAACGAAATCCGCTGCCAGCGTACAATGCACATGGGCACAAACAAGATTTCTCGTCCAGATATGGACTCAACCATCTAAAGCCGGATTGGAACTCATGTCACCATCCGGTGATCCTGGTCCAAAACCACCATCCTATGCAGAAGATTTTAGACGGCCCGGTTCCTTGCCATACCCGATCACAATCACGCTGGACAGACATGGGGGTGACCCGAAGAAGAAATTCGTGTACTGCTATGGCCTAGATGTGGGTGGGAAGCCGATCATGACAAAGAAGAAACTCCAGCTTGAACATCGTGATGTTGGTGGCGTGCTTGTTAATCCTGCACCGGGAATATTCAACATCTCATCTTCATCGAAGAACAGCAAACGAGCGGATGTCCCTGGAATAGACGGCGGATCGGGTGGGTGCCACTGCGAATGGAGAAACTGGCTGAAAGCCTAGACCGTAAATGATTATGTTTTGACGTTTTAACATTGTTTGTTTGAATACCCTAAGTTTCTATTACTATTCTGCGTTAATCGTTTCTGATATTGTCTTTCTGTTCATCTTTTGCACTGACTGTACATACGCAGACCCTGACGCTTTCCTATGTCTTTCTTTTATCCTATTCTTCCCCTCCCCATTGCATTGGCATTTTGGACATTGCATGTTTCATGGACATGAACCTCACGGAGCCGGAGCCTGGATTTTTATCCTGTCTGTACACATAGGTGGCATACACGGGAGTTTGGGTTTACTATGTTTTATGTGTTTTAGCTTGTTGACTGATAATGTACGGAGTAGAGGATAATAATGAAAATGACTTTGATGTTTGAAGATGTGCCCTCGGCGTGGTCCGTTGGATTCTGTAATTAGCTATCGTAGTCTTCAGGGGTAACTCGATAACTTGGCCAGAGAAGCGTAAGTTAATGACAGCTGTGAATAATTACTTCACCGTTTAGCTTGACTCTCCCAGGCCTTCTTGGGTGACTGTTTGGAGTAGTTAATCAAGATGTTCACCCCGGATAAGTGAAACAGGGGCTTCAATGCCTGTCTAGTGAATGGATCCCAGTGACGTCAGGGGGGATGCGCCAGCTATAAATTCGCCCAACTTTCCGCTCCTCGAACTCCACGACCTGACATCAAACAAGTTGATATCGTCGAACGAGAAGAAGTTGCCATTAATAGAGAAGGAGCAGGGTATTAAAATTCCAAAGGAGTTGGTGGCAAGAATGCTATGATGCTAGCATGACTGACTCATCGACACACTTACTTCTCTACAACTGTTCATCCGGACGACTGCTATATCCTAGCGTTCAATATTCCAGGCCTAGGATAGATACAACCAATTAGGCTACCACAGGGCACCACAGGGCACTAAAGGAGCATGCCTTACGATGGAGAGGCCGTCATGTCAATAGTCACTGGCCCAATTCCAGCCCCGGACCCAGAAAGGGATAACTAGTTAAGCCCACGGATGTGGGTTACCACAACGGGAGTGTTTTTTGGCACTCTGCCTTGGCTACTTTCTATCATAGCCGTCGTGGTATCAAGGATTTCAGCGCAGCCCGCGCAAACCATGGACGACAAACCGGGTATTTTAACCACCTGCGACAAGCTGATTCCACTTCCCTCCAGCCTAGGTTGAGGCCTGGGACGCCGATTCGTGCATACACCTCTTCTTGTTCCTCCCGGCCCACTTGGGCCTCGACGGGGGTGCTGATTGAACCCATAGCGGCGGCGACTGAGCTATCAGACTCAACTATCAGATTCATTGACCAGATTCGGAGGCCCCTTATTCAATCATCTAGTGAGTGTTAATGCACTTAATAACTAACTTGCCAATCCTTACGGGGGCTAACATCTATTCAAAGCAATGCCGTGATGCCTGGAAAGAGGACACTGTCCTTAGTAAACGGCAAACATCTCCAAATATGCCATGGTCAAGTGCCTACTAGTCCAGCGTGCTTTGTCAATGATATAACGACTCTTACTGCAGCCAATTAACTAGGGGGTCTCCCTCCCCTTTTTGGCCTAGCGGTTTGATATGCTTCTTCAAAGCTATTGATCGGACTTCCAGAGGGAACACTTGCCAGTAGCGTATGGAAACTCCCCAGCTATACTTGTCTCAAGATGTTTCAATTTGATTCTGCAAAGCCAGGCTGGATCAACGATTTCGATAGCAAGCATTGTGATTAAAGGGGATATAAAGTATTCTAGACTAATGAAATGCAGTTACTCATGGCGGTTCCATGCTCATGGACATCTCGATCTTACGCCACCTTCACGCCAGACCAGCGAGGATCGACTGCTAGAGAGAGCATTAAAGAGAAGTATGACTTTGGATAAAGTTCCTGCTGCAGTAAGAGAGCTATCGGAAGACTGTTGAGCTAAGTCTTTATGGTGCGTTTTCGGAAGAGCAACCAGAGCTAACAGAGACACTACGAGCACTGTATGCAGAGTGCCCAAGTGTACCTAATGACCTTCTCCGCCTCGATGCAGTGCTTCCTGATAGCGAGGCCATCATCCGTGCAGGTGATCACTGCTTTTGTCAAAACTTCGTCGTTCGTCCATCAAAAGGGGTTTCGTTGTTCGTTTCCCAGCGAGTGACTATTGTTATTACGCCATGTGTTTCACTTCGACAGGATCAATTAAAAAGTCCTGTGGCTCGGTAGTTAAACAGATTCAAGCCGGACATCTACAAAGCTGGTCAAACAAGATTTCCGCTACCCTACAAATTTCGTCACGAAGAGGACCGCTACTACACGACTGCACCCTAACTGGCGGATGAGGGGTGCTCGACCGCCGACAAAATCTTTTAATCGTCATGAGTATCAATCAATTTGCACACTGTTGGAAGACTATGACCTGCTGCTCCATCGCCACTCCGTCCATATACCCTGCTGGAGTTTGTCGTCAAACAACCGGATGCTTCATTTACGTCAGTTGAGTTCTCATTTTGGAGGCTTCTCTTGACGCCAAAGGATGGCTGGAAGCAAGACCGGTCAATACTGCAAAGATTGACCAGGAAGCTCCCAATTCTATTTTGACACAATATGCAAATGGTTCCCTGCGACGACAATTCAAAATGCTGGTGGACAAAGTAACTAACTAGTTACTGGAACAACTGGATTAAGGATACAAACATCAATACCCCAGTCGGCATCTCGTTTCCCCAGAGTTGCCAGTTGGGTTATCCAAGCAAAGCAGCGGTTACTCCCATGTTGCTGCTTAACTCAACAGAGACTTATGAAATCCATATCACGACTTGGATTACTTCTGGGGCCCATCTATAAGCAAATCCTTTAAAACGCCTGTATTTGCTAGTTTGGCTGCTTTTTGGTATTGGAACGATGTTCCCCGATGGCTTTACGAGTGTTCGTCCTTGGTGCCACCGAAGTTACTGGTGACCCCGATGGCACTCAAAAGCACTAATTGGTTTTACAACCAATACACCAGTCAGATTGGAAGGAGTTCTATTTGGTAAATGATTAAACCCCCCTGGCGTCGCTGTCTCATTCGGAGTATAGCTTCGGCTTGCTGATCAGTAGTGCGAGCTCACTCTTGGCTCAGTCGTTTTGATAAAGCACACCATCCCAGGAATGATTGCCGAGCTAAACCGAGTAACTTTTGCAATCGAAGGTAACGACGACAGAGAGGTTGACCTTGGTAAGTGGGTTATTAAGCCGAAGACCATGCAATTTGTTAAGTTGGACGGGAAAGTTGAGAAGCGCAATGATCCCGTCATGATCTCGCAAGCAAAGACAATACATGATTGCTGTGCTAGCATGGCACTGCCAAAAAATATATCAATGATATAACGACTAGGGGCCTCCCCTTTTTGGCCCAGCGGTTTGATAAAATCATACAACAATTCCGAATCGACACTCCAAGCTTCCAAACAAGCTATTCCAGCCGAATAACTATAAGGGTGCAGACGAGATCGAAGAAGAAATCAGGTCGAAGAGACCACCGCGGACGTCTGTGACTGTCTGGCGATCCACGGCGATGTCCATCTCGCCAACTTTCAGAAGGAGGATAAGGAAACTGGGCTTGATCTTGATCCCACGGTGTCCCTGTCAATGGGAAGGCCTCTGGATTTTCAATTTCTATGATACCAATCAACTGATGGAGGATTCTCTAGCTCCTCGTGCAAATACACCAAATTGCCCGGCTGGGATCTCCTGGATCTCCAGCGGGCCCTACGAATATTTACAATCTTGATATCCCCCATAACATTGATGAGGGTGATAGCATTGGGATTGATTCTGTAGGAGGAAGATAAGGGCATTATCAATTTACACAATGGAATTACATTCTCATCCGTCCACGACGGCTCCTCTGCAAGTTCCAATGGTTGCCAACACAATGAGCAGCGCTGGAGACTCTCTTATTGCCTTTATCCGGCTAATGGTCCAAAACGAACTTCTTATTCCACCGGAGCAGAGAATACTTGACCATGGACTAATACAAGCCGCTCTTCATGAAACGAAGGTCGGGTTGGCAGACGGGGCCTTCCAGCTATATGAGATGCTCCTCGGAAACCTAAACGCTAAGTCCGAGCCTTGGTTACTCAGCTTAAGGACGTCAAATCCCGTAGACCGTGATTACCCTCGAGAACCAGCCATTCATCTCGCAGAGCTGATCTGGCAATATATTGAAGCCCGGGATGACCTCTATAACTTCCAGCCACCTAACGAGCTTTTGACTGTCTGTGTGTCGGACAATCTGTGTGTTCTTGACGTCTTGACGTTGTGCATGCCTGGACGCAGCCGTTTTCAAGTCATCGGCCTGAGCCTACGAAATGGGACGCCCTCTGAATGCGCCGTTCAACCAAAGGAGATATCGAGCCTTTGACGGCGGCTAACTAGATATTTAATGCCCGGAAATATGTCACCGTTACCAGCACTCCACTCAGAAGGACTGAACTATTAATTGTTCGTCCCGGGATAAGCATCGTGCCCCTGAGCAGACAAACTACGGGTCCACATGCCACCACTGTTGCGTTCCTATAATGCGTCCAACCCCTTCTTCTCTGGCCCAGCCATGCCGAATATAAGGCCGCGCACAAAGCGACAGATATATCTCACTTTTGTCAAAGAGAGAGGCACTAGGTCCAAGGAAATGGATAAATTGCTGCTAGATGGCCGATCCATGTTACTCCTTCTCACGCCCTGCCTCAGAGAAACAAAGAGAAGAGCACCTGGGCGAGCCACTCCAGCCCCAGAAGTGACTCTGTTGGTAAACCGCCCACCACAGACCGCCATTGGACGGCAATGTCCTGGCGGAGGCACTGGCAGCTCCAGACGAAATCGTCCAATGGAAGCTCGACGTTTGCGTGCACACAGCCATTGGGAGGCCTTATACTTATGTTAACGGCGACGCTGAGAACCAGCGGTACTACCGTGGTGAAGCATCAGGGGTAACAAATATAGCAGTATATGGCGTATAAAATTTCATTAATAGAACCAATAATGCGAAGACGAAGACGTTCTTCTGCTCAAAATTAAGAGTGGACTCGGTATTGTCGGCGGCTCTTTCAGAATCGGCGGACCCTGGAACTCGGTGCAATCACACTTCAAAGGAACCTAAAGAACCAAACTCATCAGGGGCTTAGAAGGCGAAGATGGAACCTACAAAGGCGAGTGGGGCTTTCAAACCAGCCCTTGGATAATCTTTCATGCCGTCCTCAGCGCCTCAAAAATAATAAATATCAATCAATTTCGCCTCCAAATCTCGATCAAAGATCCAGACTGTCGCGTGATACTCTGCGAACGTTCCTGCAGAGGGCCCATCAAACTTGACTGGCTCTACTGGCACCACGCCGGCTCCCGCCGGCCCCAATGCTCGCGGTGCGAAGGCTGCGAAGAAGTGAGTCTTTACGGGATACCGGGGTGGGAGGGCAGGCAATTGTAAACGGGTGCGCGGATACCATAGGTAGATAAAATAACAATAAGATATTTGAACCGGGATACCGATCAACCAGCTGTCCCTGAGGAACTAAAGGCCAAGTTTAAAGCCATTTGGGAGGAAATGATGGCGCCATAACTACGTGGCTAGCCGCTCCGAGGCAGCACGTATAGGTTGGCGGTGTGATGCGGGCAGAGTATGCTCGCGCGATGCCCCGATTTGGTGTTGCTTGCTTAGAGGATAATACAACTACTAAGACAAGGCGCGGGCGCTCCAGGGTAGACTACAGCTCTGAAGATGATGAGAGCTATTACGGAGTTGCATCTTCCAAGGAGCCGGAAGTAACTAAAAAACTCAGAACTAGGACACGATCTCGAGCTTGAATCTTTGGTTGGGACTTTTGCATTGAGCATCCCTTAATGATAGTTCACGGCGAGCTTTGCAGCCTCTTAATTTGTGCCAGATGCACATGGTGACTATGAAGCTTTTACATAGATATATAAATATTAATATAACATTGACATTTAGTACATATATTTCTTTCCTCCTGTGTGAAATAATTACATTGCTCGTTTTCTTATTATTAGCTATTGCACGTTTGGATATGCTATCGTATAACGACTTCGTAGTAGTACTCAATTTCTCTCCTTGCTGGGACAGACTGCAATACCTGGTACAGGCGTGCTACTTTAGAGCAACCGGGTTGGTAGATAAGCATAACTATACGAGGTGTTGGAATGTGGAGCTCCTTTGTATACGAGCCCGATCTATATAAATGTCTTCCAAGCGACTAGATCCATCTACAATATCTTTATGTGCCATCTCCTGATACAATCGTACACGGATCCTGGGAGTGAAAATGGTGACCTGGGCCTTTATATCCTTTGCAGTGCTCATATGGGCAGCTGTGTCAACTGCCTCTGTAGATACCAGTCTCCTATCGATTCGCGGCCAACAACCCATCCATTTGAATTTGACCGGCCATATACCCGCAGAAAAAGTTCTAGACTTTGTCTTTGTGGACTTTGATGTTCCCGAAGGAACAACTTCAATATCTGTGCTGCAAAAGTACTCATTGAAAGGCAAGGGAAACGCCCTGGATCTTGGATGCTGGGACCAACGGGGCCACCATCTTGCTCTCGAGGGGAACTTCACTACTGGATTCCGAGGATGGTCCGGCGGTGCAAGGGATAACTTTACTATTACCCCTGAATACGCTTCCCCTGGATATATTGCGGGTGCGATCCAACCTGGTGTCTGGTCTGTAGCCCTTGGCCCATACAACTCAGTTCCTCAGGGCATTGACTACGAATTGAATATCAACCTGGGATTTGAGCCCGTAAAGTCCTACTTTCAGCCTGCCTTTGCACCAAGCCGTATAGATAGCAGTCTTTATATGAACGAATCTGGAAGCAATATCGACCAGCTGAAAAACAGACCTGGACAACCTGGCTTACAATGGTACCGAGGAGACTTCCACATTCACACCATATACTCAGATGGCAAACAGACTCCCCAAAGAGTTGTGGAGCTGGCTCAACAAGCCAACCTCTCATTCTTCTTCAGTACTGACCATAACACGCAATCCTCAGGCTTGATCTGGGGTGCCGTTGCTCCACCTTCTTTGCTTGTCGGAAGAGGTATCGAGGTGACCACCCGTGGCGGGCACTGGAATGCACTGGGCCTCAACTGGAACGAATGGGTTGAATTTCGTTATAAGGGGGATGACAGCACCGCTATCTCTCAAGCGGTTCGACAGGTCCAGCGCCATGGAGGCCTTGCGGTAGCTAATCATCCATTTGCTAACGACTGTCTTGCGTGCGATTGGTCATTCAGTTTCAATATCATGGATGGACTGGAGGTCTGGAACGGAGTTTGGAACAATTTCGATAGAAAGGCTGTGGATAAATGGCACAGTATGCTTGTTCAGGGTTCAAGGGCATTCGCTATCGGCGGCAGCGACTATCATAACTCTCCGTCTGCAGTCGGTATGCCCACTACCGTAGTTCGTTCAGAAAGTCTGTCAACGGCACAGATCGTGGATAGTCTTCGGCATAACCGAGCATATATCGTTCGTGACCCAAGTATTGATATCCAATTTACCCTTAGCCACCAGGGCGAGACAATCCATATCGGTGATAAAGTAAAAAGTGGGAAGGAAAATAAGATCCGTGGTCCGATATCTGCGGCTCTGGAGGTGAAGGGACTCCCTGCGAATGCCGTGGCGCTTTTTATATCTGATAAAGGCCTTCTTAAACGCCAGGCTATCTCCCAGGCCGATCCTGTTCTTCATGCCAGAGTTGATTCAAAGCACTCATTCATCCGCGTGGAAGTCCAAGATCCGACTGGCTCTATGCTAGCCATGACAAATCCAATTTGGATATAAAGTGGTATCAAATAATTTGCTTCTTGGGCCGAGTATTCAAAATAAAGGGAGATGACCTTATTGGAGGTTGGTAGCTTGAAGTGAAAGCAGTAAATAAGGATAGGAATTCTATTAAACTTGTCATGCAAGCCTTAAAGGTATAAACTAATCATTTCCTTACCTTTAAGTCGACTCCTCTAGGACAAAATACTGTAACTTCATCCTGCCTAGCTCCAGTTTTAATCCTTATTCCTCACCTGAATCATCGCTCATGAAAGAATTGTCAATCGCCCAACCATCAATGTCAAAAAAGTCGTCATCACTATCACTACCATCGCTGTCGGTTTCCCCTGTATCGCTTCTCAAGTCCATTCCCTGGGCGGCGTTACGAATATCATCAGCTTCCGTTTCAGAGAATGCTCGAAATCCATGGTTCAGCATATTTTGTTGAAGGTTCATGGGGATATGATGGCCAACTCTCTCAAGGAGTCCGTGGATAACATCATCCACTATATAGTTGCCTTTACTACCCCATGCAATGGTTAGCTGGTCTAGTAATTCTGTATCGACACCGCCCATAAATTTCTGGGGGCAGTAGTAAGACAATATCCCCAGTATAAAGTGAAAATAGAGGTACTTGGCTCGAGGTCGAGACTCGGTGGGGAATATCAGTTTCATCTTATGGAGCTGCCCAAATGTCATACCGCAAACAGGAACTTCTTTCAAACCAGAGTGGTCAAGAAGAATAACCTGCCATTCCCGCGGCTGGCTCGTGACAGGGCCATGGGGCACAATGACAACTTGATACGCGTCAAAAGCTGGTTCAAATTCAGAAGGAAGAAAAAGGCCGTTCCTAGCAGTATTGATTTCCTCGTGGGTGTCCTTCCCAAAGATGTTGTCCATTGCTTGTTGGCCGTAAGACAGTGGGAATATGTGGGCCGCAACGAAATATTGTCTCACATGCCAGCTTCCCGTCAAGACATTGCAGTAAGTGGTCTGGTTTCCTAGCTGTTTCGATCCGTAAGCTGCCTTGATGGATTCAATGAAGTCGTTCTGGTTATCTCTAGAGGTTTTCCCCCGGACGCTAAGGAAAAGGTCGACATAAGCTGCTCGCAGAGTAGCTCTGTTATTGGAAAGACTCAGCACCTTCGATCGTTCCTTGTACCTTTCTTCTCTCCTAATGGCTGATTGCCGTCGCTCTTCTCTCTCCTCCTTTTGTCGCAGGTACTCTCTCTTTTCCTGTTCAAAAATGTGGGGTTCGGAAGAAAGGGTTTCACTCCGACGCTGCCATATTAGGTCTTTGATAGTATCCTCTAAGCCAAGGATTACCTGGGATATTTTCCAGTACTCTGGCGTATCGTATGTTGCTTTGCTTAACTGCTGCTTTGCACGCTTGCGTTCTTTGCGCGCTGTTTTTATGTGTTGATGCTGCAAATCAACACCCTCTGAAGGGTTCATTATGGACTGAGAAGTCAGCTTTAATCTATGAGTAAGAAAAATGGGTATTAAATGCCTTACTGTCAAATATAACCAATATCTCTCCCATATCTATCTCCGCCGTTTTGTTTAATAAAATATGACGGAGATAAATTTAAGGGGTATAGTGACTAGCTGAAACATACCTCTTAGATCAATAGGTTTCCCAGGCATGGTTGTCAGATAATGTTCAGATACTACGAAGAGGAAGAAGAGGAGGAAGAAGTTGGCTGGGTACATGGGCGATGGTCGGTTTTATATGTGCTGAAGAGTTCGATTGCATCACTCACTCCCAAGCTGTGAATACGATACGAGAACGTGACTTAGCCGCAAAGTGACCCGCTTATTAAAGTACGTTAGTTTCATACAGCCGGTGACACAAAACCTTAATAACTCGGTAATATATTCACCAAAATTGTCACTGGCTGTAATATAACTCGTAACTTCTCCGAAATATTCAATACCAGCCATAC